TCTCTATGCTTTATCTTCTTGTGGAGGTGGAGCTACAAGATCTAGTGTGCTACGAAGGGATTTATCCATGTTTGCAGTCGCCTGTTCAAGTTCATTTATACACGATGCTTCAGATGTAAGGCTGAAGGACTGTGGAAGTTGTTTCATAAATGTTGTTGTAGTTAGTGAGGCAATGGAACGTCTGATTCTGTACTTTGGAGCTGTGGTCAATGGGAGGCTATACTGGATTTCAAACGTTAACAAGTAATGATAATACAAGGCCACTGAGAGGTGCGGCCAGACTAATGGGAAAATTAGACACTAGATACTAGATACTAAACTAATTAATTGTTTATAAATGACTGAAGCTCACCAGCAAGACGCAAATCAGCATCCACCTCCAGCAGGTCGAAATTAAAAACATGAAGGTAGCCCAAGACAACTTTATTCCGCTGGCTCTTCCAGAAGTCGCTCCGTTTGTGGGCGTTACAATGACAAACACCCGGTGACTTCCACACTTGACACTTACAGAGAAGAAAAAAAAACAACAAAATATTTTTTGCCATTAACAAGCAGTCATACCAATGTGAAGGCTAAAGCAGTGAAGGGCCACATTCATCAATGACACCATTAAGCAGTACTGAGCAGCGGAGTGGATCATGAGGAAGCTGGTCCAGTGTTTGTAGACAAGCATTGCAACCCTAATTTGTCCTCAGTGTGCGAGTTAATTCAATTCAATTTATTTTTATATAGCGCCTTTGACAACAGATTCGTCACAAGGCGCTTCACATGGATGCGCGGTGATGCATTAATCATCAGAGAGAGTAATACAGAATGGGAAACGCAATGTAAGAAATGAAATAAATTTGGTTGTGATGTGTCTAAGCCCCGGAAGGGCTGGGACCTCAGTATTCATTTGTCTGGCTCCTGTACTGTACAGTTATGGAACATGGATTGATGACCATTACAAAATCACTTCATGAAATTATTTTCAAAAGCTACACAGTATTATTAATTTATATATATATATTTAAAAAAAAACCCAAGGGGGATCCCTTCAGAAAATTCACTCTTTTTTTTTTAAACAAAACCTGAAGGACAAATGAAACCCAAGCAAAGGGAAAAAACAGTCAATTAAAAAAAGTGTGGTTTATAACGTTTTTGTTAGGACATGCATATTTAGTCAAATGACTCTAAATATCATTCATCTTCATGTTCAAGTTGACAGCCCAGGATACTTACCTCAGATGCCAACTTATCGCAGATGTAACAAAAACATTGTTCACAGAAAGCGACGTTGTTTTCTACAGGACTGCAGGTATCAAGTTCAGTGGGGCTGTGGAGGAAAGGCCACGGAGATCAGAAAACAGGTGGTAAACAAGACACAGAATTTAAGTCATTTTAAATGGACGGCAAAGGACGACCTGCTGAATGAGTCTATGACCATGACTTTAACCACTATGCAGTAACGGAAAGATGTCATTACATGACATATTAGACAGCTTATTTAGTTATAAGTTATCGGCCTCCGTAGGGGAAAGCACCTGAATGGGTTGGAGCTGCAGTCGTATCTCGCATGCGGCATCACCGTGGCCTTTCTGGAAAACGTTACCAGCAGATCGTCATCCACAACCTCGCTGGTCGCCGCTGTCGCTTCCTGACCTGGGCCGGGGAACACGGGACGCGGTTCATGCGAGTGTCATTCAGCCGCAGCCCTACTCGCGAGGGCGGCCTCTACACACCCTGTTCGTCGCTGGGCTCCACGATGAGCACCGAGTCGTTGGCGGAGCCCTGGCCGCCGTCGTCCTCCTCGTCGCTTATCAGGATGACACCCTGCGCTTCCATTTTTCAAGATGGAGGGACAGGGAGGCGAGAGCAACCAAAACGATACACCCCAGACTCCGACCAGTCAGATTATCGATTACGACATAAAGTGTACATCTATGTGTCTACCCCAACCCAATTAGCCTCGGCTTCCTAACTGTGTTTGGTTATTTGGCTACATTTATTACCACGAAAAAACGTTTCGATAAGTCTAACATAACTTCCCCCTATGCTTTTCCTTTCTCGTTGACTAAATCAGTATCCGATATGCATGGCCGACCGTAGAGGGACAGAGACTTCAAAAGACGCTCCGTGCTTCCGCACTTTAAAAGAACTACTATTATTATCGACCGTATTTGCTCTAGTTAACCGCGCACGTTTTCTCTTCAAATTTACGCGCCAGTGGGAGGGGCCAGAAAGGGAAGCTTGTGGCGTATGTGGAAATGACGTAATAAGTATATGCTGTGACGGAAGCACAGGTTTATTATTATTGTTGTTGATATTATTATACAAATATTTATGTATCAGTCTTTTCATTTGAATATAATATAGTATAATATAATATATTATTGTTGTGAGCACAATGACATACAGGGAACAAGGGGGCGTTCCACGAAGCAGGATTTCTCATAGCAATCCTATTGGACAATCATGCCTTCCAGCTTAGCCCAACTGAGAAATCCTGCTTCGTGGCGCACTGCTGATTTCGACTTTTCCCAAAGAAAAAGTGCTCAAATAAAAGACATGGAAAGAACATAGTCACTACAGAAACCATATATATTTTTAAAAATCATATAAAAAGATTACAAGAAAAATTAGAATATGAAAGTAAATGAGATGTAAATGGGACATATAAGGAAAGTTAGTAAAGGTATAGTTTTGGATTTGCCTTTTAACATTATCTGAGGATTTCTGATGTCTATATGACCAAAATAAACTATTTTAGATATGAAGAGGTAGAATTGACTATAATGTACTAATTGTCCTATTTCCTCTCATAAAGGACGATTATACAGACATACACATACCTACATGTGAAAACTTTATAGCTGCAGCTGGTCGATGTTGCAAGGTCAGCCTACTGGTAAATTCACTGAACCATAGAACCTGTTCATGTTATTCATCTTTTCAAAGATTAAATATTATTTCAAGCGCTCCAAAATAGATAAAGTCCTTCACAATGTAGCATTAGTATACATTTTTTCGATTTAAGTTAATCATAACGTGTTCCTTTTTGTGGACATTAATAGACTCCCCCCCCCGACTCATGCAGTTAAACGGTGGTAATTTTCAGTTTCACTCCTACCAAAACAAGAAAGGCAGAAAGCAAGTTACAAGTACATATTATTTAAATTCATGAGCTTGAAGTAACTGTGCAATTCATTGGTGGCAAAGCTGCAACATGATTACGCAATTGTTATTCAAAACAAATTTTGGAGTTTAAAAAAATTATAATAAATCAGTAGCTTCTAAATAACAGGTCCCCCTCTAATCAGGACACACTTCGATCAAGATGGAATTTAAGACCCTCAGCAAGACAGTGTTCATATTTTAAGAGCATTTTATGCTTCCAGCAAAAATGCCATTTATTGTTATAATCATTTACAGGTAAGCATGGCAGAAAAAAATTGGTGTCTCGTGTAAAAAGTTGCGGTACAGCTTTAAGACGGACGCTTTTGAAGGCTCAGTTATTACCAAATTGACAGACAAGGTGGATTTCTGTTACAGCACAAAAAAAAGGAAAAACAATCTGATTAATGTGCCATCTGTCAGTTTACAGCTCTGGCTGTCCTGGCATGGGGAATCTCCCAGCAAAGGCCTCTACTTCCTCTTGAATTTCTTTCATTTTCATCCGATATTTCTCGGTTTGAGCCAGCGCATCTTTGAACTCCTTCAGGGTTGCCTTGGGGTCCATTTCTTTCTGAATCTCGAGTGTCAACTCGATGCCTAGCAAAAAAAGAGCACACTGTCAGAACTCCTCTGGCAAAGTGCAGAGAAATTAAAATAAAAAATAAAATAAAAAAAAAAAAACATCCAAGGTATCAATCTTGGTGAAACCAAGCTTTCCTAACCTCTGTGGATGAACTCGGCCACTTTCCGGAAATCTTCTTCCAAGAGGCCCCTGGAGGTGAGTGCCGGGGACCCCAGCCTTAGGCCACTAGGTCGCAGTGCACTTTTATCACCTTGTGCGAGGGATAGGAGGCATCACACCATTAAGACAAACAGATCCACAAGCATGTTACAGCAGTAGCACTGAAGTGGCTCATATCAGCTATTAAGGGCCACAGCTTGGTACTACAGTTTAAAGCAGTGTTTACCAACCCGGTCCTCAGGGACCCACAGACGGTCCATGTTTTTGCTCCCTCCCAGCTCCGGAAGCAGAAACGTAGACTGTGGGTCCTCGAGGGCTGGATTGGGAAACACTGATCTAAAGAGTTAGTATTTTGCTACCTGGGCAAGTGTTTTTGTTGCAGGCGAGGGCACAGGCTTCTAGAACCTTCTCTGCCCTGCCGCCATCGGTGCCTTTGGGACGCAGGTCAAGCAAAATGAGGTGGGTGTCAGAGCCACCTGGACGAAGAAGAATATCAAGTCCTACAGTGAGACCCAGGTGTTCAAGCTGCTCCTCAAAATAACACTAATTCACAAAGTCACAGTAAAATATACTTGTGCAAAGCTCTCAGTAAGTATATAATTACAATCGTGTATAGAGTACTACCCATATCTATATTTTTCTGAAGAATTCAGCTGTCCGAGCATCTGAATCAGAACCCCGCTGACTGATGACCTAAACTTGAACTTGCAACATCCTGGCTAACATTTTTGCATATGGTGACATCATTGCTGGGGCTGCTGTCTTCACAGGACTATGCGTTTTGCTCACCTGTGACAATTTTATAGCCCTTCTCCATCAAGGCTTGCGCCATGGCCCTGCAGTTGGCAAGCACCTGCACCTGGTAGACCTTGAACTCGGGAGTCAGTGCCTGCTTTAAGGCAACAGCGACACCTAGTGTTCAAAAATAACAGTTGTCAATGAGCTCCATCCGCAGAGGGACCAACATGGCCACTGTCTTTAATAGCAAAGACAGCCAGTGGGGGTGGCGGGCAACCCCTGACCTGCAATGGCGTGGTTGTGTGGGCCTCCTTGAAGCCCAGGGAAGACAGCTTGGTTGATCAGGCTTTCGAGGTTATAGAGTGTCTCCTTACCGGTTTTTGGGTCAACACTGCGAACCCCTGAAAACCAGTTTGCGTAGATCAAAGCACAGAAGGATGCACCTTTGGTTCCACTCATGCTTAAGGCACTAAATGTACAGCTACAAGTTACACAAACCCTTCCGGTAGAAGATGATTCCGGCCCGGCATCCTCTCAGGGTCTTGTGGGTGGTGGTGGAGACGACGTCGCAGTGCTCGAATGGGGACGGCACCACCCCTGCCGCAACCAATCCACTGATGTGGGCCATGTCCGCCAGAAGGAAAGCTCCATTGTCATTGGCTATCTTCTTTAATCGGGCGTAGTCCAGATTGCGAGAATAGCAGCTTGTTCCTTGGAACGAGGCAGAGGATACAGGCTCAAATCACGCATCTTTCAGGATTAGAATTCTGATACTTTGTAAACAGCCCCATGTAAAGTGACCCAAACACAGATGGCAACTTATCACAGAGGCAGCAAAAACACTGCTCATGTAAAGCAGGACACAGAGTATGACCGAGTATGACTATACCATGAATATGACATTGAGTGATTTTATGTACCAGCAATGATCAATTTAGGATGGAAGAGACGAGCATTCTCTTCAAGACGATCATAGTCTATGTAGCCTGTGTCTGGGTTTACCTAAAATAATAATAAAAAAAAAAGTCTGTTCTTTGTCTGTGTCACACATTTGTAAGTTCTCTTTCATTTACAATGAATGTTATTGCTAAAACAACACAAATTACCATAGCAAAAGTGTTGCTATTAAAGAACTGTGTATGGTTTTGTATATACATATTACACATATATTGACCTGTTACAATAATATAATGCGTCAGCTTTCCACACCTTGTAGGGCATTGATTCAAAGAAGATTGATGTTGCAGAGATTTTCTTCTTGTCGGTCATGAAGCCATGGGTCAGGTGACCTCCATCCGGCAGGTCGAGACCCATAATCCTACCATGGGGCTCCACTATGGCGGTGTAGATGGCAAAGTTGGCAGGAGACCCTGAAGAAGGAGGGCCAAAGAGTGGCATTGACATGCTGAGATCTGGCACGTGGTGAGGGAGTTCGATTTCCGATGGCTGGCTATTTGGAAAGCCATACCGGAATAGGGCTGCACGTTGACTCCCCATCTGTCTGGGTCAAGGCCGTACACGTCCAATGCCCGCTTCTGGCAAAGCCTCTCCAGCTCATCCACAAACTCTGTGCCGCCGTAGTACCTGAGGGTAGACAAATGCTGGTCCTGTCGTACATTATACACAAACGCTTCTAAATGCACGTTTACCCTTGCTATGTTAATCCTGAGTGAAGACGGTGATGGTGTGTGGTCAAGAGGGTTAGGACTCTGCGTCAGAGATCTGAAGGTTCAGATTCCATGCCGTGATGTCACCATCAGGCCCTTGGCAAAGCCCTTAATCCCAGCTGTGCCAGGGACCGTCTGACCTCGCTTTCCCAATCGCAAGTCACTTTGGGTAAAAGCGTCTGCTTAGTAATGTAAAAAATATGGTGCTATTTGATAATAAAGGCAAACATAATCATTACGCCTCCCATTAAACGTTAAACTCATTTACCTGACGTCTATCCAAAGCAACTTAAAGAAGCAAGGGTTGTAATTTTTTTTGTTTTGTTTTTGAAAATGTGCGCTCCCTAGTGCTGGGCAGGGCTTCGCTAGTCCACCAACCGATAATTAGCCAAGGTTAACATTTTTGTTAGCAGATCAGCGTTTCAGCGTACCAAGCAGCTTCCACTAAATGTAGTTCCACTAATATTTTTTCACATGTAAATGAATAAAGTTTAATGGTCAAAAATGTTTGTAAAACATTTGTAAAATCATACATAATTGTTCCTGCAACAGTCTATCTGGCACAGATAGTTTACTACATGTAAACACAAGAAGTAATTGTTTGATTACTACCTTAAGTAGGGTTGCCAAGTTTAGCACTTTTCCCCAATGATGCTAGTCTAGGTGATCCCTGGTTACAAGTGAACATTCTTAACCACTAATCCACCCGCTGCCTGGAGCTAGTTAAAGAAGCCAATGTGTGGGGTCAAATTTATCCATTACATGGATTGCAGTGACCCCAAGGAACCACTGCAAAATATCACGTGGATAATCAGACTCTGTCTGCATGACTAATTGAATTATTAACTGAAAAAAGCCATTACTTCCCCAAAAGACAAACTCACCTCTGCCCTGGGTATCCTTCAGAGTACTTGTTATTCATGCAAGAACCCAGGGCCTCCAGGACGGCCCGGCTGGTGAAGTTCTCAGAAGCAATGAGTTCCAATCCATACGTCTGCCTCTTCTTCTCTTTTCGGATGATGCCAAACACCTGTGGAAGTCAAAGTCGTGTGCACCACAAGGAAGCTCTGTTAAGTTCCTAGACTAGGGAAAAGAATAATATCTTTGCATAAGATGCACAATTCCATGTATAACAGTTTATTACACACGTACAGGTTTTGGTTATCAACCACAGCACCCACGTATAGATTTCTTGCCTCACCTCGGGATCACAGGTAGACAGAGGGTCCAGCATCATCCGGTTATGCGATTCCCAGCTGTCGGCACTGGCTCGTGAACCGTTAATTAATGCCATATTTATTCTCTCCCCAGGTCAAAGACAGACGATGTCTACAAAAATAGTTACGACAAGCACACGTTTCGGCATTGGCAAAGGCATTACGGCTTTCGTTCTATAGGTGAGCATTAAACAGTTCGTAACGATCCAATTTCACAAGCATGCGGCATCAGGTGAGGGATAAAATGGATTAAAAACAACCAAAGGGCAAAAAGCTGGGCCAAATTGTGTAATCATGATAAACGTCCCGGTAAAATGGAAAACATTAACTTATTTACCCAGCCGTGTCAGCAATTTAACAGCCTAACAGCTGGCAAAAGTTAACTCGGTCAACACACACAAGATATGTCATGTGTAGCCACTCGCCACTCTGATGCAATAGTTAAATATAACAGACTGCATAGTCTCAAATCGCCCGTCGAAACACTCTAGAACGTCTCTCTTGCAGACAATGAGATTTTTGTGCCGCGGAAGCTTTTTTTTTTTTTTTAATACAGGATTAAGTAGGTACATGTGACACGAGGAGTGAGCATGGTGAATGACAGTATTCACTGTATTATTCACTATTCATTGAGCAGTATCAAACTGCTACAATTAGCATCTTACCAGCGGTCACAAAATAGTTTTCCAGCATTTAGATTTAGACCCGTATAAATGCAGCGCGACTTATTAAAGCTCAGTCCGCTCAAATACGGCACAAAACGAAATTCTCAATGGAAAATGGTGCAAAGAAGACGACCACCTAGATCGATGCAGATCAGTCTAATTATGACCCAAAAACAGACACACTTACTGCTCAGTTGACTGCAGGGACGGCCTGCACCCCACGTTTTTCTTTATATGTTGTTTGAGCGAACATCAAGTTCACGACTTCAGCTGAACTCCGCGAAAACTTACAGCCAATCACATCGGACGAGGTCGTGTGACGTAAACATTCGCGCGCCACTTCGCCCCACCCACAATTTTTTTGATCACGCCCGCATGTGGGAAACTCCGGTACGGACGGATCGTTCGGGACTCTCGTTCTGCTGTCCTTTACCGTGATGTTTGAATGCAGAAATACTCAGGAAAAAGTGCAACTGAACCGTGCAGATACAGTATATGTGCCATGTAAGCAATGAAATTTTGTCTGTGAGGGAGGGGTTTTCAAGTAAGAATTTCATTGTGCCCTGTACGCTGTACTTTGTACATATGACAATAAACTTCAAACAACAAATATTAAGACTAAGTACGGCACAATGTATAACTTCTTTACACATTACATTGAAACGTCTTTTTTTGTTTATATATCTGTAAGCCTAATTGTCCAATAATCCAATCTTGTTCATGTTGCGTATCCCACGAATAAATTAATTTGACATTACGGATTTGCAGTAAGCTGTGAGTTTAATGCTGTTGAAGCAACATATGAAGTGATCTAATGAGTAAAAATTCCATGTGTTACGGTGAAAAATACAAAAAAGTAAAAAAACTAAGAGCAGAAAAAATGTTCATGTTTTATTGTTATTTCAGGTTTTCGACTATGAGACTTTATTAGGTGAGTACATCTAGATCAACATATGCAAAAACACCTTTGTCTCCAGTTTGGTTTTGGCAAACTGCTCTGGTGTGACAGGAATATAGCAATGTAGGGAGGGAAACAGCAGGCGAACACCTATATATACACTATTTCTTATTTCATTCAGCCGTCATCACTCATTTTCTCTTTTATTCATCATCAAATAACCATTTTTAAGTAGTGTTAGCCAGAGGGTTACAGGTTTGTGTGGCAAGTACAGGCTTCCCCCTAGAGGAAGGAAAATATACAGACGTATGGACAAGATATCATAAATTATTACATCATAAACTGGCTGTAATGGGTTTAAAATTATCCGATAATTTAGACTTTTGGAACAATAATTTTAATAGGAGGCATAGGGCATATAAAAATCCACTAAATACCCAACAGCAACATAGCAGGATGCATGTGTATCTTAAGGTTGACTGATGGGATGCTTTGGCAACAGTGACTAAGCATACTCCATAAAAACAGTCCAGCATAGACAATGACTCTTGTGGAACATAAAAAAAATAAATAAATCAATGGCATCCACTCAACATTTCCCTCATACACAATGCTGAAATGGTCATAAAATGTAAGACACATCAAATCCTCCTCTTCATAGATGGGCATCTTTCAAAAAAATAAACAGATTTATATTCTGCCTCATTTCTTTTTTCCTCCGTCCACAATAGCAGCAGGTGTCCCTCAGTTGTAACTGTCCTCTGTAATCATTTCAAAGACATGGTGTGAAGTCCTTTTGCCGCCGCCGCCGCCGCCGCAACCGACTCCTTCGCTGAAGACAAATGGATGAGAAACAATTAGCACCAGGTCCAGCACCTGCACTGCATACAAACATACATTTTCCATCCGATGCTTCACAGTCTTGGCATCCTCACCCATCCATCTATCAGACTGTCAATCTTTTTTTTTGGTTTATGAACCTGAAGTGTGTTCCGGCGTAACATTTCTTAGACACATTTTAAAACTGCACAGGAATTTCGACAAAGCGTTAATTTCACTGAAGTACTGAACACTGGAGTGTTTTCCCTCAATTTTCTTCTAATAAAGAATTTAAAGTCGCTCTGCTCCCGGAGCTGCCCACCCCCCACGATTACCTTTCCTCTCCTCCTCTTTCTTCCGGGCTGCTTCCTCCCGTTGTTTTCGTATGATGGCCAGACGTGCCAGGTCTGCTTTGGCCTGTTCCGTTTTGCCCGCTAAATGCATCTTCATATACCTCTCCTTAGCCTTCTGCTTTTCTATTTCTTCCCTGTCCGGAAAAACGGCGATAGTTAAAAGAGCACCTGCTAGCAATACAGTGAAGAATCAGCCAGCTCTTGTCAGTTACATGTGAAATATGGCCTGTGCCGTACGATGCTGACTGAAGCTAAATCCTATGCAAAAGGAGCACATCTTGGCTGCCGTTACCTTTCTCTTCTGGAAAGCTCTTTGGGTCCTTCCAGCACAATATCTGCTACTTTCTTTGATTTCTGTACAACTCGATTTGGATTTTCAATGTCTATCAACCCTTCCACACCTTTCCTTTTCTACAGAATGCAAGAGAAACAACTGAAAGTATAATAAATCAGCCTTCATTTACAATGTACAAAAAAAAAAAAGTATAATGCTATCAGGTTAGTAAATGCTGTCCAAATGACCTGTGTATCTTCATCGTCACTGTCATCAGAGGCAGACTCTGTTGGCTTCTCCTCCACTGGCTCATCATTTACTGCTGCTCCTTCCTCTTCATCCTGCCATACAACGTGTTATAGTCTGACCCATATTTGCTTTGTGTGATCAACCATAAATATGTGTAATCAAGAACAATGGTAAACTTAATGAATAGAGAAGAGAACAATGACATGTATCAATGCGAAAACACAAAGATTTACCTTCTTACGTTCTTTCTCTGCTTTCATTTGCGCATCAATCTCTTCGGGACTCGTGTATGTCCTCATTCGCCCTTTATGTCCCCCTTTTCTACCTAAAATTATGAGGAGAATTTCAGTAATAGGGAAAGCTACCATGCCTGTCAGTTACATTTCAGTTATGAGTAATCGACGGTTTTCGTCATCGATGTACCGCAATCTCTATCAAAAACTGAATTAAAAAATTGGTAAACAGACGTTAATATATAAAAACAAAAGTTTAGTGAAGTCAAAAAAAAACAAACAAACAAAAAATATATATAGCAATATATGTAACAACATGTCATGGAAGGTTGTCATATTTAAGGCCCCCAAAATGTTGTACAAATAAAACAGCCACATGACTGTTACTACTTACACATCTCATTCGCAAATAATCTACTGGATGGCTGTACAGTTTCTAAGTCACTTATCTTGGCATTTGACAGCTAGCTACAACTTAGCTAGCTAGCACATGAGGCGAAGCTTATAAAAGAAAATATAAGTTTGGATTGTTTTTTTGGTGACAGCAAATGCTATTATATACGGTGCCTTACCTCCTTTAGGCATTTTAATTGGTTTTACTATAACTACAGAATACAAAGTCGAAATACTCCTTCAGCACACCAGTGTTTCTTCGATGCTATACTACAATCGAAAGGGTAGAGAATTTAACATATGGCGTAGTTTGCTGGGTACCTACGTATTCTCCTTACAAATAAATGCAAAATAATTGGCAACACGAATAGATATAGCGATGAAGCTACGTAGTAATAAACATGCCATTTATTAAGCGTATATACATATATGAAATAAACGGTGACAGGCTTACATGTACAATGTTGACATCTAAAGTCTAATATTTATTTTTCAGGCGGTTTTTGGTTAGCTAACCTGATGCAATACGCCAAAACTAATGGTAACACTATAGTTTTCTTTAAGCATAAATCAACAACAATATATATTTTACATAACTAGATTAGTTGTTTGAAGCCGCGTATTGTTATTTGTTTCGTTTTTCCATACAATTTTAACCATATATGCCTTATGGAGAGTATCCGTATATTTCGTGAGACAAGAAACGTAGGACCCCGCCGCTCGCTGGGTGACGTCATTTATAGTTGACAAAAGTAAAGGCTAGCTAGCATTCAGACGTCTTCGCAGCCTTCTTTGTGTTTAACATTTTGACTTTTACTTAAATCAATGCCAAAGGTTAAAAGGAGCCGAAAACCCCCTCCAGATGGATGGGAACTAATTGAACCCACTTTGGATGAACTTGACCAGAAAATGAGAGAAGGTGAGGGTTTGAATCGCTTGTTTCATGTTAGCAACCTATCTTATTAGCCACTGAGCGTAATGTCAACCGGTCTATAAAATCTAATTTTTCTTTTCATTTTAATTTAACAGCGGAAACAGAGCCACATGAAGGCAAGCGAAAAGTTGAGTCACTCTGGCCAATATTCCGGCTTCATCACCAGCGAAGCCGTTATATTTTCGACTTGTTCTACAAACGAAAGGCCATAAGCAGAGGTTCGTCCAAACTATTACTTGAATGTTTCATGTATGTTAAGAGTTATATATTTAAACCTAATCCGTGTAAATATTTTATTCAACAGAGTTGTACGAATATTGCATTAAGGAAGGATATGCAGACAAGAACCTCATTGCGAAATGGAAGAAGCAGGGCTATGAGAATTTGTGTTGCCTGCGGTGCATTCAGACCCGAGACACGAACTTCGGAACAAATTGCATCTGCAGAGTTCCGAAAAGCAAGCTTGAAGTGGTGAGTATCACAGTGTGTTTACTTGTCTTTCATTTAAGAAAAACATCTATCTTTGCGAAAAACGTGTTCATTTGAGTGACTAGGTTACACGCCGTGCGCTTTGAATGTTCCTGCTATTATGATTGTACTTGACATAAGCTGATTGCATGAATATGATTTTGGAAAGCTGTCACTGAATGCAGAATCAACTGCTTTCTGTTCCACAGGGAAGGATTATCGAGTGCACCCACTGTGGATGCAGGGGATGTTCTGGTTGAATTTTGTACTTTTTGAAGAAGAAAAAAAAAAAAAAGAAACGGAACTCATAATACACCTCCACGCTTTGGAGATGCCCTGACCGTACACTCTACCATTCCAAATCTCTAGCTTACGCTGAGATGGTCATATGGGCATTTTAATCTCCATTTGAGTGTGGATGCTGTTAAACTCATTGCTGTATACCTTGTGTGTGCTTTTTATTTTAAATAAAATGACTTCTATAAACATGCTTTTTGTTTAAAAGAAAATGGAAGGTTGATTCTGCATGAAATTGGAGCTAGGTATATAAGTACATAATGTTTAGAGTCTCAATACTGGTGACGTTGTGCATTCAGCCATGGAAAATTGATTTATTTGTTCAAATAGGTCATCATGACAACTGAGGAGCAACAGCTTCCAGTTTACAATTGTATTGATTTTCTTCATATGGCATCATGTACTGGACAAAAAAAGCCTCAAAATATTAAATGATCCCCACGTGTCTAAATTATCTGCAAATGAAATGAGAAATGTGAAGTACCCTTGTTTTAGAGGAATGAACAAGGGCTCTTCATGAACTGTTACAGTGTTAATTCTCCTTGATTTGTTTTTGCAAATGACAAAATGCAGGATCATCAGCATGATGAGAATCAACACAATGGGCATTAGGAGGTTGTAGCGTTTTGAATTTTATATTAAATAAATGTGATTTGGGGATTTAAATGAATCAGTGACTTTGTGGTTGTTACAATTAGGCTACGAGTTATTCATTATAAATAGCTTAGAGTGCTTCCTCCTGGAAGTGTCTGTGTAAGTGGACATCAAAATCTTGTCAATCCCTCTGCCAGAAATGTTTTCATTTTAATCACACCATAATCAGGCTCAGTTGACCCTTAATAGCCTAGTAGTGAATGTGGTGGGTTGGAGTGAGAACATTCTGGCAGGGAGTCTTCCCGGAACGGGATTGAGAACTACTGCTTTAAACTATAAGGCTGTTTCAGTTATGAACTGAATAAAGTCTGAAAGTTCTGAGAATAACTGGTACAGCAGGAAGTGTTAGGTCACTTGCATCTGTGAACACTTAATATGTAATCAGGGGAACATGACATCCTTCCAAGCCCCAAAACATTAACATCTGGTATGACAGAGGAAAACTGCCAACTCTGCTGCTCCCAGAACCCAAGCCTGCAGCACATCCTCTCCGGTTGTAAGGCAGCGTTACCACAGGGCCGCTACTGGTGGCGTCACGACCGGGTCCTGGGTAAGCTGGCTGAAATTCTGGTGGCATGTAGGCTTGAAGCGAACAGGACCAGTCCAGTACCATCTCAGATATCGATTCACTTTGTTAGGCAAGGAGACCAGGGGCCTGTTTCACAAAGCAGGATTACTTGCTTAGCCAGATGACTTGCCAGATTTAAGGTAGTCTGGGCCAAATAGACCTTATTTTCATCAACTTACATTTAGCCCAGACTACCTTAAATCTGGCAAGTTATCTGGCTAAGCAAGTAATCCTGCTTTGTGAAACCGGCACCAGGACCTGTCCTACACTCGTAGGGTGTGGTCTCTCTCGACACCTTGAGCTGAGTAGAACTTAACGGCTGACCTTAACCAGCGGCTCAGGTTCCCTCAGGAGATCACCCCAACCTCTCTACAACCCGATATAGTGCTCTGGTCCTCCCTGACCAAGGCTGTCATCATGGTTGAGCTGACCATTCCGTGGGAGAAAGGAATGGAGGCTGCCTTCGAGAGGAAGGAGGACAAGTATGCAGAGCTGGCAGCTGCATGCTCACAGGCTGGGTGGAGGGCATTCACATTCCCACTGGAGGTTGGTTGCAGAGGCTATGCAGGAACATCAGCTCAGCGTCTCCTCAAGTCCCTGGGCATCAGAGGTACCAATCTGAAGAGCCATCAGAGGTACCAATCTGAAGAGCCATCAGAGGTACCAATCTGAAGAGCCATCAGAGGTACCAATCTGAAGAGAGCCATCAGAGGTATTGCTGAGGAGGCAGAGCAGGGGAGCTTCTGGCTCTGGCTCCACAGGAAGGACAAACAATGGGGGAAGGAGGGATCTTAGGGCCAGCTGCAGGGGGTGGTAGAGAGACGTCCCAATCGCTGCTCCACCACCCAGAGAAGTTCCGGGATTTAAGGAGCGAAACATCAGTGAAGGGTGGCTCTGTCGGAGGTGTGCCAGGCAGAGATGCCAGGCAGGTGGTTTCACCTACCTGTGTTGAATATTACAGTGGACACCTGCGGCCTGTTCAACAAAGCAGTATTTCTTGCTTTGCCAGATAACTTGTCAAATTTAAAGTAGTCTGGGCTAAGTGAAAGATTAAGAATGTCCATTTAAACTAGGGTACCTTAAATCCAACAAGTTATCTGGCTAAGCAAGGAATGCATCAGGCTCCTGGTGACCACACAGTCTCTCTTCTGGAAGGCTTTGGTCATAGCACCATGTGTATTAGCCTGATTGGTTAAGGTTATGCCATCATATGCTGTACATGAAGGTATACAGGAACAGAGTATACTGAGGTTTGGAGAAGACACTTGAGATTCCAGGTGAGCATTTTTCTTTGATACCTCGTCTTTTAATCATCTCAAACTCTCACCTACCCTGGGGGTCAAACTGACCTGAAAGGCACATGTCAGACTTTTCTCATAGTAATTATTGTAGGAGCGTATTATAGTTAAATTGGCTATGGATGAATGAATTATTCCACAAGAGAAAAGGGACTTCAGATGAACTGATTACAATATTTAAGTTTTATTGGTCATGAACATCACTTTGTACAGAACACTCATTTAACATGTGAATATATATGTTGACATGGGTCACTCACTACAAAGTGTGGCAGAAGAACCAGGGTCTTTCAGTGGTACTTCCTCCACCGGTCATGTTCTAAAAGATTAACAACAGGGGAAAATGCATGTGAAATGGCTCAAGTGAGTAACTTTAGGGGTGTATATATAAAGTCTAGGGCTGGACCATATGCCGTAAAAATAAAATTCAGAGATTTCCACAATATTGATATTTATCACAATATTCTAAACTTCACATGTTCAAGGAAAATATGACCGTTTGTTTCGAGTGTTTCTGATTATGATGACCAAATTGTTTTACTAATTGTTATAAGCTGAATGAGTTATAGAAAGGCATAATGACAAGTCACACCAATAACAGACTTGTACCTCGATGGGATTGTTTAATATTGTTATAACCAGGGATTGACATAACTGGTACGCATTCACCTTTAAAAGCGATACATGCGGCAGTCGATTAATGTAACTGCGCAAATATGTACGTATTTTATGTGCATTGCGCTGATATGACAAGAAATTACCATGCATTTTGATCTGTATACTGCAAATGAAGTATAAATTAATGTATAAAGGTTATAATGCACATAAAATAGGTACACATTCACGCTGTTACAACAATCAATTGCCGCACGTATCACTTTTAAAGGTGAATGCATACTTGCGTACCAGTTATGTCAATCCCTGGTTATAACTGTTAATAATGCAAGAAAAGTGTTTCAGCTATACCACAATACTCATGATATTCAAATTCATGACTATAATCATGATACAGTATTTTATCAATAAATCGCCCAGCCGTAATAAAGTCACTAATGTTTACATGAAGAGGAACAAAAAAAGAATCCTCAAAGAGGTTAATAGATATGATCTGCACAGCAAATATTTATACTTCAGATAGTGGTGAAGCAATGTTACTTCTAAGGAAGTTAAATTTTACTCACTGATGTGATCATATTCCCAGATATAACTCAGCACCACGTAACCGGTCAGCAGCATTGCAATGCCTCCAATACCACCCTTCTTGACGTTGATGTACTTGTTGAAATATCGGTCATGCCCTGAAAGTATAAATACTCCATTTAAAATACATTAATGTTAATCTAGTTAGTTATTTTAGTATATTAACATAAGTCGGTTTGCCAAGCAGTTATGATATCGGAAAAGGGAGACCGACCTCGGCGAATGGCGGAGAGAATGCCATTAGGGGTGAAGTCCCTCGTTCCGGCCCATGCCGGAAGCTGACTCAACTTCACATCCAACAGCTTCTTCTCGGACAAGGGCACTGAAATCATTCCAAAAATATTTAATTAACTGGCTGTCACAAAACACCAACGCAAAACCTTTCATAAAAGCACAATTTTGGGCAGCAATCAGTACACACTGCTCAAATGCACCAAGACCTACCAATTTTTTACCGCAATAAAGCCGTTATTACAAGGCAGTAGAAGAAGCCGGTGTTAAAACACTACAACTAACAAGCAACACAAATTCTGTTTTTTTAAGGAGGAGGAGGTAAGGAACATGCGCTGCACCTGCCACGACAAACCGCTTGAGTGCAGCCGTGCAGTGGGTGATACCTCAGCACCACACTATTCCGAATTAGTATTTTCTGATGGCTGGAGTGCCAATCCTGCCACCAACCACCAAATTTCCCTGTATGTTGGAGGACTTCTTCACAGGGCTAGATGCAAATTAACGTCATAACCAGGATAAAGCAATTGCAGGTTAAGGGCCTTGCTCAAGGGCCCAATTGAGTAGTATACTCGTGGCATTAACAGGATTTGAACTAGCAAGTTTGTTTTTAAGAAACGTAGCTAAATTTAAGCATTAATCAATTAATGTAGCAGTTGATGCAGCTCAGACATACAACAGGCTACTGAAACTATAATTAGCAGGCTATTAAATGAGTTTCACTTATTTGTGTACGTTGTAATGTTTGTAATTGCCTCGCGTACCTTAAGTGATGCATAATTATTTTAATACCTGGTACTTCTTAGCTCACGCGTATACAACAGATTACTAATCTCAATGCAACACATAAAAGGAAGGGTTGCCATTTTTACAATGGGGATTGCCTAATTAGCATTCTAACTAGTTTCTTAAGTATACAGGTCCACTAATGCAAAAAACTTATGAAAGCGAATGAAAGGACAATGTAAATCCAAAGAAAAAGCCAGGCCTAAAACACTATGTACATTATTGCTTAGGATGTCAGGTAGCAAACGTCTGACAAGAAAGACCTTGACTTGACTCAGAAAGAAAATGGTCGCATTGGCCCCTCTATAGATAACGCTTAATACCACATTTGTTAAATCACTTTTAGACAAACTGTATACACACTTTAAGTAACATTATGTCACTGACCCATGTTATGTATTTCAAAACGACGCCTGTTAAAATATATTAACGTGAAGATTTAAAGTTTACCCTACCAGGTCTATCAGCCATCTTGCTCAGCGCTCATTCAGCTACGCCGCAGGGAATTCTGGGAACGGAATTGTACTTAAAGGATTATGGGAATAAGGTCAGATGGGTGTGGACAGAAAAATCTGCCATATTAGTAGGTATAAAGGAAGGCAAAATTTAGTTTTTGTGTCGGGTGAGTTAGACAAAATAAGGTATTTGTAAAACATAGAAGTCACAATACTTAGACGAAGGTGTCAAATTTGAATAGTAGGGGCTGAATGATATCATTTACATAAATAAAAATCAGACTAAAGACCCCAGTAATAAACACCAATTTGCGACACTGTTCACTATCAGCAGGGCCTTGCTGGTTCTAGTGCCCGAGGCGAGATTCTGTTGAATGGGGTACACTATAATTATAATAATAAGTATTATAAATTATTACATTCCTTACATTCGAACCAATACTACTAAAATATATATTCACATTCATCATAACTTCAGTGCAGATACGATGGAGCAGAAAAGATAAAAAAGATAAAAATGAAAAAAAAACCAGCCCAAAATGAGTAAATATAAAAACAAAAAGTATAACAAAAACAGATTGTTTGCATGATTTTCGCTAATTGAAGATCTCATTATACGTGCTCATAAATTTTATTAATTTTGTAAAAATTAGTCAATGCGTCATATTAACATGTACGCATGTGTATTGATGAGGAGCGCGGGGGTTGCCGGGCTTGAGGAGGACCGGAGGCTTTGCGGTGCAGTGTGGGATAGCGGAAGATTAGTGGAGCGAACTCGACTGTAAGAAATGGTGAGTGAGGAAGAGAAACAATCTCCTTTTAAATTGAACTCATGCTCTGTAAATATAAGCAAGCAGGCGTAACGCTGACTACAGTATATGAGTTGTATTTGCGTTTTTAAGTCTTGTCGGAAAAGCAGGAGGGAATTAATCTTATAAATGAACTTCTTTGTTTGGCAATATTATATATTTAGCCAACTGAACAGGAGGAAGCTGCTTGTTGTGATGTTGTCGTGCCGCAGACATGGAAAATGGAGGCAGCACTCTTAAACAAGGCCCCATTTTAAAATCTAAAGCTAGGAACACTACAATAAACCCAACTTGACATATAACCTGTCTGATAATTACACAAATTTGTATGTACGTACGCCGGGCATACGACCCATTTTCAGGAACCTAATGTCCGACATGCGCTCAATACAAATATAACCAAAAGCCGCATGAGCGGTACAGTCAAGTCTTAATAATAGTAACGTTGTAAATCAGTATGACAGTAAGGCTAGCCTATATAGTAAGGCATTCTTAGATTACCAAGTAAAAACGCGTGATTTAACGGATTAGTGGTTTACGTGCAATGTGGCGATAGAGGTCCGTGGTTTAAAGGAAGTGTACGAAAGCAAATCACATTAGTGAAGCGTTCACCTGTTTAATTAGACATAGCTTAATTTTGTTTGCCTTTATGAGTAAATGCTTCGCCAATTTATTTATTATTATCAACTGCTTTCGAAGGAATATCATCTGAAGAGGAACGTCTTAAAATGTGCCAGTTGTTTTGCTTAATGTGTACGCGTTGAAAATGTTAACTTAGGTCGAAAAATAATTTGATCATTTATTATGGGCTAATTAATGAAACCTGATATGATTGTAGATCGGTAAACAAAATAACCCGTTAAAGGAAATATTAACACTGAGTATTTTTATATTTGGGGAAAGTGAGTGGTCTACTTGTTATAAACACAAAGTAAAAAAAAATCCCAACACTCCAAACTTTTGTCAAGTGCCCCGTGTCGGTCTTGAGGGTTGCCAGATAAGGGACAGACACTGTGGAGCCGGTGGTTTAAAAATGAAAACTGATAATGAAGTGGACCGAATGTGCTAATTATCACTATTCATGAGAGGGGAAGAAAGCTTCCCTGCCACTCTGACCAGAATAGGTGTACAGAAGAAACACAGGACATCAAAAAGAGAAGACAAATCAGACAATCACAACTGTAGATAGAGGATTCATGTAGTTACATGCAGAGATGGTTTTAAAACAGGATAGCATGTTTGCTGCTACTAGTAGAGGACAGTAATACAAGGTGTCCCAGTCCAGCATTGTACTTCAGATCAGTTTTATTTTTCAAATATTTTTACTAAGGTGAAGCAGCTTTGGGATCAAGCACAACCATCTGTACACTGACTGCTGTCTTTCAGTTGCATATGGGCAGAATGAACTTACCCTGTTTTCTGTTGTCTGTGTCATAGGATGTGTTCTTGATGATCCGGCGTCATAAGACGACCATTTTCACTGACGCCAAGGAGTCCACCACTGTATATGAGCTAAAACGTATCGTAGAGGGGATTCTCAAGAGGGCGCCTGAGGAGCAGAAACTCTTCAAGGTATGTGGGGAATTCAAGGCCTCTGTGCCTGTGATCAGAAGGTTGCCGGTTTGAGCCCCAGCCTCGCTACGTCTGCAGGTCCTTGAGCAAGGCCCTTAACCCCCAGCACCCTGGGAGCTGCTATGGGTGACCAGCTTCGGGGGAGGCGAAAAGAGAATTCCCCCACAGGGATCAATAAAGTATCAATTATTATTATCTTTCTAATTTAGGATGACCAGGTGCTAGATGACAACAAGACCCTGGGAGATTGCGGCTTCACCAACCAGACTGCTAGGCCCCAAGCCCCAGCCACTATTGGACTGGCTTTCCGTATCGGCGGTGAGTATGTCTGTCATTGTCATACATATGTGGTTCGTTCAGTGATGCATGTCTGTCGGGAAGAAGCAAGTCTGTTTTTCCCCCAGGCTTTCAAATACTGTTAAAACATACTGTGATCTGAAAAGGTTTGCTTCTTTTTTGTCCCCAGATGACATGTTCGAACAGCTTCGCGTGGACCCCTTCTCCAGCCCCCCCGAGCTGCCAGATGTGATGAAGCCACAAGACTCCAGCAGCGCTGCCAATGAGCAGGCCGTGCAGTGAGGGCTGGGGGGTGTGGCCCGGTGGAGCGTGTGTCCGTGGGCAGTGCAAGAGGAGATTGTAGGGGAGCAAATAGATATGTGTATACCCCCCCCCCACACCCTCCCGCACGCAATAACATGCATATTACATGTTGTATTAACCATACACCCCCTGCCTCGCTCCAGTTCGCCCACCTCAGTACACACTAACATCCACACATGAATGGATTTAAAGGAGGTCCTATATCTGATTGATGTCAACTCAAACATGTCTGTCTGTGAGGTCATAATGGGAGCGAGTGACACAGTGCTCCCATAAATGCGCTCCTTGGTGCAGTTGAGTAGTATATGTTCAGTCTTGGGAGGAACTTAACTGCAAAGAATGGAAACATTTCCCCCCCCCCCCAATCATTTCAGATTGCTTTTGTGTTCTGTGTCACCCTAATTGTTAATATTGTTTAGGATTGTATTAACTTTATAGGGGGGGTATTAAGGGTCGGGGTGTGTGTTTTGTGGCGTCTGCTTTCCTAAAGAAACATGCATGAAAAAAAAAAATAAAATACAGAAAAACACTGGATGCTAGATAGATGCTCCATGTACAGTTGAGTAGGCTGTTGAAATGACCTTAGAGCAGAAAATGAGTTTTTCCTGTTGATCATCTTCCTCTTCTGAAATGCCTTTTCAGGTTGAGTTGTCCCTCTGCTTGCTGTACCCTCCCTTGCAGTTCCGTTTCAGCTTGTCTTCATTTAGCCAGTGACTTAAGTCTGTGTAACCTGAGCTTGTCTAGAAGTACCTTTTCTTCCCCCCCCCCCACCCCGAGTACCAAGTATGGGTGGTGCCCCCCCAACATCTCTTTGCAGTCTCATTTGTGCTGATACCAAAGGTGCAGTTAACACCAGATCTGTTTAGTGTCTGACAGTTTGTTTGGGGTAAGGAGGGGGTGTCACAGGATTGTAATAACCCAAAGCACAGCTCGGTGTGCCGTAGGGACACAGTGTCTACTGAATTTCCTTTGTTGCACGTTTAATATTCAATGATATAATCGACGATATGACAGCCCTTTTGGGGGTCCTGCAGTTGACATCAAATTGTTTCAGAAGATGAACAATGACTAAGTTGAATAAAGACAAGTGCTTTTTCATTTTTTTTAATTAATGACAATATTCCATGCAGCTTGGAATAAAAAAAATATGTGGTATCATTTGTTATATGTGCACATGTCAAAAATCTCTTTTTCAGAGTATTTAGCAGTACGGTATCACAGCTGCATGCATGTCAGGATTTGCAAAAATTCAGTCGCTTTAGATGATTGTTGTTGGCATTTGTAAGTTAGTTAGGACTCATACACAGTTTGATAACATATTTTATCAGAGTTAATGAATCTTAAAGGGCACTACATTCTCAGAAAACAAGGTACCAACTTGTTCCTTTGCTTGTCACTGGGGCTGTACCCTCTAGGGTCTGCCAGTTGTACCCTTAGCTGTAGGTAATTTTACCTTTTATGGTACAGAAATGGACCCTGAGGAACACTTTTGTCCCATTGGACGTATATTAATGTCGTTTGTAGTTTGGGGAGTCCATTTAAGGTACAGAAATGTAAGGTACAGCCCCATTGACAAGCAAAGATACAAACCTTGTATTCCTGGGAGTTTGTTTACAAGGGCACGTATATAATAAACATTTTAAAGTGTTCATATTCACCAGACCTAGATTTCCCTGCTAACCGGGTAGGCTTAAATAGGATATATAATCTCAACTTTATTTCAAGTCGTATTTCCAGATTCGGGAATTAGGTATTCACGGTTTTTGTCAACGGCAGGTTGGCCGTGAATATTTTTGGACGACGCATAAGCCAAAAATACGTAATACTGAAAATGATTTGGATCAAATAAAATCTTATATAAATATTGCTGTTATTTGACATTTGTTCGTGTAAGTACATAATATATATTTAATGTTCAAAATCTTTCGGCAACCAGCATCACTCATGTGTCTCTGACCGTGGAAAATTGACAGTGCCGTCAATTTTGCATTTTTGATGATTGACCCAAGTATTATTCGCGAATTTTCACATCCGCAAGGATCTACCGCCCCTAAATCGGGCGAATGTGAAAGGGTGGACTGTTCAGTTCCTACTCGATTTCGGGACTTGCCGCGGTGAAGTTCCATCTGCAGCCACGAGGTGGTGGTGGCCATTTAAGCGGCGTCATATCTCCAATGGAAGCCTGAATCAACGTGGGTCTATGGTACGAAAAAGTTAATCAAAAATACCAGCGCTTTTCGCTTACAAATGCCAGTTAAGGTAAGTTAAATGTTACGGCTCTTTACAAATACAGGGGATAAATATACTCTGTCTTTGGCTAATGATCTACAAACTGGAGGATGGCTGAAAACGAGGTAAAATGCAAAGCAGATCCATGCTGATGCGAGTTGTGTTGGTGCCTTTATACAGGTTGTGCGGAAGTTTAAATATTATTTGTTAAATAAATGGTAACGTGTGCATATTAAAGTCAGTGTAGTCAGTTTATGAAACTGACACGATGTGATATAAAGATTACAGGACTGTTGGTGGTAAATTTTTGTGAATCGACACATTTTGCATTGTTGATTTTGCATAATGATGATTTAAGTGATTTTTTTTATTTTATTTTTTACAAGAACGATAAAGACCGCGGTGTGCATGTAAGACTGGGTTGATACCGTGTTTTTTTTAAGCACTATGACCTACAACATGGCCTGTGTGATCTCGGCCGGTCGGGCCGTCCTGGAATTGATGCAGTTCGACTGGGAGCCGTTATCGCACGGAGAGCTGGACCAGCGGCTGGACCAGGCTGTGGAGGAGATCCTGGAGGCCGATCTCATTGAGAGGGCGAAGACCCAGACTGCGCCGGTGTGTCTGCAGCAGATTCAGCTCCCAGAAGCGACGCCGCACCCCCTGCATTCGGAAGCGGCTGAGCCGTCCGAGGAGTCTGAGCAAACACTGCTGTCGAATCCAATAGAAGAGGATAACCACGCAGTACGGGTGTGTTTAACTCCCTTAACTATTTATTTTGTTAAAAGGAGGAACTATTGTGTAGGTTATATGCTCCATCTGTTTTGCATTGAGTGAGCTGGAATGATGGTAGGACTGCCTCAGTACATCACAGATCTTCTCCGGAACTCGGACTCCAGCTACAGTAAGAGCCGGCTGACGGGCCGGGCGCGCCTCTCGCTGCCGCACACCGTGCTGCTGTCACTCACCCTGCTGTCGCGGAGGCTCAGCTACCGCTCCGTGTCCGCGCGCTTCCGGCTCGAGAAGGGCAACATCCACCGCATCTTCTTCTCCTTCTGCGAGCGCGTGAACGCGCTCCGGGATCAGCAGATACGATGGCCGGCGGGTAAGCACCTGACCCAAGCAATCAGGAACTCTAAATACTTTATGGGTGTGCTGGGAACTGGGATAAAACTGGTTTGTGAAATATTGGATAAGTAAACTAATGTTCCTCGTGTCTCCTTGTCAAGGCCAAGAGGCAGAGAGGATTTTAGTGCCTTTGTCGGATGCCTTGGAGGATGTTGAGGGTGTGGAGACGACGGAGGTCCCCAAGGTGTTCGGCATCCTGGGACACACTCGTATCCCCATCCGGCTGCCGATCGGCAAGCAGGAGATTGGGGAAGGCCTGCTGGAGATGAAGAAGATGAAGAAGGAGGTGCACCCAGACTCGTGGCTTAACCTGGAACTGGTGTGTGATGGCCAGGGCCGATTCCTGCACTGCAGCATCAGCAGGGGCTCCGACGGGGCCCGGGGCCAGGCCCTGAGGGAGCGCCTTCGGTTGGACCCGCACGCTGTGCCCCACGGTGCCTTCCTGGTGGCTGGGCGGAGTTTCCCGCCGTTGGCCCGGATACTGACCCCGTACCCCGTAGTGGGCTGCGGCCCCCGGGAGGAGGCCTACAATCGGACCCTGGCGGCTCACCTTGACGTGCTGGACCGGGCCGTGGCCGAGCTCAAAGCTCGCTTCCACCGCCTGCGCTACCTGGACATGGGGAACTTTGAGAGGGCGCGGGCCGTGGTGCTGACAGCGTGCATCCTGCACAACGTGTTGCTGGAGATGGGAGAGCGTGTGACTCCTGCTCAGGTGGTGAGGGAGGAGGGGGATGAAGAGGAGGGACAGGGGGACGAGGATGGGCTGAGGACGAGGGAGGCCATGGCGGACCTGCTATCCAGAAGGACTCAAGTTGGGAGCAGCTGAAAAATTGTGAAGACCGGGTGCTGATCAATGTCAACACGCAGCAGCTACATGTGATAGACGCTGCCCATTTCACACGACCCAGTCACAGAACAGACAAGACTGTAAAGTTTCTTTTTATTAAAAGCTCCACTGATAGCTTCTGCAGCCTGTTTTTAAACTGTGTGCAAGATCTATTTACAATGGCAGGTGCAAACCTTCCCAAAATGCTTTGACAGCACAGTCTTGAATCGCAGGTGCAAACTGACAGACTGATGTGCAAAATAGTACTTTGGGTTTTCACTCAGATCAACTGCAAATGTTTCTTCATCGCCCCAACCTCATTCTTTATTGCTTTTAAATTATTATTAATCCGATAAAGAGCCGCGTCCATATATGTACCCTCACAGTAGCAGGTGACAACTGGTTAAAAAAAAAAAGTTACAGATTCTTCAAGAGTATATCCAAAGAAAATGTAAACACACCGTTTTTAATTTATAAATGTAACAAATATTGAATGTTTTTAAATTGTACAGTCTGGGTTTTAAACTGAAGTTTAGTACACAGGCCAAAAATAAATCTCTGGAAGTTGAAGCTCTGAGTCGAAAAATAAAATGCTCTTCTGAGTGGCAGGGTTTTGTCACTCAGCAACCGTTGCCCCGGACGCGGCCAGCGTTTGATGTGATTGGCTACCTGGCTTCCTTCGGCAACTGTAACCTGGCGTCCTCAGCCAAGCTCGATATTGCTCTGGCTAGGTTATTAATGGCTTCGATCTTCCTCTCCTCTAGGGCCTTCTGTTGCATCCACAGGTTCATTTTCCTCTCCTGCAGTTCCAGATATAAGTGCAGCACATCCTGGGAGGGTCGAGAGGACTGAGGGGCCAGGGGCAGAGCAGGGGTGGGGAGGATGGGTGTGAAGTGCTTGCTGGCCAGAGGGGGGCCCAGTTTCTGCGTGTGCGGCTTCGACTTCCTCTGCACCTTGGCCTCGTCTCCGCTCCTGCCCAGGACGTCGTGCATGGCTGGGAAGAACTCCCAGTGCACGCTCTGAGCCCCCAGCCGCCTGGCGCGCTCTGCGTTCTTCCTGTAGGTGGCCAGCATGTTCCTCCACTTGAGGTCGCACTCGTAGGCCTTCACAGTGCCGCCGGGGTGACCCGCCTCCTGGAGACTGGCTGTCACTCTCTCGGCCACCGTCTCCCACAGCTTCTTCTTCTTACACACTGGCTGGTCGAACTCGGCATCCATGGAGAGTCGGGTGCGGACCAGCTGCCAGGTGACCTCAAGGGTCCACACAAACTCTGGAACGGGGTGCGAATTAAGGCGACAGGGTATAAAGCAGTGATCTAATGTCACAAAGTTAAACATAAACACAAAACATCCACAAAAAATGACTAATTCAGACTAATACACAGATAGTATGTTTACCTATTGGGATGCAATACTTTCCTTGTGGATAATGTAATTTGGATATGTATCCCATGGTTCAAAAGTTGTTCAAAATCCTAATAAAATACAGGAACCATTTATATATAACACAAAACCCAGAGGATGAAATTTAAATAACCCCCCTGGTGGAACAGCGTTGGAAAATCATTAACAGTTTTTCGTTTCGTTCAGTAGGAACGCATTATATTTACTGTTATTGTACATGTGCAACGAAACTATGTGTGGTTCGTTGTACATGTATTTGCGGAAGATATTAGTGCCACATGCATACCACACATTCACGGTGTCTACTTTAAACACATCTGATACGAAAGTTAGTTCAAAATAGCCGTAAACCATTTTTGCAAATAAACTACTTAATATTGCACATCGGTTTCATTAAGTGGCAATTATAATAATATTAATTATTAAAACTTGCTGGAAACGGTAATGTTTGTATTTGGGCACACATCTTTATACTTGTTAAATTATGAGTAACGATCCTCCATGTAAAACATACTCTTGCACAATCGCTGTTTAATGCCTTTCCTTTTGCGTGCACAACTTACCTCCTTTAGATTTATCATAATCCAAATTGGAAGCCACCTTTGGTTTGTCATTATTGTTTTCAGTACTTTCACTTATTATGGTTTCAATGCTTTCCATAGTGCGATGTAGCTGACAGGCAATAGCGCTGTGAGAGAGCGATTTGCAGTGGATTTAAACAACACTTTTGCGTTGCACCGCTGGTTTTTTTTCCTCGACATCAACTAAACCGATGATTATAACAACCTGCGTATTTTGAGCGGAAGTAAAGATGTGGCGCCTCGCGGCATATGGTAAATGTAGTTTTTTAAAGTCACGATTCTGCTAAACGGAGAGCAGCATTTACAAAACTGCAGTCGGACCACACTATGTGGAAAATCAGCACGGCTGTGAAAAAATTCACGCACATGTAGAGAAAATACTGTTTATTTTCGAGTGGCTTTTCGGCAGGCAACTTAGGGACGATCCGCCAGTGAGACCACGAGTCCCAGAGAGCAAATATAATACCCGCCTTTCCGTCCCTCCCTCTCCGGCCGCCGCCTTCCTGTTTGTTATTTTGCTGAAATGGCGTTAGCTGCTAGCTAAGAAGATTTCGTTTGGGTTGTTAAAATACAAGCGGTAGGTACAAGCACACTGCAGGGGCATAAAAATATAATGAATGGTTGGTTGAAGACTAAGCAGGTAAAAGAGGGGAACTGTTATCCGTGTCCGGTGTTGCGTTTTTTTCTTTCGGCCTATTCACTTGAACAGGCTTATTCCAGAGAGACGAAGTGGGGTTATTGAACTACAACTCCCTATGTCACCGCTAGTGGCACGTCAGACGTAAAGCGTTCTTTTAGGATATGCTGGGTAGCCTAGTTTTATGTCGGTATCACCGCCCCCCTTATTTGACTTATTTTGCTGGTTTTCATAAATCCCGTTTACACTGAGAGGTGTAAGAATCTACAATCGATTCATTTTGACCAGAGTAGTTGCGAGGTAATAGAAAGGGTGAAAAATATAGGTGACAAGCTTACAATATTCTTTATATTTTTGGGATGTTTAACAGACACAGTTTGTGCTACTTTTTTCTATCCCGACCTTCTCCTCCCCTTAGATATACTGTAGTTGAGGAGTACTCCAAAGAGTGCGAATTGGAAGCTTTATGGAAATGCTTCCATCGCATCAACATGGAAAACTCGAATGCAGCCGTTAGCAGTGGAGGGACGACGGCCGGTGTACCGGAGTCCTCGCTGTCCTGGTGCCTGTTGCAGCTGCAGAAAACGGAAAATCCCACCAAGGCAACGGCTGGGGGCGGACAAGGCAAAGAAGAGGAGCGGAAGGAGGATGCAAGGAAGGCCCGGGCAGGGCTGTGGCGGGCACTGGTCGCGATCCGGACCCAGCACATCAAAGGGGGCATTTCAAGCATCATTAGGTTCAGAGCTCGTAGTGGACTACCTCTTCTCCTGAAACTTCTCCAGCAGTCAGCATGTGACAGGAAGACCCTGGATCTGACGCTCAGCATCCTGGCCAACTGCTGCACAGAGATTGAGACGCGCGCAGAGGTGAGTTACCCCCTTCGCAAGAGAGAGTATGTATTTGGGGACAATGGGTGGTTCTGTGGGTTAAGACACTGCTTTTGATCAAAAGGTTGCCGGTTCAAATTCCATGGTTGGCAGAGTGATTTTACCGTTGGGTGCTGGAGCAAGATTCTTAACCCCAATTGCTCCAGGGATTGTTCTGACCCTGTTTTTTCAATGCATGTTGCTTTGGATGAAGACTTCTGTTAAATGAATTGTTGAACCCTGGCTTGAATGTAACAACATAAACTGGTCTAAAAGGGAGGTTTTAAAAAGCTCCAGATGGAGGTGCTATATAAAAATGATAATCTTTGGCTTTCTTCTGGGTCTCATTCTGTAGGTGAGGAAATTGGGAGGGATACCACTGATTGGTGAGTAGAATGGTGCAGATCTGCCTGTAATCCATGTCTCCGTGAGCAGTTCCTCATGGTAAAGCTTGTTTTCTCTTCACAGTGGAGATCCTGAAGAACGTCTCCGTGGTAACGGTGCAGAACCGAGCCGCAAGGACCCTGGGAAACCTGGCCATTGACTCTGAGAACTCAGAGCTGATCCACTTTGCAGGTAAGTCCAAGGAATGCAGTACTGTGTGTGAGCAGAGCGCTCGGGTTTCGGGAACAGGTTGTGTTTTGTTGTTTCCAGTTGGGGTGTGCATGTGGGTTTTAAAACTGAATAAATGCCTCTTTTCTGTTTCAGGTGGTGTCCCACTCCTTATCCTTTGCCTCGCCATCTCCCCTCCTGCCTCAAGTTCCCCCACCCTCCCCTCGACACCTGCTGGCCCAGTGTTGGAGTGTGCCCAGTCTGCTGCCCGTGCTCTCCAGTATCTCTCCGACACCCCCTTGAACCGTCTGTCTTTGCTGTCCAAGGGTGCTCTTCCCGCTCTGGTCCTGCTGATTGCCCCTGAGTACCCTCCTGGTCTGAGGCGAGCCTCTCTGCGTGCTCTGAATGAGCTGACGAGGGGTTGCGGAGCAGAATGTGCCCGGGAAGTGGTTCGGTCGGGAGCGCTGGACCAGCTAGGGGCCCTGGTCATGGAAGAAGCTGATTGGCCCTCAGAAGAAGTTGGCCTGAAGATTTTGGCCAACCTGTGCTCCCAGGGCTGCCTCCGCCCACTCGTGGGGTCACTGGGGGTGATTCCGAAATTTGTCGAGGAGGCGAAAGGCAACACTCCGAAATCCGCCCTATTCTTTCGAGCCCTCTGCTTGTGCTGCAAGGAGGCTGTGAACAGGGTCAAGGTGAAGGAGAGTGGTGGATTGGAAGTTTTGATTGGCTCGCTCTCTGTCAGTCAGAGCCACCCGTTTTCCCGATTGGCTGTTTTGGCCTTTGTTGACTTTGTTTACGATGAGGCGGTGATGGAGCAGCTCCAGGGACTGGGGCTGGTTCCACTGCTGGTAGCCAGACTGGTTGCTGCAGCCAAAGGCGAAGGGCCAGCTTCCGGAGAGGCGGATACGTCCACTGCCTCTTCCTCTGAACTGATGTCTACTTCCTGCTTTGACTCCTTTGATTTCCCACCACCAGAGGCAAACCGGAAAGATGATGGAGGGAAGGAGCACGGACAGGAGTCCTCCAGCTTTCTCAGCCTGAGGTACGTTTGTGTGTTGTGGTACGGCTCGGAAAGTGTGTGTGTGTGTGTGTGTGTGCATGACACTACGAAGTAGATTCAACAGAGTGCTGTTAGATAAAGGAGAGGAAAGAATGATCAGATCCCTGACAAAGAATAGAAGCACCTAATGGGAGTATTTTTGGAATTTAAATGACTAAAGGTTTTAACAAACTAACGTAAACCACAATAGCATCTTAATTGTGCAGTGCGTCTAAAGCAGTGATGACACATTTAGCACGAAGCAAGATGCTTGTCGCTTATATTTGGGATCCTGGGGCCTGTACTACAAAGTGGGGTTACTGGCTTATCGAGGTCACTTGTCGGATTTAAGGTAGCCTGAGCAAAATGTAAGTGAACGAATATGAAGTCTATGAAGATGTTTATTGGGAGACCTTATCTGAGAAAGTGGCCATTTGGGGGATAAAGATCTGTTTAGCAGAGAAGCTCATTGAATAGAAGGAGTCTGAGTGCCTTTACTGCTCTTGTCCTTCTAGGTCTTGGTTGTTGTCTGAAGGGCTGATCTCCTGTGAGGGGGAGCTGCTATCTCCCACGGCGACTGGGGTTGCTGAGGGAGAGCTTGGCACTTGTCCTCCGACCTCTTTGTCTGATAGGCTCTCTCTTTTTTCTGGCCCCTCCTCTTCGACCACACCTACTCCCACACCATTGACGGTTCCCTCACCGCCAGCTGTCAAGAGCCCTTGTGGCTCTCGTAACCTGCCTCCTATGTCTACCTCTACCCCCAAACCAAACCACGTCACCTCTGCCACCTTTCACCCGCACCGACCCACACCTCTGTCTCCATCCAAACCTCCTTCACAGAAGGCCGCACCCCCGTCTCCTTCTAAAGCTCGCTCACCCAATGGCAAACGAGCCGGCCCACATCTCTTGGGTCCCGCCTGTACGCTTCCTCCGGAAACCCCTCCCTCGCTGGTGCAGGCCCCCACCTACCAGCACCCCTACCACCCCGAGCCCTGGACAGCCGAGTCGCCAGTCCTGCTCCTGCTGTCCCGCTTTTCCCAGTCTGTGGACCCCAGTTCGGCTCTGGGCAACGCGGCTGCCATCTCGGGCCTCCTGTACTACCTCACGCAGCACAGGGAGCCCAGCAGCCGCTGCTTCCGCGTCCTCTGCCGCCTGAGTTGTAACCCCAACTGCCTGGAGAGCCTGGTCAGGACTGGGGCTGTGGCCTTCATCTGGCTCCGCCTGTGCCTGGGACAGGGGGCCGGGGACAGGCAGACGGGGAGGGTGAAGACCAAGGTGCGGCAGCTGGGTGAGTCTGGGTGGGAGCTGGGAAATGGAGGTTTTTTTCTGTTTTGTATAAATGGTTCTGTGTTAGAAATCATCCATTCATCTTATAATTGCTTATCCCCCAGAACGGGCACGAGGATGGGGTACACCCAGAATGGGATGCCAGTCCACGGCAGGGTACATACAGCTCTGGGGAAAAATTGAGACCACAGCACAATTTTTAGTTTTAAAAATACATTTTTAGTTTATTTTTTTAGTTGTATATTTTACATAGACTAAAATATAATTTTTAAAAAAAAAATTTAATTTTATTTTACAAACTCCTGCCTGGCTCTTCCCTGCTTCTCATTGATGAAGGGCTTCTTCCTTGCTTTATGGGTCTTCAGTTCTGCTTCTAGGAGCCTGATACGAACTGGCAGTACATTTCACACCACTTAATATTTCCCATGAAGGTCACCTTGAGGTCATCCTCCGATTCATGGGGCACTGCCAGATAAGTTAACGGTCATCTCTGCCATTAGAAAGTCGCTTCCGCCCTTTTACCTGGCTGGCTTCTGGTCGTTCCCAGTGTCTCCTGCTTCACCTTGTTCTTGTGTCCTACTGTCTTAGAAACTTCGAGCCTGGAACCAATTTTCCACTCTGTAGCCTTCTGCCAGCAGAACCAGGATTAAACCAGGATTAAACCAGGATTTAACAATGCAGATTCTTAAATATGCAGTGGTCTCTTAATTTTTTCCAGAGCTGTACATTCACAAGTGTACTGTCTTATACTATGGGCTGTAACGGCATGTCCCAAGTGACACAGAATATGTAAATTCCTCATGTTCCAACCCTTAACCCTTGAGTATGAGGCAGTGATACCTAGTGAACCAACCATACAAGAAATTCTGGTGGCAGTGTGATATTTAAGGGTGCAGACATGAGCTCACAAGGGCTAAGAATCTCTCCTGGTAGCTATGACATCACAAAGCAGTGCATGCTGGGCCTTTTGGAAAGGGAGCCAGCAGTTGGCTCTGAGACAGGACAATGTGTTCTGTGTGAGCAGCAGCCGCAAGGTACGGCGAGGATGTCCCGTGTAACACGCGTTCCCTTTTTTGGGCTGAATGGTTCCAGGCAAGATGGTGCTGAACAACCTGCGCATCCAGAGCGAGTCCAGCTTCGGCTCGGGAGTGCTGAGTCACATCATGCTGTCCGGTTCCGAAGTGGACCGTCTGCACTGCGCCCTGTCCCTACCGCTCATAAACAGGTCTGTTGGTCTAGAGCCCAGTCAGAAAGGTCGATAGATGCTAAATGCTGGAAAGCTTATAGTTCCTAGTCCTCTTTCTCGAAGCATCGTCTGCAGCTTCAAGGTCATTTTGTAATGTTGGTTCACCTGAAGTTTTTCTGCTGAAGTCTATTATTTGCCATGTTCAGCTTTGTCATTCTTCTTTCTTCCAGCAATAAAACATTTCTGAAGAAGCTGCTGTTGGATAACGGGGGTCTGCAGCTGGCGGTCGAAGCGCTTTGTTGCCAAGGCGACGCTGACGACTGTGTCCTCGGGAGGTGGGCATCCCTCTCCAGCTGGCTCCAGCCGCCCCACCCGGCGTCTCCCCCCAGCCTTCAGTTGCTCTACTTGTCCCTGCTCGTCGAATGCCTGTCAAACCTGCCCAGCCCCCCAGCTCTGGAGTTAAGGGTGGTGGTGGAGTCGGGGCCAGGAAGTGGGCAGGAGCTCGGAGGTGACATGCCCCCTCCCCTTAAAAAGCAGTGCTTCGCCCCCATGTGTCCCTACCTCGATTCCCGCTTCGATCTCGTCTTCGTGTTGGACGACAGCACCCGGGTCCCGGCCAACATGGAGGCGGTGTCGGGGGGCCGTGACGGAGAGGCAGGTTCGGAGTACTTCAGGGCACTGCTTAGGGGAGGATTCTGGGAAGGGGGGCGGAGTCCCGAGGAGGGCATCCCGATACGGGACGTCACACCTCAAATGCTTCTGCCTGTGTTGCACTATTTACATGGCTGTTCCGCCAGCAGCGGGAGGGAGGAGACGGAAGAGACGGGGAATAAGAGAATTGGGGGCCACTGTCATATTTTGGGGTCTCTGAACACAGAGGGGCTCGGGGAGGAGGAAATGGGGTCAAATGGGACCACCGCCCTCCAGAAAACCCCCTTAACAGAGGCCATGAGGGGAGCCAACATGTTTCTAGTGTCAGGGCTGCAGAGGGAGCTGGAAGACTTGGGCGTGTCCCTGATTCTGACCTCTGCTGCCTCTCAGCCGGGATCAGTGGCTCAGCTGAGAGCCCAGCCCCCAGACCACACTGAGCAAAAGCTGAATCCCAGAACTCAGGGCAGCCTGGAGTGGGAACCGGGGAAGGGGTCTGCAGAGGATGGCCGGGCAGGATTACCATCAAGCGAGAAACTGCCATGCTCGAAAGCAAGGCTCTTTAAAGTGCCAGTAGGACCCAGGGCCAAGTCGGAGGCAACGCAAGCCCGCGACGTCCAATCCAGTAGCCAGCGGCAGAGACGACCAGGCATGGTCACGAGAACTGGCTGCGAGAGAGGACCTGAGAGAGAACCAGACTTAAGGCGCCTCCTGAAACCCAACCAGGAGCTCAGGATGGAATGTGGGCCAGAAGCTCCTTGCATAACCAGTGACCTTTCCCAGCTCAGCTTCGCTCTTAGTTCTTGGTTGGATTCTGAGTTAATCTTAGAACCTGAACAGAAGATGGGGGACATTGTCAGCCGGGCGGTAGACGAAGACTCATCGAACCTCAAACTACGGTCGGCGTCTCTCTGGGCATTAGGAAGCAAGATGAGCACAAGATCTGACTACAGTCTGGAGAGTCTGGGTTCTGCGTTGCTTTGTACCAGGGACCAAAAGAAAAGCAGCCAATCAGAATCAACATCCCAGTTTCACTTCCTGTCGGACTGGAGCTTAGGCTCGGATCTAGAGGAAGCGTACGACGACAGGTACTGCTCCATCGTCAACCTCTCGACCCCTTGCTTTTGTGCCACGTCGGATGCAAAATTAGATGGGATGCGCAACGCTGTGTTAGGCCAGGACTGTCCAATCCATTCCACGGCGAAGCCCAAATTCCAAAAAGCAGGTTGCAGCGAGACGCGCGGGTCCAAGCCCGAGGATGTTCCGGCAGTGGGGGCCCTGAGCCTGAAGGTCGACCCGGCGCCCGAATCCAAAAGAGAGAGCTGGCCCCTGGTGGCCCATCTTCCGTGGCTCTACTGCTTCTCCCAGCTTCACGGCTACACGCGGCTAGCCCGGGCATGCCTCTCGGTCCTGCTGTGGCCACGGGCCGCCCTGGCGCGCCCCCCCACCTCGCTTGTCGCCGACTGCCTGCGGCAGCTCGCCGAGCAGGAGCGCGGGGCCGAGGCGCTGACCCGGGACCTCATGCTGCTCGCTGCCCAGACACTGAGCTGAGAATCGCAGGGCTCCGCGCAACCATTAAGGGTGCCCAGCTTGCTCCACACCATAGTGATGCGTAACCTTGGTAACATGTAAATCCATAGTGGAGTCCCATCCGTGGACCAATCGCTAGCTGAGGTAGTGTGATATCGTAGTGTACAATCGGCATACTGTATACATTATTTTTTTGTATAACTTCTGGTAGTAAAAATAGTTGATGAAATGGTAATACAATGGGGATAAAATAATGCACACGTTTTTACTTTTTTGCCTTTTTTTTATTTTGTGCAGTGTGTGTAAATTCCCTAAATGTAAATTAGACTGTTGGGAGCCACAGTGATGTTTATAATGGTTTGTAATATAAATACTGTACTGTTTACATGGAGAGAAGAAAGCGATGGGAAAGATCTCTGCCGTTGTCAAATTCAGATCTCAATAAAAGACCGCTAGCAATACGGCGCCTCCCAGATGCTGTGCAGACTTCGCGAAATCGCGTTAAACGCCTCAAGTTGCGTTTTAGGAAGGCCTAATGGCTTTGTTTTTCAGTTTTACAGGCCAGGTTTGAAAAGCAGAAACCACTTAAAACTGTTTTCACTATAATGTAAACACTTGTAATCATTGAATTTTAAATTTGTTTAAATTGAGAGTTTTTTAGCTGGGGAGGGGGGGAAAAAAGGAACAAAAACAGACTTTAGGTAATGGTATTTAATTTTAAAAGTGAAAGGTCACATCTGATATCTACATCGGTTGGCCCTGGGGAACCATGTATTGCTGGTATATACTTGATGTGTGATGAACTTGTATCCACCTCTAGGTGGCGCTGCCCTCAGTGATGGGGTCCCTCGTAGCCAGTCGGGAGGGGGTTGGTGTGGGAGTTATGGAAAAAGGTGTGGTTCCCATCTCCCCAGGGAAAAGGCTGTGTTAGGGAGAAAAAGGGTGTCAAAATTATACTCAGACTGATTTTCACAAAAAAATGCTTGCAACATGCTAAAATTAGGCATAAGGCAATGTTAAAGGTGTTTTATAATGAAGAAAAAGATGCTGTCGATTTTATAGCGTGTGCTTTGGACAGCGTGTTGCGGGTGACTGCATTGTTGCCCTGCACCGTCACCTTGGTGCGGATGCGCAGGTGCTGGTATGGCTGGAACCCGGGCGGATCATGGGACTGGCGCTGCAGCTTTATCCAGGCGTTGGCCATGCACACCCCTACACCAGGCAGTGCCACCACGTAGCTCAGGATCTTCCATGTGCGAGCTGAGGGGCCAAATGAGATTCAGATCTGGGCGAGCGGCCCCAAACAGCACGAGGTAATGGACTGAGGGGGTGGTAAGGGGTTAATGCGGGCTGACAGAAAGAGGGCCGGCAGAGCGACAGGGGGGGTGCCAAGGGGCTGTGGACGGGGCGCCAAGTTTCCACATGCTCCGGTTTAATGATGCACCTGGACTTGCATCAACAGGATGAAGCAATGCAGTGGGTACATGGGGGTGGGGGGGCAGCAGAAGGCACGGGCGACAGAAATACCTCCACCCTCATGACCCCCGTGACCTCCGGCTGCCGTTGAGGCGAAAGCTCTCCGAAGCATGGTCGCAGTGGAGACCAGCGCCATTATCCTGTATCACGCACATGAGAACAGGAAAAGTCTGTCGTCTCATTCCATCATGTTAAATTTTACAGCACTGGAAAAAAAAAATGAGACCACTTCATATTTAGAAAAAAAGTAAAATCTGCATTTAAAAATCCTGGTTTAATCCTGCTTCTGCTGGCAAAAGGCTACATGTCAGGTTGCTTCCAGGCTCAAAGCATCTAAGACAGCAGTACACAAGAACATGGTGAAGCAGGTGATACTGGTAATGGCCAAAAAAACCAGCCAGGTAGAGGGCAAAAGCAACTTTTTAATGGCAGAGATGGCCGTCAACTTATCCGGTAGTGCATCATGAATCGGAAGATGACCTCAAGTGACCTTTAAAAAGAATGGGAAACATTAAGTGCAGGTGTGAAGTGCCCTGCTAGGACAGTGTGTATCAGGCTCCTAGAAGCAGGACTGAAGTCCCATAAAGCAAAGAAGAAGCCCTTCATCACTGAGAAGCAGGGAAGAGCCAGGCTGCAGTTTGCAAAACAATATGTGTTACTCACAGACGCACACAGATAAATCGAGAAATGAGTGAAACAAAAAAATTGTGCTGTGGTCTCTCAACTTTTTCCAGGGCTGTATGTCCAGTATTACAGTTAGCCTATGTGTAATAATGCCCCAAATGCTGCAATCAGTCATCTTGAAGCATTACAAACTACTCCATGATTGTATAAATTTATAATATATCAGATTACCTCTTAAAAACAGACTCCACAGCCATCTCTGCGTATTAGTGACAGTCACAATCCTGCCTGTGGTTTCACTGTAACTACCATGTTAACCATGTGTTTGCCACTGAAAACATAAAGCTCTGCATGCACCGCGTCTATGATGTACCTTCTGCACAACACTACGGAAGCTACAAAAAGAAGGCAGTCACCTAACGCACGCGGTCTCCTGCCAGCTTCACACAGCAGTTTGAGCCGCACCACCTGTTTCCTTACCTCTGATCTGTTGTTTTATCTATGATGCGGCCCTTTAACACATTTCTTATTGAAAAATATCTAGATTTGCAATCTGTTTTTAACACTCAGCTGAACAACTCTGAAGTACTCTAAGTGAACAGAGTGGAGGTCTAGTTTATTTGAGTCATGGCTGCAGAAATTATCTGCAGTCAGGTGACCAAGGACTTTTGCTGTTTTCAAGGGGAAGTGTACAAATAACCCCCCCAAAACAGCAATTAATTTCAGAGACGGGGTGATCAAGAACACTTTTATGAACTTTACGACCCTTTTGAATAACAGGTATATAAGTGCTTTTGTTAAATCGTGTCAGATTGGAGTATTTTGTAAATATATTGCTGCAGGGATAAAGTGTAAACGCGACCTGTTTTATAGCGACATTCAATCTGCAGATAAGTCAACAAAGGACACAGATCTTAGCCCAATTTTTGTTTTTACTCCCATGTAAAGCAAAAAAACGTTTGTTCATACCTCTCATTCGCGTTCCCTGTTTTATGTCTGCTTGTCCTTCAGTCCGTTTGTCCTTCTGACTGAACCCTGTTGCTCCACCCCAGCGCACTCTGTCCGTCTGCCAAGAATCTTCAAGTTTATATTTGGTAGAGTGCGAAGGCACTGCATTAAAGGCAGAGTAGGCAAACATGCACACATTTGTGCCAGGCTTCGGTAAACTCTGTCATGGTGTCAATGCGTCTATACGCACCTGCGAAAGGCTGGCTTCATAATTCATATTCCATAGCATAAATGACACAAGTAAATGTTTCATAAGTAAACTTTTAATAATGCTAATTATTTTGTCAAACAACGTGGTGAAATCTGACTGTGTTGGCTTTTGCAGTGAATTTAAAATAACAGGATTTCGTTGTTGATTCATAACACGTAAAGCCACGCGCCTGTGCCCGTGCGCTCCGTCGACGACGTCGCTCCACCTGCACAGGTCCACGCGCCGGCCTGTATGTTTTGCCGTGACTTAATGCGCAGGCGCGGACCCATCTACCACGCCCCCTTTTCGCACGTGTAGCATAGTTAAATTGAGTTACGGAAAGCCGTGACTCTTGTCCGCGTAGAACCAGCTGGAGAGTTAACTGCGTTAGGGGACTTTCTGAATATTTTGCTAAATGAGTGACTCGGAGCAGCAACAGGTAAGCATTCCCTTGTTCTGGGATTAACTCCTTTAATATCGATTGTTTTACCAGAAAAATTAGGGATAGTGCCAGTGTTTGCTGATTGATTTGTCGTTTGTTTAATTTTCCGTACGTTTCCTTTTTACGGATCGTAATGATTCATGATTTAAATATTGATTGGTTAAAACTGAAGAAATGGAAGACTTCTGAATGACGATGGCCTTTCAGTTCGCGCCCAGACGCACTCTTAAGTGCCTAATCAAATGACAGCTGCGGGATTTGTATCGTATTAGGTCTGCCTAGCGGTGCGGCGTTTAGCATGACGCAGGTTTCATGGTGGCCGAGAGTAATTTTGAACTACTGTTTTTTTTTTTTTTGGTGTTATCCCACAGGAATCTGAGTCTTTTGCGCCAACTACCCACTGTCAAGGTGACAGAGAAAGTGGTAGCGAGGCAGAAGATGATGGAGAGATGGAGGAGTGCACTCTCCTGCAGGAGATGGGGGAGGAAGATGAAGACATAGATCTTTATAATGAGGAAACATTTGGCCTTGGTATGTGTTACATAAATGATGGGACTCGAATGTTGTGGGTAAAATTTTGTGTTTAGTCATTGGCCTGAAGTGTGTTTAGCGGTGGAAGGTTCTGCTACTTGCTTCTTATACTCTGCTGTAGTGCTTGGTGCTGATTGCGGCTCTCTGGATATGCTGCTGTTTCCTGTATTGTTACCCTGCATCAAAGATCTTGAAGTGAGACCAGATGAAGGAGACCCCTCTGACATCCTGGTCTTCTGTGGAGATGAGTCTCCGGGACCTCCGTCGCCACCTCCGTGTACCCCCAACACCCTGGCCCCCCTGATCCAGGTCCAGCCAGCCCTGAACGGAAGGCCGAGGGAGAAACGGACGCTGAGGAGGGGGGATGTGTTTGAGGACCCAGCGATAATGAGGACCGTGAAGAGCAGGCCAAGCCTCAAGGTAAGGAAATGGACTAGGGCAGTGTTTCCAAATCTGGTCCTCAGGCACCCACAGCTGGTCCATGTTTTTGCTCCCTGCTAGGGGACTCAGGGAGCAAAAACATGGACTATCTGAGGGTCCCTGAGAACTAGCTTGGGAAACACTGGGCTAGAAGTTCCTGTAATGAAACTCTTAAGAATTAAGGATATGAAACCATACCCTGTGATGGTCCTAAAGACCAAATAACCTGTTTCTCAAAAAGGAAAAAAAAAGATGATTTTCTACTCCTGTCTGCTTTCATGGTGCTTGCAGTAGATCGATGGCTGTGATCTATATTACATTTAATAGTAACATGCTTCCATGGAATTGTTGAGGTTACATACTGAATATATTGCAGCCTGAAAATGTCGATTTGAGTATCTCGGCATCTGACGGCATGCAATGACTGTACGGACACTAAATCCCCTGACTTGTTGCACACTCCACTAAGGTGTCAGAGGAGGAAGGTAAGGAACATGCACTGATAATGTGTTGCTGCACTCATCACATGACAAACCACCTCAGGGATGAGAACCTGAGCGCAGCCATGTGACGGGCGATACCTCAGCACCACACCAGTCCGAATGGACCAGTGTGAGTTTTTTTCCAGTGGCTAGAGTGCCAATCCTGCCACCAGCCCCCAAGTTCTCCCTGTAAGTTGGATCTCCTTACAGAGCTGGACGTAGATTAACATCATACCCAGGACAAAGCAATTACAGGTTAAGGGCCCAATGGAGTAGAATCACTCTGGGTATTCACTGGATTTGAAATGGAAACCATCCAGTTGCTGGCACAGATCCCTAGTCTCAGAGCCACCACTCTGCCCACCAGGTGTGAGGGATGTTTATAAAATCAGAATTCTCTGGTTCTAGCCTTTAAAGCCTGTGGTGTGCAGACGTGAAGGTTCTCATTCTCGGTTAGAAGGTCGCAGGTCCTTTTTGTAAGGGACTTTTGTAAAGTCATTGGTGGGAAATCCTGGTTGGTGTAAAGCTTCAGAATGGCCCAAATCACAGGCTATTTTAATTTAATGGGAACCAGTTACAGGGGGGCTGTCTATCCATAACACTTCCTCTCACATTGGCTAGGAACCGCCTCTCCTCCCCATCAGTAAGAAGTACTGTAGGTATGTTAGCCCTACATCCAGGATGAAGTTCACTCACCCTCCTCCAATTCCAAAAAAGGCTTCTTCTGATGCTTTTTAATCCCCCCCCCCCCCAGAGCCTGGACAGTGCTATAGTGGACAGTGGCATTGGCTCCCCTTGTGACAGCCTGGATCTGGACACTGTGAGTCTCTGCTACAGCATTTATTTCCCATTCCCAGCATCCTTTTCAGCTCGCTTGTTGTTCCATCGTCCTGCCCTACTCGTTCTTGCATCTGCTTGATGTCCCTCTTCTCGGTATGCCGCTCTCATTTGTTGCTGCTTCATGAATGTTGGCTTCTTCCACACACAGTGGATGCTGTCTCCATTTGGTCCCAGCCAAAAATCCGTCGGGCCCATGCTACAGGTCAGGTGGTAATTTTGTATCGTTTTGTTCTTTTCCTTCGCTGTGTCTAGGCACTTCTGCAAATGACTTGCTTGCGAATGGTGTTTGGTGTAGCATGGAATCTCTTCCCTCAGGACCAGGCTATAGTCACGGTCATCGGCAGCCAGGATCTGGCTCGGACTCCCCCAACCCCCCTGGACTTCCTGTCACCCCTTCGCCGCCCTTTTCCAGTGACTGGAGGTGGCAAGAGAGGGGGCCAGCGAGGTCATCAGCCCCTCATGAGACCCTTGGGGCAGAGGTACCTTTCTCAGGTGTGACTCTACAATGTGCTAATTGATTTCCCCCGTTTAGATGTTGCTAATGTTCTGGTGCAAACTGGTCACAATGCTGCCGCCCCTCTCCCCCCAGATGCCCATGAGTCCTCTGTTAACCGGATCTCCTGTATGTCCCCGTCCACCCTTTGGCTCTCCACAGCACTACATGCAGGTGGCTTGCCTAGTTATCGACTGTTCTGCTAGTCTAATTGGTTTTTGTTCCTTCTATAAACTGCTGTCGAAGACCTCATGAGTTTTATTTATGGTGTGTGTTCGCCCCCCCCTTCCCCCAGCGTGGTGGTTTTATGTCTCCTTCACGGCCCAGCATGACCGTTCCACAACCCTTTACCCCTAAAATGATGCAGTTGAGGTTTGGAGCTCGTTCTCCAAGCCCCTCCCCCGTCTACAGCCCTTCAGCCAATCCTATGCAACGATTCAGGTTTGAGATTTTTGATTCGGGTTGTTGGCAGCAATTTTGAGCACTGGGTGTTTCTGAATACAAAGAATGCAAAGATCATGCTTGTGGTTTTGGCAAGACCGATCTTGCTAACTTGTCTCCCAAGAACAAACTTGGGCGCAATGAATTGTGGGATTAGACTCGCCCGGCAAGAATGCAACCAGTGCACCCTTGGTGTTTGGAGTGGGGCATCTGGGGATTTGAACTGTCCTCTGTACTTCGGTTCTTGAGTATTGGAACTGGTCTTTGGCAATGGACGATGACATAAAACTGGCACACGAGAACACAAGTACGGTGAAGTACATTGAGAAATGCCTCCAGTTAGTAATGCATCGTGACCTTTGACCCCTTAGGTTCCCTGGTCATGTGACCCAGCTTCACCCCCAGCATCGCAGGCTGCTGAGCCACCGGCACCAGCGGTCGCACAGGTACCTGCTTGTCCTCCATCTGTACCCTGTGGTGCTCAAGTGCTGCATGGTAACTCTACCTAATGTGCTTTGAAACCTATCAAATGCATGGTGTAGTACATCTCTGACCGTCTCGCAGGGGTGAGAACTTGGACCCTAATGGTCAGCTGATGTCAATGAAGGAGAAGGAGTGGATCATTAAATTGCAGATGATTCAGCTTCAGAGCGAGAACCCCCATTTGGATGACTACTACTACCAGGTCTCGTGGTTTTTGCCTCCGATTCATACACTGTTAAGGTTTTAAATGGCCGTTGTCCGAGACTGTAAAGATTGGGCAAATATCAGCTGTAAAATAACTGATGCAGTCTGAATATTTCGAGTTGCTGGGTAAACTGTGCCTCTCTGCAGGAGTATTACCGCCGTCTGGAGGCCAAGATGGCCGAGGAGGAAATGCTGGGTGAGAGGGGCAAGAGGGAACCCCCCAAACTCACAACTCCTTACGTCACCAAGACCGAGTCTTACACTCCTGGTTGGTTTCTCACACCCTGTCCTCACAATCTTCCACATTTTGGCTTGTGCCCTTTACGCTTCATGTAACTTAAAATTTTTCATTTTTTTTTTTTTTAAAATAAGTTGTCCACATTGAGGGTTCGCTGGGACAAGTTGCTGTGTCAACTTGCTTCTCCCCACGCCGTGCCATCGACGCCGTCCACGCGCACCTGCCGGAGGAGGTGACTGCTTGGACCTCGGCCTGGGTGTCTGATCTGAACGTGTCCGCTCACCTCGCCCTAAACCCTCCTCTCTGGTCAGTCTCACTTCTCTGAACAGGAGCAGAAAGATGCCAGACAGCAGAGGCTGACCGTGCTCCATAACATCGAGAAGGTATGTCCTTTAAGGAGCGCCGAGCTCTATATGGGGAGGGGGCGGGGTTTAATTTATCCTGCCAGCCAATCCGTTTTGTCCGTTCGTTCTGCAGCTGTTTATGATCCTCTTGGAAGTGGAGGAAGGGGAGAAGATGAAGCGGTCCACGTTCAGCGAGGAAGAGCGGGTGAGACTGGATGAGAAGATCTCAAGACGAGTGAAACAGATCTACAGACAGCTGCAGCGCCCTCCTAACCTGTGAGTTAACTGGGAGTTACACGTAACATTTAGGCAGGTGGCCAGTCTTGCAGTATTAATTCTGTACACCAGCTGAGCACAGCTGCTTTAGTTGCATGCTCTTCTGAAAAGGTTCCCCCCCCCCTCCTCCAAACCCAGGGAGGATAGTGAAGAGTTCCTTCCGTGCCTGCTGGTGTCGAAGGGTAAGCGATTGATGGCTCGGCTCCTCCCCTTCCTGTCAGAAAGCGACGCACAGCATGTTCTCAAGGTGGTGACTGTTCACCTGCCAGCTCTGATGAGCAGAGACACGGACGAGGTTGGGCTTCCCTCAGTTTATTTGACTAATTTGCCAGCCTTGCAGTTGAATGGTCTATTCATCTGGCATCTTACCTTGTAAAAAAAGGTACAACCTGCACACTCCCCTGCTTGTTTCTTAGCAAGTGAAACGTGCCAAGAGGTTAACTGGAATTAATGTCCTTTTAGTCTGTGTACTACTGAAATGTGTCTGACTCCTCAGGCTCTGCCGGTTATATACCCATCTCTCTGTACTGTGATTGGGGAACTGTCCTTCAATCAGCTCATCGGGGTCCTCAAGGGGTTCACCTCAACACTGCCCGATTCCAAAGAGATGTGTCTCACCATAGCCTGCCAGAACAAGGTCTGTAGTTTCTACAAAATTGTGCCAACTTGTGTTCCTTGATGCTTTGGGAATTTTGGTGCTATGGAGGGGAGGGGGGGGGAGGGGATTTGGGCTGTACAGTTGTTATGGAGAGTATATTACAAACAAAGCCAAGCTTGGTGCTTGTAGTACTTTTTAAATTGGTCTCTTAGCGTGTGCTTTGCCCAGTGTACCAGAGGCTTAAGGCCAGTATAACTGGTCTCCCATTTTCTGGGAGGGTATTGGACTCAGGCAGCACAAGGCACGAGACTGGGGGGCACCGACTTGTGTCCTTTGCTTAATTCATGTGCATTGTTTTGCTCCCAGTTCGGCATTTCCCTCCTGTACGCGCTGCTCTCTCAGGGAGAGAGGCTGCTGTCATCAAACACCCCCATGGAAGCAGGAATCGGGGATTATGAAACTTGGTGAGGAGCTTGAGAAACTTCAGCCGCAGCAACGGCTGCAGTGGTTATGAATGTAATCTGGAATCCACCGCCCCCTCCGCTCTTCCAGGACGGAGACCGTCTTCCTGGTTGCCCGGCGGCTCTCCCGCGCCTCACTGGTGGAACCCCTCCTCCTCCCCTCGAACCTACTCTCCCTCTTCTGCCGGTACCTTGACAAGCACACGGTGCACCAGCTCGAGGACAGCATGGAGTGAGTCGGTGTCTAACTGGTGTTTCGTCTGAGGTCCTGTGTGTGCTCACCTTAGAATGTAAGGGAGGGGGGATATTAATCTCCCATTTTGTCATTGCCAGGAGGTCTACAGCTAGCTGCCCTGCAGTCCCCTCATAACCTTGCACACCCCTGGAGGATGGTGGCAGGCATGGGACGAGCTGCATTTGGCTGACTGAGCACTTGGTTTGCTGCTGCACCAGACAGGACTGCTATTTTTAACGCGGGAGGGTGTAACTATGCATATGCTGCCCCATGACCCAGCCTCCAGGCTTTACTTTGTACAGGTTTGAAATCGGTGAGAAGGTACCTGAAGTGTAATCCTGAAGTTCACCAGCGGAGGGTGCTAACAGCGCGTGTCGCGTGGCGCCCCCTTTCCACGTTCGAAGGGCCTGTCACGATTATCTTTTGATCAGCAAACTTGACGTGATTTAAATTGTCAGTCTGTAGACCTCATGTGGAGGGGGATTTAATCTTCAGCGCATGAGATCTTTTGGTATTTCGATGCTTGTCAGCCTCAGTGCGAGCAGGATGTAAGAGTTGCCCCATTCATACTTATTTTGGCCGGCATAATCCCACAATATTTATTGTGAAGTTTTCTCTAGCACATATCAGTTTTATAACTGCTATTTGTTTTTCTTGGATTATCTGTGCCTTTTTTCTCCTTTAGGTGGCTTTTGTTCTAACCCTTATTTTCAAGTGTCACTTCTAAAACCATAACTTATTCAACCTTTTGTTTTGTATACGATTTTTTTTTTGTTAACCAATTTTAATTTAAACTGACATGTACTTAAGCGATCAGATACTGTATCACAATTGTATAGCACTTGCAAATGTAAAATAAAATTCTAAAAGCTGTGAGCCTTTTGTCTTTACGTGGACTGTCCTGGACAAACCAGAACTTTAGTGTAAGGGCGATGGAAGCAAATACAGCTTTATTCCCTCGTTGAACCTTTTAGTTGGACTGTGCCATAAGTGAACGGTAATTTCTTGGATTGGGGAAATATTTAGTATTACGCGTTCCTTGAGTCGTTACGGGTTCTTTAGTCTGATCTATAGTAACGGGGGATGCGCACTCAAAAAGGGGTGAAATTTACACCCTTGCAGTTGTACCTTTTAAAGTACAGAAATGGATGGTCTCAATTTTTAAACTATAATTCGCTTCGAGTTCGCCCTGTAATCGGCGCACGTTGGTCTGTTCGCTCGTGTACAGGTTTGGTTTAAAAATCGGTAGACAAATAAGCACCGTAGCCGCCTAAACACATCTGCGCCCTTTGCTGTGTCGTCCTGATTCGGTTCGTTTGTGTCCTGACTTGCTCTGCCTGTTCCCCGAGATCAGTTTGGATTAAAACCTTTGTGGGGAGAAGATAAGCAGCTGTCTAAAACACCCGTTGATCTACAATGCTGCAATATATTGTTTCTCGTCGAAAATTTCTAATATCAAATGCAAAGCGAGCATTTAAGGTGAACATGTACTACTTGAACAATGCTATAAATTGTCTGTAGTCTCTCCACCCAAGTGTATTCTTTGTGGTTAAAAGTATAACCTTTCATATGTTTATGTTCAATATATGTATATTCAAAGGTAATGTTTTGCTTCTTGTGCGTTTCCAAGAAATAAAAATATTGTGTGGTTTTACTTGTCTTGCAATGTAATGGATCTGTGTATAGACCTACCTTATTAGTCATTTGTGTGTGTGATCCAAAAAAAACAAAATACATTATGCTACTGTTCCTTGTTTATCCTCAGGTGTGTATACTTTATATATAGACAGCATTAATCTTTTTTTTTGCCTTGTGTGTGAATACACTGCTGTTTTGCTACATCGTGCCCACATCTGTTCTCCCTACTTGTCTGCACAACCCAATTCTAACACATGTTCCCAAACATCTGGATGAGCATAGACACGCACCTGCTCGCTCCTGTCCCTGCTGCCGTGTGCCACCCCATTGTTTTAGCTTAAGTTCTTTATTTTTTCCCCACATTGGCACATCCCCATGTTTCTCTCTCCCCGATGCTCCAATGTAAACAGAGGCTGGGGCCAGCCGTTACTCAGCTGGTTAAATGGCCGGTAAGTCTGGATGTCTGATTCTCTGTTATTGTGGGCACTGGCAGCGGGTTACCGTAGGCACACATGCTATAACTAGCGGACAGACGAACGGTAAAAATGGTGGTTTGGGGATACGGATCGTGCTCCGCTGGTGCACTGCGCTGCATCTACAGATTCCTAGACATAACACAGCGAAGTGTGTTCTTCATGCCGATTCATTTTTTTCCCTCTCGTTTTCAAAAGCCAGGATCGCGGCAGATGCTGACCGTCTGCCCAGTTCTTGCTTCAGAACGCCAAGGTGCAGACGTGCCCAAAGCTGACATAAATGTATCTCTCATCCCCTGTGCGAGCGTGACTGTCATAAGTCAAACACCTTTAACGTGCAAAATTTAGCCACCGCGTCTGGAGTTAAGATGGCTGACACTGTGGACTCGCAACTTAAAATTTGGCGGTTGTGCAAGAAACATGCTCAGGTAAATTGGTGTCTATAAATTGTATCTATCTGTGAAGCAGGTGAAGTACTGGCTTTCTGTAATGCATCCCCTGCCTTGTGCTCCCTACTTCCACTTCAGATAGTAACCTTGTAGTGTGTAAGCGGTGTAGTGGATACAAGGCCCGGTCTCTGGGGGTGGGCAAGCCTGGGGATGCAGGGGAGGCAGTGATCCTTTTGCAGGGGGCCCAGCTGAAATAATTTTGTCTCAGGCCCAGGAATTATCCACACCAACCCTGCTTATATCCAAAGGGGTTTCAAGTAGCAGTTCAAGGGGGAAACTCGTAAATTGTGTATTAGTCTGTAGGGCTATCTTTATGTGTAATATTTCAGTCATTTCATTGCATCTAAAGGTAATTAACTGATTTCTTTGTGAAAATAGAGGTTTTTACTACTTTGATGCACAGTTGTGCTCTCAGGCGTCTGTTTGGAAAGGGATCTCCAGGACTGCAGTGAGAGATGAGGACTGTTTGCTTTGCGTACATCTGTGCTTGTGCGCAAATCATCAGCCACCTATGCGTTTTTGGCACGGTGTCTCTGCAAGCCTGCAATGTAACTGTGCCCCGTCGGTGTTGACTCTGTCTGACTCTGTCGGTGGGAATTGGCGGGAAGGATGAGGTCTGGGGCCACTCTGGCTTAGGGGCGGCGCTATCTCAGACGGCAAAGGATATTTTTGGAATGATGAACCACCATGGTGTCGACGTTGCACTGGGGGCAGGAATAGTGGCGCACCGGCGCGTCAGTGATTTTGGTCCCCAGCTGAGCCCACTCGGTTCATCACTCGGCGTACTCTTAGCCTCCATATTTGCTTTGAGTCCATCTCTCCGGCCTGCTTTCGCAAACCGCATTCCTTGCGTCTTTTCAAACACCCCCTCTCCCCCCGCCTCATCTTTTCCCTGACCTTGCCGTTTCCTCACTCCAACTCTTTGTTTCTCCTTAGAGGCCGTCTTAGGTGAGGTTCCAGATGTCAGATGAGCGCTTACTTACCATTGATGAAGCAACATGTTTTACCACCTCGTTTAAAAGTTTCCGTTCAGGCTTGTGAAACTGCGGGATGCTTCTGGTCTATTGCAGAAGACCTGTGGTCACCTCCGAGAAACGTACACATTTAGAGGTGTCTTACTTCATTTCCCTTGTTTGTCCTGTGCTGAATTTTACTTTAATCTGCAAATCCTCTTCAGTTTTACTTCAGACGAGTGTTTGACTGGTTTAGAATGAGTGGATGTGTTGGCCTGATGATCTGATTCCCTGGAAACCTGAAAACCAAGTGCAATAAAAGCCTGACATCCCCAGTTTGGTAGCTGCCCATGTCAGTATCTTGGGCAGGCCTGAGGACATGGAGATGTAGCAGATGTAGATTAATGAGGTGGAGATCAGGGTGTATTCATACCTTCATACCTGGGAATCCCTCACTGTAACCACCCCTCCCCTCCCCAGGCACAGGGTTTGTTGTTTCTAAGGCCCCCAGATGTCTCCAAAACAAAATAAGTAGCTAGCTGGTAGCGTCACAAGGGCGTACTTACAGGGTCGCCGGCTCTCACGCATCTGGCGTGACACTCACGCTTTCAGACTCTCGCGCAAGAAATCTTACGACAAATCTGCATTATTCCATTATAAACATATATTTTTTTAACCTAAATAGTTTGCAAACCCCACAGACTATTTACAAGGTAAGAAAACAGTTGCATATATGTTAAATGAGTATACAGACTTGTCTTGAATTGAAAATCTCACACCGGTCAGCTGACCAAAGTTGACAACCCTGTACCTAGCTGGCTGGTTAACATGTTACTTTATCATCCTCTATTTAGGGAATGTTTGCCAAGAGGGGGCCCCACAAAAATGTCCAGCTCGAGTGGTGGGAAACATCTCCAGTGTCTCCATGGAGGCCTCAGCCATGACGGGCACATACTGCTCGGCTCGACCTCCATCTGCCTTTCCTGCTCCGCACGGCTCCTGGGCTGCCAGACCTGGGCAGACAGGCGGAGCCCGGACTCAGGAAGCAGTCAGAGAGAAGGAATGCGAATGCGCTTGTTTGCCTTTGGCTGAGCTCCTGGTCAAAGTACCACATTTTATGCTTTTTGATTGGGCATCTTTAGTCAACACACTCAGCCATACAGATTCATTCATGGGTAGGTAGCTTTTCATCTGCGTTTGTGCCTTAAGTGTATGTGGCTCTTCAAACATCAACATCGTCATTGTAAACATTAAAAAATTTTTCCTTCTTAACTTTTTTCGCAGTCCTTTATACGATAAAAACCTATATTATAATGAAAAGTGATGCAAACAGTCTGTCTACCCACAATGCACCACTGTGGAGTGTTGCTCAAGGCAGTTGAGAAGGGGGGATCTCGTCTGGACAAACAGTGGCCCTTGACTGCAGTCTTTAGCACTGTGTTTTGTAGATAGCTGCTTATCACTAGTCAGTCATAGGGATTATCAGCCTATGGCACTGACATGCATGCGGTCGTCCTGTCTGAGGGGGGGTGGCTGCATGGACACAGCAGGTAACAAACGCTTTCCAGCGGGCATATTTAGCGGTGGCATTTGGGGCCGGCGTGCCGTCACAATGAAAACACGGGGCCCAAACCCACTGGTGAAGGCCCGTTTTGTGCGTGCTAAATGGGCATAACGTCAAGAGAGCCCTCCACCCAAAAATAAGGAGGGGAAAAATGACAGATGTGAAAAATGATCACCGATATTTTGGGGAGTGGGCAAATAAATTAGCTTCCTGAGTAAATATTTTGCGGGTTAGTGAAGTGTGCAGTTGGACGCTCTCTCTCACAAAGTCTTGATGGACACGCACATCTTCGTCTGCTATGAGGGCTCCAACTTGTCTGCTTGTGAGTGTGTGTGTGTGTGTGTGTGTAGGGTGGTTAGGCCTTACACATCTAATGTGGTACTGTTTGCTTTGTCCATCGAGGCCCATGCATAGGCGACATGTCATTCGCTTTACCTTTCAGTCAGGCAGGTCCAGCATAGTCCTGAGAGGGTCTCATCCTCTGGTTATAGGTTGCTGGATTGGTCCTAAGCACAGCTATTCTTTGACTCGCACGATTGGCTTGACCCATGTTTGGGGAATGTGGGGTCCGGCGCTCTCCAAGAAACACTCTGATATAAATCAAGCCTCGATCTCTGTCCAAAACCAATAGTTTACTTAGATTACAGGCCATTGACAACACAGGCCACTGAAGGCTTTATCGTGACCGCGCTTGAATGGATCTTAACTGGCGTATTAAATGCTTTATATGTGCTTTTCTTTTGATATGTCATCGTGAGTTAGAGACGTGTTCGTGGCATGTTTTTAGGTGTTTCTCTGTGTTCTCCATGTCAGTCTTCACATGGTGGGGGACCCCCCCCCTGGAAGCCAGAACCTTCATGGAATCTTCTGAAACCACTTATCCTGTTCAGGGTCATGGGGGGGGTACAGAGTCTATGGGCACAAGGAAGGGAACAACCCAGGATGGGGCACCAGCCCATCACAAGGCACAGTGCATACCTATGGGAACTTTGGTAAGTCCAATTAGCCTCAGTGTGTTTTTGGACCCTGGGGGGGGGGAGGGGAACCCCACAATGACACAAGGAGAACATGCAAACTCCACACACATGGAACCCGGGTGGAGACTCAAACCCACATCCCAGAGGTGAGAGGTGAGAGTGCTAACCACCGTACCACCCCCAGCTCTGACCAGCTCCTTAATTTTCATCTCTTTTTTCCCCCCTGAAATGCAGCCATGATTCAGGTGCCCCGTTTGTGTGTTTAAGTCGCCAGAGGAAAGAATCACGTAACCCTGTAAATTTCTTGGGATGTCAACGCTCTCGGCCAAAGCGTGATTCATTTCAGGGTCTCTATTTTAGTAACATAAATCCTCAGTTTAAGCTGCCGTCTGCATATGGTACCTTACAGGCCTGGGGCTTTGTCTCTGCATGTGTGAAATATGTAGGACTTTTTTTTAAAGCTTTTTTATGCATTATTATTTAATTTAGATTTTATTGAATGTAGTCAAAGCACAGAACTTAGGAGCATTTACATCTTTGTGTTGCTGCTGGTTTTTCATGGGTTGTTGAGATGCGTCCCACGGCGAGCAGGATGTCTGTGGGTCAGATCGCGTGCATCTAAGGCTGCGTGTGGAATCCCCTGTATCCCATCTGTCAGGATCAATCTTATTCTGTTCTCGTTCCTAGTATTAACTCGTGAATACTGAGTGTCGGTCACCAGGGAGAAAGTGGATGCTGCCCGTTCCCCACTCTGCTGAAAAAGGTGTTTTTTTTGTTCATAGTCAGCGGTAACCGTGCTCATTATAGGATGCTTGTGTGGGATACGGGAGGCAGTTATAAATCAGAAAGTGCAGGCTTTTAAACTGCGGTCCGGTTTCCCCTTTTCCTGTTATTCCGCGCGCTCGTCATCTGCGTTGACGTTCAACGTTTTGCCTCTGCACGTACACACGCGGGCACCTGACTGGCACCCCAGAGCCGGACTCATCCGAATGTTAGGATGCTCCATTTGCAGCACAGAGGGGCGGGACTAATGAAAGGAGGCGGAGTCGTCAGATTGCTTGGCCAGTTGTGATGCGGGTGGGCCGGGGGGCTGGTGGACAGGAAACAGGGCGGGGTCAACGGAATGCCGGGATGGTCCAATCAGAATGCAAGAGGGTGGGTCTAGGGAATAGGAGGCAGGGTGGCAAAATTGGTACATAAGACATGGGCTAGTGGGAGAGATGTCTAGTTGCGCTTCCATCTGTCCGTCTGTCTCCCTCTCAAGTCCATCCGTCTGTCATGCTGGGTTACAGCTTCCTCCTGGCGGCGCTGTTGCTCTGCCTGGCTGGACAGTCTCTACAAGGAGGTAAGAGAGGAGTATATGGGAGCAGAGAGAAAAGGGCGGGAAAGCCACTGACTCAAGGCTGCATGGTGGAAATTCACATAGGGGAGTTTTTTTTGGTGGTAAATGTTCAACTTTTCTCCTATTTATGTGCTATGCAATTTCAAAGCACTCATACAAGGACATTTAAAGGGGCTCTGTCAGCACCCCTTTAAACATTATCGGACACTATTATTCAGTATTTAATTTGTAAATGAGAAGGTTCCGGGACGTGCTAGGTATATGAGAGCGGAGGTTGTTATGACACTAATGAAGGACAGAAACTCGCGTGAACATTGGTCTGTAAAATAAAATACATACTTTTGTTTCCATGTTTTTTTGTTTTTCTTTTAACCATAGAGCTGCCAAATCCTGACAAATAGGTGCCAGAACGCAGACAGTCAAAAACAGAGGGGGCCCTTAAAGTGCTCCGGCACATACCGAGCACTTACAGTACAGGGTGGGGTTACGATTTTTGTGCGTTGCCTGGGTCTCGAACTTGTGAGTCAGCAGCTGGCTCACGATGATGTCACATTCTGAAGCAGCAGCCTGCACTTCTATCCCCAGTCTGAAGGGGGCGCTAGTAGTGTGACTGTCTGTGACAGCGTGACTGTGATGCAATTATGCACCTGAGATCTGTGTGGAACAGCAGGGCTGTTCGTTACCTCGCTGCCTCTCCAGTAAATTAGTAATTTCTTTGTCTCTGGTGGCTGGACGCTGCTGCTAACGGCTACATCCGTCTTTCTAAAAAGATTACCAAGTCAATATTTGACTGCTGCTCTAATGCCATAAAATAAGCTAACTGTGTACAGGTTTTACAATACTACAGGTCAGTGTATCCAGTGTGGGCTGATATAATGGCGGTAAGTTATGTTGATGAACTGATACACTGGCAGACGGGCTCTGATGCTCGTGGCGTGATGCTAGATTAGCACTTCAGTCTGATCATCAGTCAGTTAGTTGTGCTATCAGTCAGAAAGACATTGGATGAATCGGTCATCATTTGCGTGCGGAGCCTCGGACCAAAGGCATGTCTTGTGCACTTTGAGATCCAGGTTCGCTGGATCTCTCACCACCCCCCTCCAGCAACATCACCGACCCCCTCCAGCAAGATCTAGAAAGAGAGGCTCGAGTCACAGGGGGAGTCTGAATTTCACAGCCCCCAGTGAGAAACGTCTTTCCAGCCAGTAGCGAGAAGGGCCCCTTTGAGGTACTAGATATACTCACAATGATATTTTGACGTTGTGGGGACCATATTTTCAGGTTAAGTTCAATAAGTTCAATTATATAAAAATCTGTGAATGCAATCAAAAAACTAAAAATGCCAGAAGGCCTGTATTTTGTTTGGTTACTTATGGTTAAGATTAGGGTTGGGTAGGGGTTAAGGCTTTTATTGTTGGGATTAGAGTTTTGGCATAGGAACGAATGGATGGTCCCCACAAAGATAAGTACAGGAGTGTTTGTGTGTGTGCGTGTGAATGTGAATGTGTGTGACAGTATTTCATAATCAGTGAGTCTCCCTCTTCCCCGTTAATTGACCAGGCAGTGGGAGAGTGACAAGACCGTCACACCATCGCATTTCTCCCCGAAGTACCGGCCGGACCCCCTAAGTTCAGGGAATTCGCCATTTTCTCATTGACAAAACGTTTTGCTTATTTTTATTTTCGATTGCGTGCGAAGCATTTACACCGCAAGCCCCCATCTCTGCAGCCACAGGCTTTTCAAGTCACACAGGCTTTCGTTGCGGTGTGTCGGCAGCCCGGGCGTGACGCTGAGTCTGCAGTATTTGGAAAGTGCGTAACATGCTGCCTATGTGCCTGTTAAGCCCGGTGTCGTAATTCTCATGTGTCATGTATTGCAGGAGTCCAGCCACCAGGGGGCCCTCTAGGAAGAGCCGTGCCTAGCAGAGGTGATCAGCATTCCTTTTTCTTCCCCCCACTGTCCAAGCTGCATGTGTCAGCTACTCTGTGCAGTGCCACCTGCTTGAATGTCATTTGATATTTGCATGCCATCTGCCTGCGATGCCGTAGTAACGGCATGCGAGCACAGGGCTGGTTGCCGGTGGTGATGTTGAGCGTGGCCTCTTCTCTCCCAGGGCTCGGTATTGGTGCAGGACCCGGCGTGGGTGGAGCTAAAGCTGGAGGTGAGCTGCCATTCGCCGACGGCGTTACCTCAGAATAATAATATTCCATGAACTACTCACACACACACACACACACACACAGGTGTGCTGGAAGTCTGACTGTGGTTTTTTTTTTGTGTTCCCAGGGACCAGACTTCCGTTTCCACAGCAGGGGGGGCTGGGGTTTGGGGGGGGCCCTTTTGGAGGGAGGTCTGTGAAAGCAGGTGGTGAGTTCAGACCCGGGTCGGCACAATGACAGCCTCGTCCCCGTCGACCCTTAAGAACAGGAGAGCAGAACCTTTTATTTATAACTTAAGTGAGCTGAAGTGAAGATGCTTTCTTAAAAGATGACTAACACTTCCCTAAATAAAGAATCTCATCAGATTCTGGAACCAGGAAACAAGAATCGCATAATTCAGTTAATGCAGTTTATATATTGGCCAAGAGACAACAGGAAATTACTTTTAAAAAAGTATTTTTTTGCCATAATCCCAAAAAATGTTGTGTTATGCTGTCTCTCGCTCATTTCTCTGTACATGCACACAGGTCCCTACCCTGGAGCTCAACTCGGGAGAGGTGAGCAATATTTACTGCTGTAAAAATCAAACGCGGTCCTGTAGCCAAACTCAGCGCGGAGCTGGCAGCCGGTGAGGGTTAACCATCCTGGCCTCGTTACAGCTCCCGATGTCGGTCCTCTCCCTTCATCTCCCATGAGAAAGTCTGTCGTTGCATTGTAGGTTTGAGTAGCCCTTTCCCTCTTCAGTCAGAGACGTGTTTACCGCGCGATCACTCGTCGTGGTGGCCAGACATCGGCTGGAATTCGGCAAGTGAACCCGGTTGGTCTGAGTGAATCTGTTTCCACAGGTGGAGCAGGAGCAGGGCCTTGGCAACCATTCGGCCCCCAGGGAGGCTTCGGTGCTGGTAAGGGCCCCCCCAACCTCCTTATCAGCCTCCTACAATGTGTGTGGCATCTCTGAGCTGCTTAGTAATATCTTTCGTTTTGTCTCTGGCAGTTTCTTTGAACTTTATCTCATATTTGGCTGAATTTTGAGCCAAAACTCTTCTAGTCTAAGTCCTTTCTAGTATAGTCCTTAGCAGCTGCGCCCCCATGTGGTTCATGCAGTTGCCCTCATCACAGCTTCCCCGTAAAAATGCTCTGGCTACTCTGGTTTCAGGACCCAGCCTGGGGAACGGACTGGGCGTGGGGCCGCAACTGGGAAAGCCACGCAAAGGTCAGCTGGTGAAAGTCATCTTGGCAAGGGCATGACTTTGGGTTGAGCATTGGAGGGGTTGAGGTCTCTACCCATTTTGATTAACCCCCCCCTTCCCTCCATAATTTACCCCCATGCATCTCGGGGCCTTTTCTTGCTTGGCAGAGAAACTTCCTATCATGCGGTCTATGTTACACCTCAGTCCACCATCTGTCTGTGTCTGTGCTCTGTCCCGGTCTGTCCTGTCGTTGTCTGTGCCCCGGTCCCCGTTCTCTGTGTGTACATGCTCTCTGTGCTCATTGCTCTGGCCGTGTCATGTCGGCATTTTGTGCATGTTCTGGGTGAATGTTCCCCTCTGTCCTCCAGTCTATGTCGGGTGATGTTCTATTGTTGTCTGTCTTCTGTTCTGTTCCCTATGTATCCTGTCCCTGAATCTCTCTGTATCTGCACTCTTATCTCTTTCTCCGTGTGCCCACTTTGTCTGTCTGTACCCTGTACCTGTTCACACTCCGTCTATGTCCGCAGGGTATGCAGCTAATGGCTTTGGCTACGGTGGAACTTTGGGAGGTTAGTGCTCATCCGTTCTCCTGGTCAGTTAATGATCGTCTAGCTCTCATCACACCTGGACACATAGTTTTATTAATAAGCAAGCCTCTGATAAAGTAGGACATCAGATTTGTTTTGTTGTGTTTTGTTTACACATTTGGAGGGCAGGGTGAGTGGGAGGGGCTGCACTTTGTTTTTGATTCATGTTGAAGCCGGAGGAATCTCTGATCCTCCAAATGTCCCCCCCCGGTGTCTGGGTTCACCTGGTACCTTTGATATTCTCTGCCCGTCCTGTTGCCAGGTTACGGTCCCGCAGCCGGCATCTTTCCCAGACCAGGACTGTCTCCGGGCACAGGTAAGCCATCCAATTGGAATTCACAGGAGCCCCGGCTCTGATCACACCCCCCCCACCCCCATCCATGTACACTGGGGGGTGACCGCGTGGCGAGTTGAATTTCCACATCAGACGGGATGCTGTTTGATGAGTCATCAGACGCCGTCCTGGAAGACGGGAACACGCCTGTCACTCTGGGCATTTTCGCAGGCCCCACTGTTTGTTTTTCTGTCTGCCTTAGAATGTTCTGGTTCCTGTACTCTGTTCTCTTGCCAAACTATATCGCGGTTTAAATCTGTATGTATGCCCCCCCCACCCCCCCCGCTTCTGTCACTAAAGGGCCCGTGTGCCGCTGTGAAAGGCAGGCTCTGTTAGCTCCTTCTCCCAGCATTTTTTATGTCTGCCCATCCCCCCCACCGCACCCAACCCCACCCTGACTTCACAGATGATGTCATTTTCGCCGGTCTTGACAGAGCTCGTTTGTTTAATGGCGTATCGCTAATTTGCTAAACAAAACGGAGGACAAACCAGTACCAGCTCTTGCAAAAACACAGGGCTGGATCTGTCCAGGTGTGGAAGGTGCCGTGTGACGTTTGTGTGACGGTGCCTTTGCTTATCACCGGTAGGTGCAGGAGTCCAATGTGCTGAAGGGCTGTCGGCCAAAGCAGCTAAAGCGGGTAATCCATCTCAGCCCTGAGTCTCAGCGCAGAGTCTCTGCTCCGAGCGTCAGCAGAGTCTCTGCTCTGAACCTCCGCAAAGAGTCTCTGCTCCGAGCCTCAGCACAGAGTCTCTGCTCCAAGCCTCAGCCTCGAGTTGCACTCGCAGTCTGGGTGCTGACTCTAGTGGTGCTTCCCTCTGTTGAGCCATGCTGATGGAGATGCATAGACATGCTTTCTGTCTGAGAGCTGCCTCAGTGTCCAACAGCGGTTCCTCTTTGGACCCCTATGAATTCACCCACATGTTACTTGACATGTCTGTCTGTCTCTGTTCTCTCTCTCTCATTTTATTATAATAATAATGCATGTGTACATAAATCAGGCTGTGAATTTCAAATCACGTTTCTAATCCTACATGTAGTTGTTTTTCAGTCAAATGAGCATCTTTGCATTAAGCTTAAGTTGGACATTTCCTAGGTACAAAAAGCTGTCTTTCATTCAGGATCATCCTGTGCGTGTTTCTAGATGTTTCTGTCCTGGTTCCCCTGAGATGCCCCTGGACTCAAGGAATATGTCTGGTTTCTAGTTTAATATCCAGAAGCTGGTGTGGCTGGTGGGAAGAGACAGGAAGTGAAACATTTGGGTAAACCTCACATCCCTGTGCGGCTTGCTGGTGCGTCACTGGCACAAGTCTTTGGTTTAACATCCGTGCGGATGTGGTCTGTCAATGGCATTCAGCTCTGCCTGTCCATCCTCAGTGATACTGACCAAGACGGATATCTAGTGTTCACCATAGAGACGGCAGACCAATGAAAAGACTTTAAATACATTAGCTGAATTTTTTTATGCTTAATATTCCCGTCATCTGCAGTGTGTCTGCTGCAGTGTGTCTGCTGCAGTGTGTCTGCTGCAGTGTGCCTGCTGCAGTGTGTCATTCGCTTCAGCAGTTTCTGCTGGTTTGCAATTTTCAGAGGAGCATCTGGCAGTGGTTCCTGCGCAGTCAAATTCCGCTTCCCTGCGATTTGAATGACCTTGTACCCTCAAAGGTCAAGTTGTCGTTTCGTTCCTTTGTTTGGCTACATCCACTACCCATGACCAACTATAATTTGCTGCTGTGACTAATATGGGCAAAGCCTGCCGTGTTTTATTTACACAGTACCATAGTCAAGCTGGCCTAAGGTCTCTTAAAATTTAAGTCTGATTTTACTTAGCCTGATCATTTTAGTGTCTGGTGACTTGGCTGTTTTGGTGGTCCAGCTAGAAGACGATTTGATCACGACTCATCTCCACGCCACTGGGTGGAGCGATATCCTTTGACCATCATAAGGCACAGAACTATCTCTCTGTTGCAGAGTATGCTGGTAATGTCTGACGCACGTCTAGCGTTCCTGGCTTTAAATCACGTTACAGCTGAATTCTGATTTATTCTGTGTCTCTAAAGCTCTAGGATGCCTCATCCGCATTTTAATGGCCTTGGGATCTTGGGTCAAGTGTGCCAGGTGGTTAGAGAATTAAAAATAAAATTCCCCCACCCCATGAAAATATTCTGTGACATAGCTAAGCTTCCTGGTGTGAACCCAGCTATGCCTGGGTGTGTCACATGCGGTTAAGTAACATGTGGTGATGATTCTGTGGTCCCCAGGACGTGCTGGGGTGCAAAACGGACAGGGGGCAAAAGCAGCTAAAGCAGGTAAACATCGGCATGCATCCAGTCTCCGTGGCGGTGCTGTCGACTTCCGCCAGCTTACCTGCTCTTCCCCGGTTCTGCATGTTCTGTCCGCATTCGTCTGTTACGCTCCGACGGCGGATGTTGGAGATGCGCGGCCCACCCTGATTCTGCAGCTCAGCCCATGTTATGCCGCATATGCTAACCCTTGGCCCCCCAAGCCTTTGGAACGCGCTGACTTCTGTGTGCTGATCTCATTGAATATGTGCACCTACAAGTCATGATTTGTGCATTAATTGTCATTGTAAGTGCAATTATCCCATGACCCTGACTAGGATGAGCAGTGGGTGTAAGGTGGGTATAATTGCATTTAACTATAATTGTAATTGTAATTGTAATTGAGGGCTTTGATTACCCCACTGAATGTATGTGAGTGTGACCCCTCACGTAGTCACTGAAAATCGTGAGGCCGCATCCTGTTGTGACATCATCATGTCTCCTAGGTTACGGTCCCCAGCCTGGAGGTTATACAGGAGTAGCACTTGGAAACGGCTTTGGTCCAGGTGATGGATCTTTTTTTTGCCTGTTCATTGATTTGGCTCCATAACTTGCAGGTCTGCATACATGAGTCACACGTGTGGTGGAATGTTATGTCAATAACCTTTGACCTTCCGCCTGAAAGGATGAGGTCAATGGATCGACCAATCGGGGAGGAATGTGGGAGAGGCATTGCTTGATTGACACCATCTTTCTTCTGTCTTACTGGTCACCCGGCTCAGGTGTGGGGGCTGCTGGATACCCTCAGGTTGGAAAAGCTAGACCAGCAGGTAAAATTCCTATGACTACTTGAATTAGGAAAGCATTCATTGTCAGTAAACATTATTTTATTGTTAATATTCTTCAGTACAAATTACACTCGCCCTTGAAATGCATATGCTAGTTGAAATACAGTTTTTTTTTGTGTGGCTGCAGATTATGGTGCTGGCCGGGGTGTTTTTCCTGGGGCGGCGCTGGCCAATGGCTTTGCACCGGGTAAGCTGACACAGCGCCGTGAGAAAATGCTCTTAAAGTGACTAGGTTTGTCCGAAGACTGGGCGAAGCGTGCTAGGGCGTCAACACAGTAGCCGAACGTGACCACAGAGCGTGTAGCGTGTGTTTGCAGGCCCGTGGGAACCTATGAGATGTCTGTCCTGTTGATTAACTGAGCTGAGGTTTAAGATAAGGGCAGATGAAGTTATCAAAAATCTACTGGGGACCATTTTCAGTGGTATGATTTAAAAAAAAAAGTGGTATGGTTCAAAATTTTTTGAATTTGCGTCATGATCTAGATGATCATTTGGTCAGTATTCTGTACACTGACTGCAGAGTCACTGATAGCCAGTAAAAAAAAAAACTCAGAAGGTAAGATCCATCTGGTTCCTTTGCCCCCCCTGACCCCCCCCCCGGGTGCCAGGTGGAGTCAGAGATGCAGGGAAAGCCCAACCTGCAGATATTACACTCTCTCTCTCTCTCTCTATCTTGCGTGCGCTCTTTGTCCATCCGTCTACCTGTCTGCTCGTCTGTTTCCTTCCTCTGACAGTGACTCTCTCTTCATCTGTTCATCCACCTGTCAATGTGTCCATGTCTGTCCCTCTGTCCTTCCTCACTCCCTTTGACGAGCTGAAAACACCGGTGCCTCTCCCTAAGCTAGGCTAACGGCTATGGAGCTGCTGGAAACAGCTACGGCAATGGTGTGGTGCTTTAACACAGACGGAACCTCGTTTTATTATTAAATATCCTTAAATGGGACTTTAGCTCCTCCGGGGTTAGGATGCCCTAGTGTTTTGCTGACAGTGCCTGACTGGGAGCCAAAGCTGGGAGGGCAGCAGGTAACCAGCCTAACTCAGCCTAACCCAGGTGAACCTAGGCTAACCCAGCCTAACCCAGGCTAACTTAGGCTAACCCAGGCTAACTTAGGCTAACCCAGGCTAATTTAGGCTAACCCAGCCTAACCCAGGCTAATTTAGGCTAAACCAGCCTAACCCAGGATAATTTAGGCTAACCCAGGCTAACTTAGGCTAACCCAGGCTAACCTAGGCTAACCAGCCTAACCCAGGCTAACCTAGGCTAACCCAGGCTAACACCACCTAGTCAGCAATGTAGTGACCCAGGACAGTTCCTTCTCCTCTTGCTCTGATTTTTGAGATTTCACTTAATGAGATTTTCATTAGCATATTGTCTAGTTTTTGCATGTTATTCTGTTTTGCCTTCACCCTCTTTGTACCCAAAGGCGGCTGACTGAGTGAATGTTCTAATGATTTGAATCTTGCATCTCAAGTGCTCAGGCCGCCACTGTCCTCTCTCACCTAGGGCTTGCCACCGACCCCTACGGAGGACAGGGCCTGGGACTGGGGGTCCAGCCTGGAAAATATGGTGGGTGTAGGAGGTAGACCTATGGGTAATTAAGGGTTGGGTAGCCAAACTTCCTTTTGAAACTAAAGTTACGGAAAAAGGATTAGAGTATAACACATGGGCGACTCTCTGGAGGTGTGATGCAACATGGTAATTTATAGATAACAGTGAGGTTTTCTAGTTCATACGTGTTAACCAGCAGCTCTGTGGACAGTCAGATTTTAGATTGCCAGTATTAGACCCCTCCCTCTTTGTGCTTTGACTAGAATGATTCTATGAGCATTTTGATGAAGATATTGATCTAAATATCTTTTAAGATGATAAAGAAAAGGTTTTATAGGAAACAGAGCAATGTATGCAGATTAGTGATTCCGTGCCATCACGGTTCGTTGCTGAGCTTCTGGTCCGTGTTTGTTACGTGTGTCATTCATACATTATCATGCACCGTGCATAAATTTGTCAGTCGGTTAAAATTCCCCCTTTGAATGCAGTACCTTTTCTGTGTCAATAGGGGGTGCTGGAGGTGGACCAGGTGTTGGAGTTGGTGGTCCCCAGGCTCACCTGCCTTATGGGGGCCAGGCAGTGGTCCCTGCTAGGCTGGGAGGCAATGGCAAGGCGGTCGGTTACAGTCAGGGACTGTCACCATATGGGGCTCATCCCGTCCAACCGGTGGGGCTGGCTGATGACAGGGACCTAGGTACACATATCTGCAGTTTGGGGTACTACCAAGGGATTGGCTAGTTAAAGGGAGCCTGGGTGAGTGCAGCTGCAAACTAGGGCCGCTGTTTCTGTTAGCGTGGATGGACTATTCCGGCTTATGTTTTGCAGGTGGACTGGGCGGCGAGCTTGGCGGCGGACTGTTCGAGTCCACGGCAGGGAAACGCGGTAAGCTCTGGTGACATCACCGGATGCCTCAGGACAGTTTCTACAGGATTAGGGTTTTTTGGGACGCTTGTGAGATATTTCGGGGGAGGTACTGAGGCACATGTGAACTGACATCCCATTTGCTGCAGGTGGAATTGGGCAGCTTTACAATGGTGCCCCCGTTGTTCCTGTGGCACAGAACGGTAAGGACTGCGAGCAGTGTCGGGAGGGGGGGGGGCTCCACCCTTGTGGGGCGGAGGTTTAGCAGCAGTCCGCAATATAAGGGACTTCCACCCCTCCCACAGGAAATGGGGGCTATCCATATGGTCCCCAAGCCTTGGCAGCCAATGGGAAACCGACAAGCAAACATGGTATGTTTCTCATAATGTGCATCTCCGCCAGGCACTTATTCTGCTTTAACTTAGTTAAGTGTGAGAACAGCCAGATTAAAGTGGGCAGTTTTCTCAAATGGATCTGTCACAGTGTACAAAGTGATGCATGTAAAAATGCGGGGGAGACACCTGGTGCTGGATGCATGTAAAAATGCGGGGGAGACACCTGGTGCTGGATGCATGTAAAAATGCGGGGGAGACACCTGGTGCTGGATGCATGTTGACTCCTACCGTCTACATAGCTGTTAAAACTTGGAGCCCAGTTTCATCTGGTGGTTTCTCACCTTGTTTAAACCACAGTACCTCCCTCTGCATCTGTCGTGCCTTTTGTCTATTTTTTTTTAGGAGATGGAGGGTACCAGAATGGTCCCGTGCAACCAGCAGGTAACCTTAATAAGAATTATTAAGCATTTAGCCTATTGCTAAGAAATTCTTTACTCATAACAACAAATGTGTCACATACTGTGATTAGTCAGAAGCTGTAAGCAGGGTGGACAACTGTCTCTGACAGCATTTCCAGCTACCGTTAGCCATGCACTTTCAGATAGACTTGAGTGGAGTGAGTCAGGCAGATATATACTAATGTTCATGCATAGAATCAATCACTGTCATCCTCATAAAGAGCTATTGTGAGATGCATGATCCCACGAAACCAGGAGAAAATAGAGCTTACCTCAGTCAAGCCCATTTTACACATTAAAGTCGTGTGTCTCCTTCGACTCTTCACAGGATATGTTGGACTCGGTGATGGTGCAGGCCCGTATGGTGAGAGTCTTCCAACCAATCCTATTATCTTGTACAATGCTCAGTAAACTAGGCCTGACTTTAAAGGGATCCCTTCCCGTCTTAGATGACCAACATCAAAGACCACACGCCTATTTTCCTTTCAATAATTCAGCTGGCGTTTTAGAAGGCGTGACTATCCTATCCTTGATCCAGACGTCCTGAGTGGAGGGCGATTAGTCATCCAGCTCCTAATTAATTAGCCCTTACTGAGGATCTCATTTGAAACGGAAATGATCAGGTTTGAGTTTGGAATAACCAGCCAATCAGTCTGTACTGTATTAAAAGGCATACGGCTATCTCTACCACTTAAATATAATTTATGGGGCTTTATTCTGTATTTCCGTCGATAGGTGGCAAGGAGAGCAAGTATGGACTGAATGGATTCTTTGGAAATGGATATCGAGGTGAGGATCAAGCATTTAGATCCAGATCATCTAGCCTTTGTTGTTTACTTGTAACAACGTGTTATGTAATAATGCCACATTATGTAATAACTTGACAGAATGTAACAAATTGAATGAGGATAATAATGATAATGATGATGATGATAATAGTAGGATAATGTTGCAATATAATATTATAATGTCTATACATTTGTAACATTTTGTCAAGTTATTACATAACATGCTGGAATAATGTGTGACACTATGTAATAACATCACCTTATGTCATGGAAATCTGTTATATTTTGTCAAGTTAATACACAATTCAGCATTAATACATAATGTGTTATAATATCCCAGCATCCTGTGCATGCTGTTGTTTTTAAGGGATAAATCCTCTTAACTCGAAATTTTATATATCTCTGTCCCTACAGGCTAATATCAGCGTTCTGTTTTTTCCTGTTATTTGTCCGTTTTGTTCTTTTGTATATTTTTGTATTCTTTTTTACCTTTAACGGCCATTGATATTTTTGTATGTTTTTTTGTGAACCCCTGTACCAATTCACTTATTGTCAAGTTTTTTTGGTTCTCACTAAAGTTCAGGCACCAACCGCATCCAGTATCTGACTCCTGTTGTTTGTCCTTCGCGTGTGGCATCTGGAATTAATACAAAGCTGGTTAGTCCACACACTCACAGACACACGAACACAGGTTTGTAATCATGTCTTTGTGGGGACTCACCATTCATTTCTATGGGAAAAACTCTAATCGCAACATGACAACCTTAGCCGCTACCCAGCCCTAAACTTAAGCATAAGTGACCAAACAAAGTATGAGACTTTTGGTATGTTTTTTGTTTTTTGATTGCATTCACAGATCTTTGTGGGGACCTGAAAACGTCAAAATAACAGATTTTTATTACATTGTGGGGTATATTTGGTCCCCACAATGTAATATAAACCAACTCCACACTGGGGCAGCGTGTGGCTCAGTGGGCTAAGCCTGTGTGCCTGTAGCCAGAAGGTTGCCGGTTCAAACTCAGCACGTCTATGGGTCCTTCAGCAAGGCCCTTAACCCCCAGCTCCCTGAGTGCTGCTATGGGTCTCTGCCCTTTGTGGACAACTTACTCTACAAAAAAAGTGCAAGTTAAGAGAGGCATAAAGACTCCACAGTGATCAATAAAGTATCAATTGTTATATACACTCACAGAAAAAAAAAAAAAAGTAATGTGCTTTTCTGATAGGTCAGCCTTGCCATTCATTATGAACCCTTAGTCGACTCAATTTCAGTTCATTTTATTTTTATATAGTGCACTCCCCTGCCTAACGTCCCCAGCATGCTTGACAAGGATTTAACAAGGACGACACAACCGGGGACAACCTGGTCTTATACAATGATAAGAAGATGAGTGGAAAGGAAGAGAGAAGACAAGAGAGGACTGATGGAAACGTTCTCGGTGTGACGGGCGGCCTGGACTACATGTTAGCACATGAAGAAAAGAGTTAGATACCTGAGTTAGTGTCTGAGCTCGCAGCGAGTGAGTGAAACTGAAACTCTACTCTGAGCTTCGTAATGCTAGAGTCCTTGTCATACCATAAGCTTTTTATTGTCATCTGTGATTATCTTACTATGACTAATGGATCTTTTAATTTGATCTCTGTTTTAAAGCTGCATCTCAAGATAAACACATTACCAACCTTCGCACATTTTTTTAAAAATCTTGATCAACAGACAGGAAACCGCATTATTTCCTTTTGCTCTGGAGGACTCTTTCTTTCTTTCTTGTCGTTTTTCTGACATGTTAAAACTATCCAGCTCATCAGGTGTCTGTTGTTTGCGAATGCCTTTTGGGATGTGCCCAGTCTCCAGATGCCTAATCCTGTCCAGAAATGGCTCTTCTAACACACAGCTAAGCTTAGATTAGAGAATCCAGTTCTGTTTAAGAGCAAAAATAAACCTCTTAGCGTCCAGAAGTTTCTCAAGTGGGTAAGTTAACCAACTCAACACACTTTACCTCAATGTTTATTTTGTGAAGAATAGCAAAATACATACAAAAATGCTAAAAAACAAGTCACAATAAAGTGTATAAGAAATAATATGATGGTCTAATATAATTTTCTATTATGGTTACATTTCTAGAGCTTTAATACAGGGATTGTCATTGTATAAATTAAGCAAAAAGTCTGGAATCCATCCCAGGGCACTCGAGACAGGATGCCAATGCAGAAAATTATAATATTATATAATATTTTAGAAATTAGATAAATAGGTGAGACTGTAAAATTTCAATATACAACTGTACATTCAAAGATGCCACATGACAATTGAGAAGCTATGAGGCGTATTAGTCAGCACTGACTTGTATGAGGGCTTTACAAAACCACAGATCAGACAGATGGAATGCATTTTTCTAGGGTAGAGGACATGATTCAGTTTGAACTGGAAAAAAGGTTTTAGAACCCCCCCCCCATCACACACACACCAGCACGACCACCATTATTTTCCATTTAAGAGTGAGAAGGGAGAAACGATTCACAATTTACTGGAAATTTCTTTTAAATGTCCAGCCTGTATAGTCCCTTGGAAGCCATGGGCAGAAGGCCGGATGGAGCACCAAACCGTCGCAGGACGCACTCATGGGGATAACCTGGCAACTTCAATTTACCTTAGCATGTTTTTGGATTGTGGGAGAAAGCCCTACAACAACACAGGGAGAACATGCAAACTCCACACACACGAGTCCCAGAGGTGTAAGCTAACAGTGCTAGCCACTATATCGCTTCTGTTAAAGGTGATCAGATCAATTTACTTTGAGTTCTTTGGAAACTTAAGTCTTTCTGGAAAAATATCTTTTTACATTGTAGCAAATTTGTTGCTGTAATCATTTGTAACTACTGCCATAGAAGTCAGTCTGAGTAGCAAGGCTAGTATTGTAATGAGTGTCTAGCAGTACACCCATTTTTGTCAGTATTTCCTTTGGCACGGGCCGGGCGTTGCGGGAGACATAGCTCTTCTTCAGCTGTAAGTTCATCGGCGACTCCACATAATCGTGGCACGACTCGCCTCCCAAATTCGGCGCACATTCCACCTCCATTTTGTAGTAGAGCTGGCCGTGGTTCAGAGTGCACAGGTCCTCCTTCACTCCTGCCGTCAACTTGACGTCGCAGGCGCCCAGCTGGTCATCGTCCCACTTGTTGTCCTCGTCCCAGACCTCAAACCGAAGGTTATTTTCCATCGACAGCACCAGCATGCCCATATCAAGCATGTAGTTCCAGGTGGGGTGGTTATTGTTATAGATCACCGGAGAGCGTCCCGCAGGGACACCAAGGCTAAACACTTTGACATACCCGTCAGTGCCTGTATCATAGTCCCCCCAAAGTCCCGAACCTCTCTGCACGGTGACCTTCACCCGAGCCAACCCCCTCTTGGAAGGGCAACAGCTTGGGGTCACCCCAGGGTTGTTATGACAAGCACAGATGCAAGAATCCTTGGGATGGGTCTTCACGCCCATGGGGCAGGGTTCAGAGCAGTTTTTCCACAGAGAGTGCTCCAAGATGTAATGGCTTATGGCGTTCTGTAGATGCTCGGCCTTTGGTTCAGAGTCGGGGAGCAACTCATGGAGTGAGTCCAGTGAGTAGGATACCAGGTCTGGAGTGGTAGCCAAGGAGGTCATCCACTCCTTGTACGCTGTCGGGTTTTTCTGGTCTGAAAAAAGCAGTTCGGGCTCTGTGGTGTGACCCCCTCGGATCTCTGTGAATCTGTTGGAGATATTTTGCTAAATTAGATTAACACCCCCCATGACAAAATGTCTTACGGTACCGAAGACATGGTTCAACAAATACCTATACTGCAAAGACCTTAAGAGTATCCTAATTAGTTCAATAAACAGAATTTAGCTATTGCTTTGTAAATATTACATTGCTACAATTTTCATTATATCAACGACGTGGATTTTATTGCCCAGAGCTTGGTATACCTGTCGTTAAACTTGCTGGAGAAGCTGGCCTTGTTCTCCATCTGTTTCTTGTCCTCCTCACAGTGCTTGTAGTTTGTGTTCACATTGAGCCGCTGGCCCACGCTGGCTGCGGCCTCCACATCCAGGCAGGTCTTCACCTCCTCGACGCTGAGGCCTTGCAGTGCTGCCTCACACTGCCGGATGCTGGTCACCGAGCTCACACTGCCGCCCAGTCGCACCTGCAGAGGTCAACGGTCAAACGAGAGAGTTGATTGGGTAGTCAGCAGAGATCAAAATGAAAGGATGGGTTTGACTGGCTGATGATCCCTATAGGACTTCCCCCCCCTTTTACCCATCTGTTACCTTAGTAATGTAATGTGTGCCGAAAATATCAATGAATTTGTAGTAGCGGTGTTTGCTTTTGCGGTTGTATTTCTTCGGGAGTTTCTTCACCGCATGCTGGAACTCGCTGTGTAGACGAGGCTGGTTGGAAATTCTGTAGCTGCAGAACCATTGATGTATGGAGAGGTTAATGATAAGGGGAAGCACAGACTCTTCTTCTCATGACCAACATGTTAAAGGGACCATATTTTACTCATTTTCACTGTTCATAATTTTACTTTTGAGGTCTACTAGAATAGATTTACAGCCATCAAGGTCCCAAAACCACTTCATTTTCCCAATAATGTACATCTCTGTTCACTTTGTCTATAATTGTCTGAAACGCTCTGTTACAGCTTTAAGACCCACCCCTGAGGAACCCTGTGTGCTCTGATTGGTCAGCTTGCCCTACACATTCTGACCATCTTGCAGTCTGCAGACTGATCCCTGCAGGTACACAGCCAATAGGGATCATGTTATGAAGTGACCTCACCATGTCACGGAAGTAAGGGCTGGAATTTCAATGAGGCGTTTCAGGCAGATTAGAGGAGAGTGCTTTCTGTGGTAAGAGTTTCTCCCTTTGGCAGGTACTTTGGGCCGTAAGACTTTGCAGACCATTTAAATGCACATAACACACTAAAGGAAAGGGAAAAACCAGAAAAGCATAATAGGGCACCTTTAAATCCGGGGGTTTCCGACAAGTCCACACTCACCTGTAGTAGCTGCATGACACCTGGTGACTGGTGAAGCTGAATCTGTCCTTTTTGGTTTTCTCCATGGAGTACTGGGCCAGGTTGGACTGGGTCCCCGCCAACATAAGCTTCCCCTCTCCCCTTTTGTCTTGGACGTCCAGATTGACCTGCCAGTTGTTCTCCACATTATTTGAGGAGGAAGTAACCAGGGATTCACTGGACTCGTGGATGCTGCTGGAAACTTTCATGTTGCACTGATGGTTGGGTCTCCAGTCCACGACGGACACGGGAAGTTTCTCCTTTCTTCCCAAATACGGATTGTTGCATATCATGCATTTCTTGTCCTGGAGCATCCACGAGCTCACGTCGATGACGTAAGCACCTTTGCGCTGCATTTTGGTTATGTCGAAGCCTTCCCCCGCCAGATTGGACCCAGGCGCAAACTCCAAATCCTTGCACACGTCGGCTTTGCCAGTGATGCAGGACAGAATGATTGGAACAGGGAGGGACAACAGCATGAGCCCCACCCAGAGGGCGCCGACAGACACGGGCATTATCGGTTATTTTGCGCGAAATGCCCAAAAACCCTTCTCTCCTGTAACATAAATAAAAAGGATCAGTCAAAATACAGCAAACGGTAGTTTCCTTGCTGGTCTGCCAGTGTGACATCACAATTGGATGTCACACTGTGTGGATTCCCAATATCTGTACCTACTGTATGTATGTGAGGACTTATAACCGGAGACTAATTTCCTGTATGTGTGAACATACAGTACTTGGCTAAATAAACCTGACTCTGCTATCTTAGCTAGCTGTCTGGCACAACAGAGGGCCATCACTAGGCTCAAAGAAGAACTAATTTTCGGCCAGGGAGTTTTATGCCAAGACCAGCCCATTTTGTTCTTGTTCCGGGGGAACTTTGATAAACGATGCCATGGTTCAAGTCTTAATATCCCGACAAATTTATTATTGACATTTCGAGAAGAAATGAAATACTAAATAGTCTATTGAACTGTTCGAGCAGTCTGACTTTTCCAGGTCCGCCTGGTCTCTTTCTAACAGCCATTGTTTGAGAAAATTCCAGTGATTGCCAATAGCAAGCTATTCCGAAGCATTGCTGTAAAATTTCAAACTTAAATTATTTTGTTTCTGACCGGCACAACAGCTAAAGCGGCTGGCGGTTACGGCGTTTTGTGTGAATCGCAGGAGAGATGAAATTTATCCGGTGCCCTCTTGGTTACTTTAATAAAAAGATCCCTTTTGTAATTTATTCTTAAGGTATTTATGGTTTATACTAAGGTATTAAAGTATTTATTTCAGTCAATGCCCAAGAAGTCTCCCCGTAAAATCCATCCATCTATCTTCCCACCCTGACGACATTGCGATTTCCTTGAAACTACACTTCTTGGAAATGGTGCCGTAACGCTTCCTCTGATTTATTTATTGTTGACCTTATGACAATTTTTCTCCAGTCAAACACAATAAAATTCGAATCAATTGCAGTCTTTTTCTAATCATTTGACCAATACAGTGAAACCAAAGAATTTTCCATAGGGTCACTTAACTATATTTGAATATAAGGTTGACAGTAGCCTACATAACTATGCAAGACAGGGGCAGTTACATGAGGTAAAATATTTACAACAGGATATAGCACAAGCTGTAATATTATAATGGTGTGACAGCATATTACACAGGACAATATTCCCTAATGTATCAATGACGTACAGACTTAGTTTTGCATGATAAACCCATGATATACAGAGCGAGTCTTAAGCAAATAACAATATCTTACCTCTACAGCTAACTCGCTGTCTGTGAAATGCGTGTTATGAGACTTGTTCACACTTTAATGTGGTGGAGGGGTTGGGGGTTGGGGGATGGGGGGGGTGGGCAGTTTTAAAAATGAACACGAAACATATGTTGAGAGAGATGATTCGATGCTGGTCAACCAGAGCACAGTGGTTTCTACAGAGGACGTCACTTGAGATACTGCCGGGCGCTTGCGGAAATGGCAGGTTAGGTTGCGGTGTTCCTGTCAAACTGACTTCTCGTTAGCCCTGCTTCTCCCCTCTGCCGATGACTGAAACGTGGCACAGCTGTGCTTCATGGAGCCGCCGCTGAGACATCAGGTTGGAGAACAAGTGCGGATACATAAACGAACTCAAACTCAGACCACGACGGTGAAGCACGGAGGCAAAGATGAAACAAAATGTCACCTTCCCCCAGACCCCTCCCACCACAGTACATTTTTCCAAGGTGGGGGGGGGGGGGGTCCCTCCAGAGCCCTGGGCCCCCTGAATCTCTGATGTTCCTGCCTCTATGTGATATTTTCCATTTTATTTTTAAGTCAGTTTATCTAATTGGATATTACCTAATTAAGAAGCCTCACTGAATATCCGACACAGCACTATCAAAAAACAATGAAAGATTACAGACAGGCAGACAGATTATAGACTGCGATAGTTGTCTTCTCTCATTCTACGCAGCTTACATCACATTCGTATCCACCCTTGTTTGCCGTAAGCAGGATGGAAACTTTTGGTACAAAGGTGGCTGTGGTTAAACTGCAGAGAAAATAAGGCAGATGCTGTTGTTTTTCATGCCGAAACTTTCAGGTATATCCCACGCACACACATACTGCGCTATTCAGAATTCCACTTTACCGAGTCAGTAGCTTAAGTTGTCTGTCCGCGTTCTGTGGCCATAATGAGATATTGTTATATACATGAATGCAGGGAGTGATACGGAAGTAAGGGAAACGCCACATGAAAAAGGACTTTAACTTTCAAGTAACTAAACACGGCTACACGGGTGAGTCACGCTATGTTGAATTCCGTGTGGCGGTGTGTCTCAGCCACAAAGCAGGGCTGTCAATCAGGACCTTCAAAGCAGCATGAGACAAACAGTTATGGACCAATGGTCACAGAAACAGCTAAATTATTTACTGTATAGGGGGAATAGTTATACCATAAGCAAAACAAAGACACTGTGCCAAGGAATTAGCTGTAGACTGGCCGGGGTCCCCTTTGGTAAATTTCACCGATCATGTAATCCATTAATCATCTCCTGTGATCGACCTTTAAAAAATGTCGAGGTGATCAACTGACAGTTCGGGCACTCCCCGGAATATAGGCTATATAATGGCGGGGTTGGGGAAGAAAGAGCAAGTGCTCAGAAGACCAGCCCAACAGGAAAAATCCTGAACTTCCCGGTGGCCTGTCTGTGCCTGCACAAAGCTGGAATTTACGACAAGGCTGCCATTTGGAAACCACTCAAATGCAAGGACAACACACAAGGACACATAACCTTGTATGAGAGGGATGAAACCAGGGCCCTAAATGATGGAAAAAAGAAACATGATATGATGAGTCAACTTTTGCCCTATTTTCTACAGCCAGAAGGGTTTATTGTAGAAAATAGCTAAAAAGGTCGCTTTCAACACAGAAGGTGACAGATTGTTAATGTATGAGCAGTCATCTGCTGGGAGGTATTAATAAGTGAAGTGAAAGTGATTAATTGTCATTGTCGACGCACCGTAGCACACAACAATGAAATGTGTCCTCTGCATTTAACCCATATATGACATAGCAGTAGGCAGCTATAATGTAGCACCCAGGGAGGTGTGTGTGGAAGTGGTACTTTGCAGGTCGGGGATTCAAACCAACAACCTTTCAATCACAAGCACATTTCCCTAATTACTAGGCCACCATTTGTATTGGGTCCAGTGGTTGCTCTGCATGATCATACAATGGCCAAGGGATGTGAGATCAATTTGACAGGACCAGGTGCACCTACTCTGTTTTCCAAATAACGTTCCCACATTCCAAGGTGATAATACCGCCGTACAAACTGGTAACCAGTCAAAGAGTTCCATAACACCAGGGTATAATAAAACACCACCCATAGCCTTTCCAGTCACAAGTTCTAAGCATCACTGAAACTTCTACAGACATTTTGGAGCACGATAAACCATCTAAGTTATTTTAGAAAGCTACATAGATATTATGGCCTGGCAGGCAGTGTACAGGTGACTGTGATCATGCAGTGCTACTCCATCATACCCCAAGGAACCCACTCCTGCATGTGCATGACAGCAGTCCAAGAAGGCAGAGCCATGGCCACACTGCTTAATTGGGTCCTTGATATTAATATATTGTGACCCGTTTCCGTTATTTTACGTTACTCTAAATGACTCTGTGTATGTGAAGGGCTGGAATAGACTACAGGCCCTCGCAAGATACTGAACAGGATAAAGGGTTAAAAGATGAATATAAATACAGAGTATAATTTTTTGTTAGCAGACATCCTAAAAAAAATATATAATTAAAAACATGCTTACATCGATATTCATCTGCAATGCCGGAGTTAAATTGGCAGAGAAGTCATCTTAAAAAAACAATACAAAACATGCAGCCACATTGTGTATTACATTACCCTTGCTGATAAATATTATTGAGTGACATATAGATCGCAATACCACAATGTATCAGCCTGATAAACTCTTTCCCCAGTTACTTCGCAGTGAGAGTATTACAAACGATCTGTAATGTATTTTTCCTTGGATATTTTTCTTAGATTACGCGAAACTGCATCAAAAATCAGGGTGATGGAAAAAAAATTCATTTTTTACAGCAAGCGTGCCCTCCAGCGGTGGTAATTACCACATTCCAACGAGCACTGATTTTAATGCTTGACAGTCAAGTAGCGATGGTGATCTGAACGCCTCTTTTTGAGAACCAAAACTAGGGAAGCGTTATACATTGCTGCAAGATATTTCGGTATTCGAATGACAGAAGAGTTTTTTTGTTAATGGTCGTTTGTCATAACATTTATTATGAAAATCATTAAATCGGCTGAGAAATAAATTTACCGCAATAACAATGAGTCATAACACGTTTTTAAAAATTTACGTCCAACACATGTCGTAAAATTTATATGACAAAATGTGATCATGTAGATACTCTGAGAGGGGATCAGCTGGAGTCAGGAAGAGTCAGCACTCGCACACATCTGGATATGATGGCATTTGCTCTCGTGGAAGTGCACAACACACAAAAATAAGTTTAATATCCAGCTGTCAAGTCCTCTGCAATAAAGTCACAAGGTAAATTGAAACTTGGTTCGGATACACAATTAACTCCAAATGAAATGTGAGGAAGGCACAACACGTACCGCTACGTTTATCTACCATATATAGGCCTAAACAAATTATAAATTGTGCAACAACTAAGCAGAATAATTTTCGCACACACAATATTTAAAAATATGGCCACTGCAGTCTGCCATAATTAACTTCAGATAAATGCACCGCAAGTGTCACAGTACAGTAAGAGCATGGCAAAAACACAATGTTAATGCCACGCATGAACACTATCTTTAATACACCACCTGCCAACACATTTACACCTAAATAACTTTGCCTGGAACTTTTTAAAAATAGCATGCGCGGTTTATTTACAGTATTGGGATTTGAATTCCACGTCAGTGCTGGCGTCCTGGGAGGGTCCCATTCAGCGATCCCCACGCCCTGGCACCGACACACGCCTCTTCCCCATTCACACCCGGGATTAAAGCGCCGCGGCTCCATCCCGGACGTCACCTGAAGGTGCGGAGTCAAGGCCATCGACCGGGCGCTGCGTAACCGGCAGCGAGGGGAACCGGAGCCGGGGGGAGCGTGAACCCTCCACACCACCATCGATATATCTTCGTTTTTTATTTTCGTTTTTTGAAAACATCTTGTGTGATCAACGTGCACGGGTGCTCCGGTTTCTTCGTGCTGGAAGTCTGCGGATGCAATCACGGCTCCCCCACACTGGTTCCAGTCGACTCAGGCAACGCTGGTCACAGACCCACCGGATGGACCGGACCTGATTATTTTCGGGCTACCTCTGTGAAGCGTTTCGGAAGTCATTTTGACTTCCTTTTTTATTTGCATGTAGGCTGAATACAGAATACAGCAGGTGTAGCTCGGGTTGTGTCGGTCTGCTGGACACATTTCGGGAGTGGACATTTAGCTAGCCGTGTAGCTGGCCACCGGAGCGGCACGGACGGCGCCGACTGACTGACTGGCCGAGCGACCGTGCCGCATGCGGGCTGCTACTCGGGCCCGTGCCGGCGCATCGAAGCGGGCGCCTTCGAGTCGAGGGGGCCGTGGGACCTCGGGAGATGCGGCGAGACCTAGCCGGGACTAGCTAAATACCGCTGTGCGGTACCGCATTCCCGGAAACCCGGCTAGCCGTTCGGGCTAACAGGAGCGTCGTAGGGTTGGGGGGGCTCGCATCGTCACGCCGTGCGGTCGCCGTGCGGGCTTGAAGCCGCCTTCGCCGTCCCGGATCTCCGGTCGCCCCAGGCGACGGGATTCCGGGGAGCGTAACGCGGCCCCCTCCGGCCAAGACCGCGGTTAACTCGACCGCAGATAGCGGCACTTAGGCGAGCCGATGGACGGCCGTTAGCCGGGCAGGTTGGCCGCGGACCCCGTCCGGTCGCCACGGCGCTCCCCCATCACCGTCCCGATAACCGGGGCTGATCGGGACGCCTGCCAGGCGGCTTAGCCGCGTTAGTAATCCGGCTAGCATCAGCGGTACGACCGCTATCTTGTAATACCACCCCACATCTGAAACGCACAATATAATACATCTGGATAAACTTTTATTCCATTTTTAATATTTTAAAAAGTTGACGGGGTAGTCGGTAGCTGGGACATTTTAGTAAAGGTAGTTCAGATAGCTGGCTGCAAGCTTTGACAATTAAACAATGCAGAAATGTTTAAAATAACTACTTACTTTTTTTTTTTTAACAACCGCTGCTGGACAGAAACAGTGTAGACACGACTCGTTTAACTAGTTAAGAAGTAAGAAACCGGGTGCAGTGTCCGACTACTGATCATCTAAAATATTTAAAGTACTTTGTTTTTTTTGTTTAAATTCCGTGTGGTATTTTAGCTGATACTACAATGAGAATGACTGCTGTGGTTATATAGTGTTTAAAGTGCAGATAAAAAGTACACAATGTTTGCTTTGTTAGGCTGTCGGTCTATAAATCCCTGTGGATGACAGAGGTTGTGGGTCTTTAAAAAGATCAAGAGTCTTTGGCCCTGGTGTTTTTGTATTTTTGAATATTTGTCTAATTTTTTCACTATTTGGACTATGTAGTTGGCTGCCTTGCACCCAGGCACACTCTCAGAACTGGCCTTTTTTTTAAAGGTGACATTTTTGCTTTTAACGCCGCCACTGGACGTGTGTACATAGGCGTGAAAGTCCCCCCCCCCCCCCCCCCCAACAGTGCTTTTTTTATAAACACTTTTGGTTGCTATGGCATTTTTAAATGGGCCCAGGCTGCTGGACTGGGCCAATTCACCTCCGCATCTCCAGTTCAACAAATACGTCCTGACCGGTTACAGGCCCATTTCCTCGGTGCAGGACTGTGTGCGAAGCCTATTCTACCTGCACAACGAGCTGGGCAACATATACACGCATGGTGAGCAGCCTTTTCACACTCATGGGAGCAATGAAAGACGGATCATGTTTCTACTACATGTCCACAGGTTTCGGATCACTGACAGTTCAGCCGCAAAGCGAACCGCCTTGTCTGATGTTTGTCCTGCGATGGCGCTTAAATTCGGCTAGAATTGCATCGGCTTTATACTTAGGGGTTGGTCATGTTGCATGTTAGTTTTGTATGGTTATTGTTTGTGTTTTTACCCCCTACCTTGAATAGCGTCCTAAATATAGCCTTCTCTTTAATGAGTAAAGGTGTTAACTGAGCGTTTTGGGACCTGTTTACAGTCATTAAAAGCAGTTATTCACGCTGGGAAAACCGCAGGAACAGAGCAGTGTAAGATGTCGACAGAAAGCCACAACACCCGAGAAATTCCTCAGTGTTTTGTTATTTTCAGATTATCCCTCCTGCATACCGACAGTGGATAAATCGTGTATGATTCAGCCTGTGTTATATGGCTGGTTTATTTTCTCGGCAGTGAAACAGGCCTATATCCCTACACTTTGTTGAAAGGGGTAAAGTTGTGAACTGAGCATCTTTGAAGCAGACAGCAATTCTGCTAAATGAATGATTCACGCTTGGACTGTCCCCGGGGTCTGGGCGCAGCTGTGAATGTTTTCAGGTGTGTTGGTTTAGAGGTTGTCGATGGCGGAGAGTTGTGCTACCCGGATTCGTCGGGCGTCGGCCAGTAAAATCAGCAGGGATTTATTTCAAGTCTGTGGTGTGTGTTCTGGCTTGTGGATGGACTTAATGCGGTTCTCTCAGAAACGATGGTGGAGGGTGGGGGGGGGGGGATTGTTCAGCAGAGGTGTTAAATGCCCCGTGCTGTATCATCCGGTCAGCACAATATCTGACTTTGGAACCTGGGGAGGTGAGAGAGGAAGTGAGAGGGAGAAAGATGCGTGTCTCAGTAGATTAGATATCAGGATGGCTTTTATTTACCAAAATAAGCCGTATCTATATTCTACTACTGTCATATTTTTTATGTTTGGAGGAAAATGGTCAGAAAATGACAATCCCTCCCCCACCCCTTTCCCGCACCCAATCTCTTACGTAAACGTGCATGTGCAGATTCAGGTCCGTGTGTGGGGGTCATTAACCTTTTTACCCCACCCACACTGCTCGATTTGACATTGTTCTGACCCCACAGGCATCCCGCTGTTGTGCTTCTTGGTGCTGCTCCCCCTCAACATCCCCTGGTCCCAGATCAGCGTCACCTGGCTGGGCGTGGTCCACTTCCTGGCCTGCCTGTCCCCGCAGCTGGGGTCCGTGGTCTACCACCTCTTCATGAACCACGAGGGCGGCGAGCCCGTCTACCACACGCTGCTCACCCTCGATATGTGCGGCATCTGCATGATCAACACTCTGGGTAAGCTCTTCAGTAGGCAATCCAATAATGGAATAATCGAACTGTTTCGTGTAGGGATAGCTGGCTGTGATTGGTCGGGGTTAAAGGCCTGTTCCCTGTTTGCATACAGGCGCCCTGCCCATCGTGTACAGCACCCTCCTCTGCTACCCCATCATCCGCAGCGCCGCCCTGCTGGCGTACATCATGCTCTCGAGCTACTCCATCTACTGCGCCATCACGGCGCGCAACCGCGTGCGGCGCCTGCGCTCCTTCGCCTGGCAGGCGCTCTTCCGCTTCTCGTTCTTCGTGCTGCGCTGGGTGGGCGTGGGCGGCGGCAGCCCCACGTCGCTGCGGCACTTCCTCACCATGGACACGCTGGCTGTGTTGGGCGGTGTCATCAACATCAGCCGCATCCCCGAGCGCTTCCGCCCGGGCCTCTTTGACTACTGGTGCAACAGCCACCAGATCATGCACGTGCTAGTGGTGGGATCCATCCTTTACCTACACTGGGGTGTTCTGGACGACCTGCTGTGGATCAACAGCTACCACTGTCCCCCCGACTGACGACTGGGGCGTCAGGGTAATGGGGACTTCAGAACTTTCACTGGGGGTGGGTGGGTGGGGGTTGCTATGGGTGGGGGACTCTTTGAATTAGAGCATGTTTTTTTTTTTCCCCCCTTCCCTCGTATGTGTCTGTTACTTTACTTTAAAATCGATGCAAGAGTCTTGAAGATTACGCATTATACATGCATTCAGGTTTAGGGGTAGATTCTCCTCTAAAGGCCTGTGGTAGTTTACAAGTTTACTAGCAGAAGTAGACTGTCCAATCTGCCCAGGGCTGCCTACACACACACACACACACACACACAAACACCAGATAGAGGAGCCAATTCGTTAGCCTGTCCTCCGCGTAAAGTGACGTTTGTGGGAGTCAGTAGACCTACAAAAGAAAACAGGGAAGCCCAGAGTCTGAAATGGTCCTCGATCACAATTACACCAGCGCTCAACAGCCTCAGTTACACATAATTGCAACTACTCGCCATCATTAAGATATTAGGCACTTAAGCAATAGGAATATCCTCCAAAATAAGGAACAGAGTTTCCTACATGATAATCGTTTCACTCCTCTGATCTGTGATGAGTGACATCCAGTCAGATTTTTCGTTATTTAAATCACTGGAGAGCAGCTGTAGCAGGCCAGGTTTGAGCAGTCGTGCTCTCCCTGCAAGGGCGACCGTTCGCCGTGGCCTGTTCCGCTCTCGTGCAGATCCGCGACTGAAGACGTCACATTGCACTGACTCACGCGCGCGAGAACTCGAGAAGCCAGCAATCGCGCACAAGCTTCCGTCTGGCGTTCAAGAGACCGCTTCAGTGAACGGCTCCTTGAAAGCTGACTGAGGAAGAAATGCCCCCCCCCCCCCATGCCCTTCTGTGGTTAGATGCAAAGGAGGTCAGAAGTGGCACCCTAGCATGTCAGTTTACAGGCTTTAGATTCATTTGCATCACGTTTTTTTTTTTTTCCTTTTCCTCCTAGGTGTCATTCAGAGGGACCTGCATCATCTGTTGACGTTTCTGTTTATAATATATTTAATATTTATTTATTGATTTATTTTGGCTGCTTGCAGTGTGGCAGGGGCCCCGTGTTTACATTTCATCGTGCGAAGGAATGTTTCGATAAAAGTCCAGAATGCAGTTACAGCTTACACAGTAGGGGGTGCTGTTGAGTCGGAAATTCAGCCGTCGGCACTGCAGAAGTGTGCTGTACATTTTGACAGTATTACTGTGCTAGATATGTGGTTTTTCGCAAAGCTTTAGAGCTATTTCCACATTTGACACTATCTTAATACTTCTGCATCACCATGCATTCAGCTTCACTTGGCCTGGTTGTTCAAATGCTGATCTAAGATTCTTTTATTTGACTTTATTCCTTATTAAATCAGTTGCACCAACTGGCAGTATATTTTAGGAATGCCCCCCACCCCTTGATACCTTTGACGTTGGCTACCTCAACACAGACAAACCTTATTTTTCTAACAATTTCTGTAGCTTGTTATGTAGTGGGGGATGTTATGCCAATGTGGTCCGGCTTGAGCCCACTTCATGTATCATAGCAGAGCTCACCAGCTGGTTGAAAACACCACCTGATGCACAGATCTCGCCTAATAGGATTACCTTGGCTGTGTTTTCCTGTTACTAGGCCTGGACTGGATTCCTCCTCTGGATTATCATTATCGTCACTTAATACATGATTGGCATTCTTTGGTAGTTCCATATATGAGAAATCATTGCCTCAAGTGAAGATCAAGTTGCCAGCTGGTCTCTTGAATGAACCGTGTTGCATCTCCTGCACGGCTGGGCTGACCTGCATTCTGGACTGCGTAGTACTGTAGGGTGGAAAGCTTTCTGCTGATGTGCAGCAGACGGCTGTGTTATACTTGGGGTCCTTTGTGGAAAATTGCCAAACACTAAAACCTCCAACTCCTTCCTTTTTTCGATGTAATTCGCAGCATTTGAATCTAATCCAGTCGCTTTTGTAGACCAGCGACGTATTACTTTGAATGCGAAGTCAGAAAGTCTTTTAGCGAAAACCAGCTTGCTTACGGTTGATCTTATCAAAGTGAAACCCAGACATATCAGTTGAATCCTTTTTTTTTAATTTATTTGTAAAAAAGTAATGGCATTATGAGTTTTTGTGTTCTGCACTGAGATTTTTTTTTCTTTCAGAAATGCAGGCATTCTGGTTGCAGTACAATGCAAAAATTAAAAATGTAGGGTATGTAAGAGTTTTGTTTTATATTCCGCTTGAGGTGAATGTGCCTCGAGCAGTGAGGAGTGGGTTTCCCCCCGATCTATATGAAACTGTTGCACGTTTGTCACAAAGAACGTCTGCTCGATTGTCCTCTTTCATTTGCTGGTTACTCATGAGTGGAGGTTGAGGTCGCTGAATGCTCAGTAAACGTAACATGAGACCTTTCTCTGTGGCTTATTCCATGTTTCACAGCTACGTTCATGCACCCTGCAGGAAGTTGCATAACTCTAAGTATCTTGTCTCTTAGCGGGAAACGAATTGAAGTCCGCTAGGCTACAGAAAGGCATATCAGTACTACAAAGGTATATAATCGTCCCTCCGCAAACCTCACTCCATGATAGAAGGCCTGTTGTAGCTCCATACACAATAAACCGGTACTCAGACTAAGTGTCACTGTAGGAGCAGAAGTGGACAGGTCAGGTTAACTACCACATAGTTCATCATGATCCTGCAGACGGTCGATTTTAAGGAGCGAGATCATGCACACATATCAAAAACCAGCATGCTAAATGGAAGGGTTTGAACCCACTTCAAATATAAGACAAACTTTGGACAATAGATGTATATCTTACAAACCATACTGTTTATTATTAAAGAAGGGCTTTGGGTCAAAGTAAATGACTATAAAATTATATTAAATGAATATAATTAATGTAAAGCCAACTGTTTATGCAAATATAAACATGTGAACTAAATTTAAGCAGGGATGGGAGAGATTAGCAGTCAGCGATATCCATCTCGAGATGGGATTTGGGAGATAAACTACCTTCATTGGGCATGTTAGACATGTAACCACAACATAGGAAGTGAAGTGTACAATTATTCTTTTTTTATTATCGGGAACATCTAGTCACCAGTTCCATCCCTATATGTGTGTTTACTCTTGACATAGTGAGACACATCCACAGACTTGAGCTAGAACAGAGGTCAGTTGGTATGGTTACTGGCCAGGCAGGTAGGCAAGGCTGCACTGAACTGAGGTGATGGATATGTGTCACATTGGTACTTGTTGTTAATTCCTGTCTGGGATGCTAAGGGTTTTAAATACCTCGGAATACTACTCAATATCTATGCATAATCTGATATACACTAAGGTGGATGTGTCTATTAAATACATTTAGAGTTTAAAATAAAAATAATAATCTCCATGGTTGAGCTGGTCACCAGGTTGTCTCAGGATGCTTTAACTGTAGTTTTTATTGTGAAGGCTTTGGTTCCCTTTTTGAAAACAGGTTTCTGTGAGGGGTGGTATACTCCCCGTCAACTCGCTATTTCTAGGATATGACTCTAGTAGTCAAAAACCTGTCTGCACAGGGTTTGTGAATGGAAGAAAGGGGAGAAATGGCCGGGGGAGGGCAAAATATTCACCCCTCTACTTTTTCGACAGATTTGTTTTTCAGAACTGGAACCCGGCCATCATCCTTCACTGTAAACTTTTATGTTGATAATAGCTGATATTATGTATAACTAATGTTTTTAGTATGCTGGTGCTGGATAGCCTGTTTGTTTAAAAATAAATAAAATTAACCATAACTACTCTGAGGGTGATTAGTACTTCTAATACTGTATAAGTCGCGTAAACCTAAAAGAAACTGTTCCGATTAAGCCTGAATGGGCGCCTCCGAGGGTCGGTCCGTCAATCCTTGATTTTCTTCTGTCTTTTCATCTGCCTCCGTCTCTTAATGAGAGCATCAGGCCAAGTCTCACATCCGCGTCTTACCGCCATCTGCTGGGCTGAGCGCGTAATGTCTTAATGACCGCAGAGCAGGTGCAGGCGCCCTGGAGGGGAAGGCGAAGTCGGCGTTTCTACCCAGCTGTACAATTTGTATGTGAAAAGGCTCCCGGGTGATTTATGGCGACTCTGGCTGCTTGAGTTTATTTGCAAAACGTTAGTATGTTATTGTCCCTTTATCATTGTAGGTTTCCTCCAACACGATATTAGTTTTATGTTTTGTTTATAATTTGCCTTTCCACTCACAGGTAAATATTTAACTCTTGTCAGGAAAACAGGCCCTCGTTCTCTAAAAAGTTGTGCAATAAACTCTATATTTTCAAACCTGCAGTCTGTCTTACATTTCACTATTGTTTTTTGATTACACTGCGGAATACCAAGGTTTCTTTGAGACATCTTTATTTATTAAATATATTTAGTGGACGATGAATTGTAGTAAACTATCGCTCTGCCAAAACGCCCTCCATTGGCAGGACATTTATTTTTTAAATAACGGTTGTAAATAAATAAATACACTGCAGACTAACGGCATGTCGCAGATGATTCAAGAAAGGGTCTGTAGGCTACTTATCTGAAGAAATACCACGTTCTTGTTTTCTCTTTGCACCGTCTCAGCGTCTAATGCATTTCTAGCTCAGGTAGCGGTTCTGTTTGAGTCAGTGCTGAAATTATAGCCTGTATTGGCCGAGACCGGACATGATCGTGAATAATTGTCCAGACCAATGGAACACGGGCCTATGTATGGGACAAAGCACTGAAAAATATGCCTATATTAGCAATTATAATTATGCTAAGCCAATTCAACTCTTAAAATGAAGTTTTATTTTCATATGTAGATATGTTGAAATAGGTGGGAATTTAGTTCATGAATAAATTGTGGGTACTGTTCAGAAGTTTAGAAATTTTTGTTGCTCTACTTTCGAACTTAAAAAACGACAATATACAGACACCACCCCTTCCCATCTCTGCCTGTTTCACTTCCTCCATCACTTAAAAAGGTCTTATCGGGGCTACCGGCACACAATCTCTCCTTCTCGCAGTCTCCCTTTTGACGGATCCACGTCAGCCCGGACCGGTGCCTCTCCTCCCGTTTGACAGCAGGTCAGCCCGTCTCTTCTGCGACTCCTAACCGCGTGATTAAATGTCCACCCTCATGTCTTATTGCATCTTACAGCATCTGTTGTGAATTTAAGTGCATGTGCTCATTTTAATAACCTGTATATGTTTATAGCCTCAGCTCATGATTGAATTGGTGAGTTTTCTAATTAAAAGTAAATGTAAGACTGGATTTTGATAAGATGCACTTCTTGCTGGACCGAGCCGACTTACCGTTTCGGTGTTAACGGATTTGGACATTCAAAGTTAGGCGCGGCTGCAGATTAGAGGAAGTGTGCATATGCGAGTCTATTTCTTCAAAAACTTCAGTTCTTCATAGCAGCATAAATATTTTGTTCATAGTTTAATCTACTGCAATTTACTGTGATCGTCCAGTGTGAAACCTTCCGTTAATTTAAAATGCGCGTTCCGGAGTCATAAATATTTTAGGATGTGCTCTGAAAATTCACGGTTATCCCCATGACTGCTGAAGTATGTTTAAGAATGAAGCAGATCGAGGGATGAGGTTACATGTCTTATTAAAATAATTATACCAGAAGTTTATTCCAGAATTCATGCTAGAATTTGAGCTCTTGATGGTTAATCAAAGTAGGATATGACTAACAACTACAATAATATTAATAATAATAATAAGATTGCTAACAATGCCCAATACCGAGTAATGTGACTGAAGTCTACATTTTAGCGAAAGTCAAACAACTTAAGCCGTCTTGATTATTTTGATCAAATTTGGCTGGACGTTGTAATTTTTATTCATGTAATCACTGCCGTCTGTGAGGAGTGAGTGGGTCAGAAAAACTGAACGTGGCAACGGAGGCATATTTGACCTGGTCATTTCCCCCCGGCTTTTGTGAAATGTCACTATTGCCATTTCGTTTCTGTTTAAAAAAAGAGCTTTTATTTTCATGAAAATCAATTGTCTTTTATGTTAAGTGGTATTTCCTGGTAATTTCTCAATTATAGTTATTTTAAATAAATAACCGTTTTACTGATGCACTTGCATTTTATATACATTTTTCAGTGACAATGTATATACAATAAAAAATATGACAAGTAGATGTATACATGTTTATGGTGAAAGACATGGACCCATATTTTCCAGTTGATCCTACTTCCCGGGACACCCTTATATGGCAAAAGAGGCGGAACCTGGCAAACGTTGCCCATAAAAGTCGAGGATGCGCGAAGCTGTATCACTGTATGTATCGCAAGGGGGAGCGAAAATGTGTTTAGACAAGAGGAAGTTTCAAAACTCGACGCTTTTGCCAGTGGCTGCACGCGGCCGGCTTTGCGCTCCCTCCGCTCTCTTTACACTTGCTGCCGAATATTTGCACTGGATGTCAGTAGATCGCGGGGTTTCCTGTCCTGAGTAATGTCCGTGTACGTGCGCTCTCCACAGTCTTGTATGTCTTTATCCTTTCAGTCTGCATTTGTCTCTCATTCGGGGCATGGCGGTTTCATAAGCCTTGCCACTTCCTCTTCCTGCATGACAGTTCAGCGTGTTCTGGAGAAGCGCCGGCCTGAGACACAGCCGGCGCGGCGAATGCCGCCTCCATGTCCCCGTCTGACCCATGGCTCAGCCCGGGCTGTTGTGGACCGGGGTGTGAAGGCCGATTCCTTTACTTAATAAACTGCGAAGCTTTAAAAAAAAAAAATGCTTCGCGACTACGGTTGAGTAGTTAAACACTTGAAACCTGGATATTTCAGTGGTGAAAGGATGTAGCGTAGAGAGTATGGAGGAGGAAAAACGTGATGCTTAATGATAATGATGCAAGTTTTGGTGTTGCAGTCACTCTTGTTTAACACTAGCTGTGTCTGGTATATATAATATAAACACAATTTTAGCTCACATTTGTTCAATTTCCCCTTGTCTAACCACCTGTCTCTCTTTGCCCCTATTAATCTCTATCCATGTCCTCTGTCACCACAGTCCATCATGTCCAGGCAAGTGGTCAGGAGCAGCAAGTTTCGCCACGTCTTCGGACAGGCGGTGAAGGCTGATCAGTGCTACGATGACATCCGCATCTCCCAGATGACCTGGGACAGCACCTTCTGCTCCGTCAACCCCAAGTTCGTGGCCATGATCGTGGAGGCCAGCGGTGGAGGGGCTTTCATGGTGCTACCCCTGAGTAAGGTAGGTGTAGAGGAGCCACCTGCGGCAAACAGAGCCGCATCAACTTGTGCATTCCAGGTTTTCATTGAAAATCCCTTGCAAAGAAACATGAGTGTCCATTTCAGGATTCCCGCCAATGCAATAAAGCTTGATTAAACACAAAACCTAAAAAATGCAATTCATCTAATATAAATAGATGCTTCTTCAACGCATGGTCAATGCAGACATTTTTGTAGCTCTTATAACACCTCCCACATGTGGATATGCCTCTTCATTTTGCACCAGTTTCTTGCCTTTCACACAATGGTCTGTCGATCGAGCTGCCTGTGAATAATTTGTGAAGAGTGCAACTGCTGCGTGCAGTCAACAGTGCAAGTGATTTGGGAAGCACACTGTCCGGCGTCACTGACATTAAGTGGATTTGAAGTGTCGAATAACTGTACAGTTTATTTTTTATGAGTAAAGCCAGGCAACTGACAATCGTATCACATGGATTAATGAGCTTCTTCAGCATAATGTTGGGTTGACCTGTTGGGTGCATTTTGATGGCTAATGGAATAGCACTTGATGGTTTGCTAGAAGGCATCCGGTAAGACTCAAGCAACAAGTAACACATTCATTCATTTTGAGCTGAATTTGATGCTAAGGCTGACTGCCATAGCATCGACGCAGGATACAGCACAGAGTATCTGTACTGGAGTGATGATAGCAGGGAAACTTCAAAGAAGTTTATCAGGCACTAGTTTAAAAGTTGCTGGCTGTTCTGTGGAGGTTTTTTCAAGCCATCAGTATCTCTGAAGTTTTGTAACATTCTCTAAAGCAGCACACAGAACAAACAAAATCATGAATGACACTTGCATTTAACATGCTACGTAGATCCACTATAGAAGATAGACGCCTAGTGTTTAAGCAAGGCCATCCATCTGAATTATTTAAGTAAGCACCTTTGCAATAGGTTAAAGGTTGGTGGTTGTGAAGAAAAAACTTACGCTGTAAGTTAAGGACATTGATGATGTCATAATTAGGTCACACCGATGTGTCCTGCAAAATAATATGACTCTTAAGAAATGAACAAGGTAGACTGCGTTTGCTAATAGCTTCATGTTTCATTCCTGAAACTGTGCCGTTATTGCAACGGATTTGAGTGTGAGAGGGAACGTGAACTGTTCATGTCAGTTAGATTGCCCCAAGCCAAATGTGTAATCAACATTTAGCTCTACCGGCTGAGGCGAGACATTCACCCAAGGTTTTGAAATATAGATTCTGAGTAAAAGAAAGCACACTTTCTTAAATAAGGAAGTCTGGGGCAGGCTTTTGTTTTGCATGTCGCTCGCTGGCCTGTTGCGTTTTTTTTTCCATATTTGGAAACCTTCTCTGTCACTGCGGTTGGACGCAGGAAGTGGGAGGCGGAGCTTCGAGCGGAAATAGGTGTAAACAAACACGTGTTTTATCTTCTCCTGTGTCGTATGCCGGTCCTTAACTATGGAGGTTTTTAGTCAAGTCGGTGCAGTACGATGTTAAAAAGAACCCCCAGAACGCTTTGTGAACTAATAATCTGTTTGCATTCACCTGATCTCTCCATGCACAACCCCATCTTTTCTCACCATTAAAGAAATTTGTAGAGAGATTTCAGGTTCAAGACTTCAGAGCAGTGTTTATTAATCCGGTCCTCTGGGACGCACAGTCGGTTCGTGTTTTTGCTCCCTCCGTGCTCCCTACCAGACAGTTCACGTTTTTGCTCCCTCCCAGCTCCTACTGGTGTAGGAGAGAGACGCGGGTGCCAGTCACGCGTCCGTAACGCCATGATCGGAACAAAGTCAGCGCACATTTTAGCTGAACGCCAAGGGCGAAAGGACTAAGCGATCGCCAGAGATAAAATTAGAAAGAGCTGAGCGTTGAGCAAGAGGAGAAGCAGTAGGGACGGCCGCCTCTTAGAGGTCCCACGACATCTGGTGGCGAGAAGGCTCGAGTCACAGTTTTATTTTTGCAGATCAAGATTTACAAAGATGTGAAATGTGACAGAAATCCAGCTGCTGCTGCAAACCAAGGAAGAATTTCATGACAGAGACCTAATCACTGAGAATCCTCCAACTCCTCAGCAGAGCAGAAAGCAACTTTATTTATTTTCTAATGTGCGATTTAAATACGCCGACATTTTATTGCTGAGGAATATCTTCCCCTTCAGGAAGTATCTGTTTTGTACGGTTCCGTTTCTCGTTTATTGATGGGAGACACGAGACTCCAAAGCTCACTTCACTTCCAGTGAAATAATTTGTTGGCCAGTATGGGTATTTTATTGGTTATCTGAATGAGTGACACCAGCTGCTGCTGATGATTGAGCCCACAGTAGGATTTTTCCAATTGTTAACTGAGCTTGAGTCTAACGGAAGGTTGAGCTAGAAAAAAGAGTAGCAGCAGAGAGAAGAATGATGTTATACCTAGAACCTTCAACCCTAGGCATCTCAAAAGCATTATGGGTAACTGGAGGCTTGACCTGGCTTGACCTAACTCTTGAATCAGTTTCCTGATACTATCTTTCTTCTCCAATTTTTATTTTTCCGTTTTTGTGTCCTTAGTCCTGTGTCTGACCAACCAATACATGCCCATTCTTAGGTTCCTTCTGGGCACCATGTACATAATTTGGTTTTCTATGTGTGTCTGTATTCATTTATTCGCGCATTCATATATGGATGCATGAATCTTCCCCAGACGGGCCGTATCGACATGTCCTACCCAACCGTGTGCGGTCACAAAGGCCCGGTCCTGGACATTGAGTGGTGCCCTCACAATGACAACATCATTGCCAGCGGCTCAGAGGATTGCACCGTCATGGTGAGGGTCGTGGGACGGAGGGACATGCTGGAGAGGGAATGGGCATACAGACTGTGGCTAGCATCATGCTAATGGCTAAACTTTTACCTGTGGCCCTTCAACAGATTTGGGAGATCCCAGACGGGGGCCTGACTACCCCACTGAGAGAGCCTGTGGTGAAGCTGGAGGGCCACTCTAAAAGAGTGGGCATCCTTAGCTGGCACCCCACGGCCCACAACGTGCTGTTGACTGCTGGTATGTCCCACGGTCCTCTTTGGACCCCTCAGGGCTGTCCTCTGTCACTGCCTGTACGGCGCCATCGGCTTACCAGCCCTTGATCGTAGCTCTGACACCCTGCCCCTCCCCCCCCCCACCAGCCTGTGATAATGTGGTGATCCTGTGGAATGTGGCATGCGGTCAGGCCATGGTGCAGATCGACAGCGTGCACACCGACCTCATCTACAGCGCCTGCTGGAATTTGGATGGATCACGTATCCTGACGTCCTGCAAGGACAAGAAACTGCGCTTGCTGGACCCCCGCAAGGGCACTGTCATTGCGGTGAGTCCCCCCCCAGGGTTGCAGGTTTACATCCACCCACCCCGGCTCCATGTTCTGTGTGCCTGGAGTTCAGGGTTGCCGTAAGTTCCCAGACAGTCCACATTTTTGCTCCCTCCCATACAGTCCACATTTTTGCTCCCTCAAATCGGGACTGTCTGGGGGTCTGCAAGGACTGATTTGAGAAACCCTAAAATTGGACCATAAAAAAATAGTATCACATGACCACAGGGTGTCGCATGATCATATTGTTTGATATCAGCCTGTTGAAATGTGAGGTTCTGCTCCCCCTTCATATGTGTCACATGGTCCTCTGCTCGGCCTTTTTCAGGAGAAGGAGAAGCCCCATGAAGGCCACCGGCCCGTAAGGGCAGTGTTCGTGTCCGAGGGCAAGATCCTGACCACTGGGTTCAGTCGTATGAGTGAGAGACAGGTGGCACTGTGGGACCCAGTAAGTAACCTCCTTCTGTTTGTGGTCGTTGCCCCCTAGTGGCTTGGAGGTTTAGTGGATGGCCACAGCAGTACTAATTGCTGCCGTGTTTTGATAGGCTAGTTTCTCAAAGGCCCTCACCTTACAAGACCTGGACACGAGCAGCGGGGTCCTGCTGCCATTCTTTGACCCTGACACCGGAATCATCTACCTCTGTGGAAAGGTATGGATGAAACCAGTGGCACTTGTTCCTGTGTCCTCGTTTTATGCAAACGACTTGCACAAAAACCTACCAAAATGCACATTTAGGTTGACTTGTTATTTGTGTCATTGCTTGAAGCTGACCATGACCCGGAGATCACCAGTGTGCGCTAAACCCAACAACAGAACACATGTTAAAATTCACTTAAGGTCGCCATGACTGTCTCATTACATTTCAGTGCATTTAAGTGCAGAGTATATGAATGTGCGTGCAAACACTCCACGATCTACACGGAGGTGTAAGCATGTTTAGTATGAAAGACATCATGTCTGGACCTGCCTTCTGTGCTCAGTGCTTGAAAGCAGCTGTCTTGCAGCTTGTGGGGGGGGCGGTGGTGTGTTTGTGTGTGTGTGGGGGGGGGGGGCTATGGTGGTGGTTTTGCTGATCTGTAACTCTGCACCACCATTTCCCAGGGAGACAGCAGCATTCGGTACTATGAAGTGACGGACGAAGCACCCTACGTGCACTACCTGTCCATGTACAGCAGCAAGGAGAGCCAGAAGGGCATGGGCTACATGCCCAAGAGAGGTCTGGAGGTCAACAAGTGCGAGATCGCCAGGTGAGACCCAAGGACCTGCCCTGCGTCCCCTCATGAGCGGCAGCGACCGCCGGCAATGGAACGTTCTGACATTTGTGTGTGTGTTCCTCTTCTGTCAGGTTCTACAAGCTCCACGAGCGGAAGTGTGAACCCATCGTCATGACCGTACCTCGAAAGGTATGCGCACATTTTCCTCGACTGCCATTGGTTGTCCATATGTCACACGGACAGTTTAAAGATGTTGGTAATACCAAATGTGTCCACCAAACATCCTTCATTGTTCTGTGGAGTTCCCCTCTACATGCACTCTGAGCATTGATTTTTTTCCCCCATCTTTGTTCTCAGTCTGACCTATTCCAGGAAGACCTTTACCCAGATACGATTGGCCCTGAACCTTCAGTGGAGGCCTCTGATTGGTTTGCAGGCAAGGATGGCAAACCAATCCTCATCTCTTTGAAAGACGGCTTTGTGGCAACTAAAACCAAAGAGTTCAAAGTTCACAAGAGTCTTCTCAGCACCACAACGTGCAGCAGTGGAAACAGGAACGGCGACAGTGCGGTAAGAGAACACTGTCAACACCTCACGTTCTGAGAGGAACCACGCCAGTGTTGTCTTGGCGATGCAGTGACCACATTCATTTATCACACTTCTGGGGACTATCACTCTTTAATGCTTGATACGTCTCATTCTTCTCCAGGATCTGCGCTCCATCCAGGAGGAACTGAAACAGCTGAAGGCGACAGTGGCGGACCTGACTCAGAGAGTCAGCGAGCTGGAGAGCAAGTAACGAGACAGAGAGGGAGCAAGGAAGGGATAGAAGGGACAACATAAGCTGTGTAAAAAATGTGTGGTGGAGCAGTAGGCGTGGTGATGTGGCAGGAACTTGTATAGCTTAGCTGAGAAAAGCATGACAGTATTTTACCAAGCGGTAACATTTATTTCACAGGCTGAAGTTGTCATCGTTTTTGACAGAGATTTGGTTCCAAGTATGTCATATGTTTCTTGTTCTGTAGTTTCATTCATTTATTGGTTTCAAGTCAATACAATTAGGTTTTAATATAATAGGATAATGCTGTTTTTTTTTGGAAAAATCAAAATAAAGTTTTCAGAACATTTTTCAACAGTTTTATAAGTTTTATTCGTTTTTTTTTGTGTGCTGGCAAACAATGAGAAACAAAGCTGGTGTTTTACTCCTGCTTAATCCTGACTAAGACGACATCAAATCCGTAAATCTGAATACTTCTTTACACACTTACAGGAATTAGACACTGTACTGTGCATCTGACAGTGACATTTCTCACAAAATTAGCTGATGGCAGGTTTTTACACCGAATTTGGTCCTCAAATTTAAAATGTTATAGAAAAGAATTCAAAAATTTTAAAAATATTTAGTAAACATATTATGAAAGGTTAACTAACATACTCTAGATATTTGTCTCCCCCTACTGGAGCCTTTGTGTATATACAGTGTGTCCCAGCAGCCTGAGCTTTTCGTCACCACAACTAATGAAACCTGCTAAATTAATAGTATTTACATGTTAATCTTTACTTCTATAATGCACTTTGTCTGTGACCCTCACCCCCCCCCTTCATTTCCTTTATTTTCTGACTTTCCTGTTGCCCTAGTCTCCCCTCAAGTGTCTTACATACTCCCTGAAGCTGTCTGCCCCTACCCCCCTGAATTAAACATAATTTTTGCTGGGTGCAGAGGCACTGTTGCTATAGTACTTAGCAGTGGCACCCGAGCCTCCAGAACGCACTTTGCTGAAGCAGCAGAGCAGTCCTCCGCCCAGTAGGAGGAGCACTCCGCCGGCCCAACCGATGAAGATGCAGGCACCCAGCTCCATCTTCTGCGGGTTCAGCGGGTTATTGAAGTCGCGGATGATGTTGTTGGCCGTCCAGCTGACGGGAATGATGAGCAGGAGGCCGGCGAGTATCAGGCCGATGCCGGCTGTCAGCGCGATACGCGGCTTGGCGTCCTCGTTCTGAACGCAGACGGTGAAGTCGGCACCAGCAAACAGGATGAGGACAGAGATCACGGTTAGCATGCAGCAGATGATTATCATGGCCCGGGCCGCCTGCAAGTCGGAGCCGAGGATGAGCAGCGAATCGTAGGCCTTGCACTGCTGCTGGCCCGTACTCTGCACCACACAGGACATCCAAAGCCCTTCTGTGGTTTCCTGTGTGGGGGGAAAGCAGAAAATTCATACTGGTGCTGACCCAAAGGGTTCTGCATCTGGTTTCTACACCTCTGTGTTCGCCACACTTTCACTGGGACACATGTTAACTTAACCAAGTGGCACATGTGTTAAGAAACAAGGGCAGAGGCAATAAACCACGACAGGTATCATTTTGGAGAATGAGGCTCATCACTGAACTGTTTCACAATATATGAACAAATAACTTGCTTTGCTTTTTTTATCAACTTGGAGAAAAAATTGGAGGGAATGGCAGTACCTGCGCAGTGACGATGTTTTGTCCCGTGAAGGAAGACTCTCGCCACTTGGGTATGGCGCAGCAGATGATGGCTGCAACTAGACCCAGAATCCCCAACGCCACACAGACGATGTGTATCCCTGCGTTTCCCATCCTGGCAGAAAATGGGTGGGGGGTCAAATCCTATTTGTTAAAAATGTCGACCGTCAGTGGCTGTGCAATGATGTTGTCTCGCATCGCCCTTCCGTTGCATGCTGATACTCTGGGCATATGCGTTGGGCAAGTCTGTGCAAGACATTGTAGCCAAAGGCTACATTTAAAAACAAAGCTATGACGAATGACACGCCCAAGGGCTCGAGGACCGGTCCTGACACGTCCATAAAATACTCTGCTGTTTTCTGGGAGATAGTCTCCACTTCCAAACCCATGTCTCAGCAACCCTAAGTGACAAACACCCCCCCTTTGACCGCAGTCCATACCTCCTTGCTGAAGGCTTTGCTGCAGGTATTCACCATCCCCCCAGAATAGACGTGAATCATCACGACATAGTAAATATACACAACGGGGCTCTTAACACTGATGTGGACTGGGGAGGGGAGACATTCTATGAAAGTAGCCAATAGCTGCTCATTCTGTTTTTGGGTCCAAACAAGCAAGAACAAGGTTTCCCCTCAGGGATGTTGGTCTGTGTAGTAAAGGGGCGTCATTTTTCCCATGATACATTGACTCAAGATACTATAAGCCAAATGTGTTGGCTCCACAGGTATATGATATGTTTAGCAAACTAATTTTGATAAGACTCGATTGCGAATGTCCATTATTATAGTCGCCTGAATAAAAACTATGTAGACTGCATATGATATTAAACATTCCCCAATAGGGAGGATATCCGCTTGCATTACACGTTATAATTTGATAATTTGAGCAAGAGTGATTGGCCTTATTTCAGCATAAGAAAAAAAAAACAATGATGGGTATTTCATTTTGAAATGAAAAGGAACAGCAAAATCAGATAAAATGTGAAAACCCACCACCAAAAAACAGTATACAGCATGTCGGATTTTATCTTAACATAAATTAAACTATATTCTGATAATTAAACTACATTCTTATATGATAATGATTCTTATAAGTATCATATTGTGTCTCCAGGTATGCATGTTATGATGTTGTATATCTGGAAACAAGTTACACTTGATAAGAACTAACTAAATTAAATTAAATTCAGGTTGTAAAGTAATGAAATGTTTAAGTACCTTTAGTGTTGTTCCCTGGGTTCCCAACAACAGAGAAAAGTCTTCGATGTTTAATCCTTCGCTTCTTGCAGGCGCGGTGGTCTGTACAGGCTCGGTGTAGGATCCTCTGTGTTCAGGGAGCTCTTATGTTGGGGGCTTTTGTAGAGGAATGTGATGTGAAGGGTGGGGCACTAAAGGTGGTGTAGGGGTTTGGCAGTTTGGACCAGACTGAACTTGTCTGTCTGTCTTTCTTGACTCCTTTTGGTTTCTCGTCTGTAGTGACTACTCCAAACCAAGAGGAACTCTCCCATAAAAACTGGCAAAGTTTGCATTGAATGGCAAAACACTACAAAATAAACATTGATTTAGAGTCAGTGCCTAAGGAAAAAAATGCTCAATATGCAAGATCTGTAATAAGATGCTGTTTTATATATTTTTTAAAAATCAATTATCTGTGTATTTACATATATCGGTTTAAGTATGATTTTTTTATTTGACCGGTGTTACATATAATATCTCCATTGTGAAACTGCTACGTGACTAGGAAAAATGAAGGAGAAATTATTTATTTTAATATGTTATTTTCGACCCCTTTTCCCTACCATACGCCCCGGCCTCATTTCTGCGCCATTGCTCATAACGATAATATCGTTTGATCCCTCCTCTACCCGAAACTCCGGATAGAAAAAGACGTGACGAAACAAAGACTGTAACATGGAAGTTGCTGATAGTTACTGTAATTTCTAGGAAAGGATGAGTAATGATGTGAAACCCACGGGATAGATTGGGAAATTCATAGAGGTGTACAAACATTGGGAAAGAAGATGTCACACAGGTGGAGACCAAAACAAGTTTTGCACGCGCGCGCTCACACACACACACGCGCGCGCACCATCCATACTTTTCCCCATACAGTTTACCCAATTCAGGGTGGTGTACCTATTCCATAATTACTGACAATTTTTTTCCTGACTAGTTTATTTTGCACTGACAGAAGAAATTTATGCAGACACGGGAAGTCCATTATCACACATCGATTCAACAGCCCAGTAGGTGGAAAGCTTTTGCATTCAAACATGTTTAGCGTTCAAAGATTTTAAATTTGGCTTAAATCAGATTCCATGACAGCCATGAAACCATCCGATTTCAGAAGTAGTATTTGGTATAATGATTTGTATATCTCATTTCATTCTGTCATTCACTTCTATCACTTCCCGTAGCTCTGTGTGTTTCAATGATACGTTCGTTCAGTTGTAACGGAAAGACATTTTGTTCTGGGAAAGTTAGCTCTCTATAACGCTGAAAAAGCTTCTGCACTAGATGGCGCTCTTTCCCGTGCTACGTGAGATCCAGGCATGAAGAGGATTTGCGGGAATTGTAGTTTTCTAAAAACCTCATCTACCGAAGACATTAGTTATTGTCTCAAAGACGATTAAAAAAAATCTTCAATTGGATAAACTTCTTTCGGCTTTATATGCTTTAAACTTTTCTACAGTTACACCAACATGTCGACTGTTTTTTGTAATATGGAATTTAGCAGTTCCAAAATGGAAGATGGATGGACTGTTAGAAATGTAAAACATTTAATATTTCACGGGTCAGTTGAAATCGACCGGTCGATTGAAACGGTGGTTATTACACGCATTCTGTAGCATATATGTTATATATTTGCATTTTAGAATGGCATGTCTTTCAGCATGAAATCGTAAACCGGAGAAACATAAAGCAAATGAGCAAATCTACCGATTTTAGGACCACGAGCCGCTACTATTCGCAGACACCGGCTTGCTCCTTCGCCCTTTTTCAACTCTGCTGACGTCATCCTACAGAACCCTAAGGCGGATCCCGGGATGGCAGCAATACGCTTGCGGAGCGGACTTGCGACCAATTAAAATCGAGAAGATGGAGACGAAGGTGGTACTTTCTTGTGAGATTGACACCGCGTCTACCCAATCGGATGCATGTTCCTACCCCTCTTTTACTCTCCCTTTCGAACAACACGGCCCTTTTAATTTGAAAGTTGAGTGGAAGGAATAAGAAACAGAGGAATTTGGGTAAACGGGGTAGTGAAAAGGCGCCAGGGGTTATACTGAATATACATTCCTCGTTTCTCATTATTCACTTTATATATTAGCTAGCTATCGATAGTGCGGATAAGTTAGGGAGCAGGCTAACGTGAGCTATCGATAGCTAGCTAAAGATAAGACGGGGAACAGTCATTAGCAAGTTGGCTGGAATTGGCGGATCTGTTGTTCTCCGGTTATATAATAAAATTACAAAAAAAACAGCCGCTTTACCAATTTTGTTGAGAAAAAAATCGTATTGACGACGAATTAAGGGAGCAACGGGGGAGAAAGACTTGACTGCTTGAAAACGACCAAAAAAATTAAGTAAAATGGCGGAGCCGGACAAATTAAACATTGACTCTATAATACAGCGTCTTCTGGAAGGTGAGACGTTTTTATTTCCCCCCTGTCGTTTGTTTTTATCAATTTGCTATCCGTGCTGATGCGAACTGTCGTGGTCGGTGATAATTTTCCGAAAGGACGGAGCGAAGAGGGGCTCGAAGCCGGGGAAAGATGAAGAGCAGAGGGAGGAACATGGGCGGCTTAGGCGGTGAAGAACCGGGACGCGAGGCGGGCGAGCGCGCGGAGCCTGGAAAGCGCCACATATATGCCTTTTTAATTAGACTTCTTATCACCGGTGTACGTGTTTCGGTTGACGAACGTGGACACGCCGGACCGGGAGATTTGCATGCTGTTGAAACCGTCTTTTACCCCGGTAACCAGATGCTACCCTAGTGTAGGTAACACGTCTAGTTTGTTGCCTGGTCCCGGTTGCTAACGCATCCGCTGTTGAGCAACCACAGAAATGCAAGCCCAAGGCGATAACGTTTGTAGTTAGTTCTTTGGAATATATTTATATATATATATATATACGTGTGTGTATATATATATAGTAACAGATCGACCGATGCGCGCCTTTAGTACGTTTAGATGTACGTGCATGCATGTGAAACGGTGCCTTGGTTTAAAGAGCTAGACGATATCTCTTGATAGTGGATCAGAAAACGTTCAGGTGAGCAGTGATGTTTCTTTGGCCTTCATTGTCGTGCATTTTGGTGAATATTTGGTAATGTTGAGTGTGACATCGGTCCCGGGAGTGTGGCCGGATGGCTGGACGCGAGGGTTATGAATGAGGGGGTAAAATGGAGGGGGCTGAGAGTGAGGGGGCTGGGGGCGTCTGAATATCAGGGCTGGGAATGGACCTGATACTCCCCCATACTATAGTGCCGCTCACGTAACCTTGTCATTTGCGTTGTCATATCGCTGAATATAAACGTTCCGTATTTAATTTTTCAGCAGCCCTTAGGAAACCATAAGATCTGCGGGTAGGTCGAGATGCAGGGTGTGGAAAAAACATGTTAAACGGTAATTTCGGAATAACGTCTTGCTCGTGTGTCATCCATAAGTCACGATGTCTAAATAATAATGAAAAACGGTTTCGCTCGACCGCTTAATGCCTTTTGAAATGCAAGCGGGAATCCGTGGGATATTTATTATATAATGTTTGTTTCAACCAGCTCTGGGTATAGTACGGAAACATCCATTTATCAGAGATATCAAGAAAAATGGAGTATTGCATGAGGCATCTGACGCGCTAGATTTTACAAAAATATACTTCTGCACGTTGTCCGGTAAATTACATCTAAGAGATAAAAAGACTGGCAGATTAAGGCAAGTTTTTATAAATGGGCCAAAAATGGATAGGGAGGGTTAACAGTGAAAGCACGTGGTACAATGTTGCAAAATGAAATCATCATGGAATGATGCCAAGGGTAGTTGTACTTTTGATTTGAGCCTCATTTAAGTAATGCTGCTTGACCACAAAAATGAGCACATTTAAATTCCCATTTGCTAGCCACCATCTGTCAGGGATGTTTTTAATGGTTTTACAAATTCTACCGACCTGGTTGAATATCTACCTGTTGCGAACTGATGGATGTAACAGTATTCCCTTTGTTCGATAAAGGACCTTACTGAAAACAGTTATTGCAGGAATCAAATGTGGAATTGGTGATATAACCTTAGGCTGATTTGCCATGTCTTCAGCGTGGTAAACCGTATCAGAAGGAACTTTTTAAATCGTTAACCCCTGCCAAGGGCTTGTATAACCAAAAAAGGCTATCTGTAATTCTGTTCTCAGCAGGATTTAAAAACAGGAAGCTGAAGCGTCTGCCTAGCTCTGAACTAATGATATTGTAGATGGTGCAGTTTGTAAAGGTTCAGATTTGTATCTTTGCTAGTTGTGCATTTTTTTATTTAATTTTTTTTAAAAACAAACCTTTTAGATTCTTATTTACTGCACTGCACTGTAATGGGAGGCTGTGGCCCTGCTTGTGCGCCTGCTTGTGCGCCTGCTTGTGCGCCTGCTTGTGCGCCTACTACTGTGCTCAGGTTAATCGCAGAAGCTCACTGTGGCTTGTGAATCTTACACCAGGGAGGTCATGGGTTCGCCACCGCCGGAGTGAGTGGATTAATCACAAGTCACTAAGGTGTGCTGGGGCCACGGGGCTGCTGTTGCACAGTCAGGATGAGAGCACAGTAGACATGTCAGATCCAGGGATTGGGGGGGGGGGGCGTTTCGACAGGAGACCAGCGTCTCACCTGCATGATTTATGGAGGCAAGGGTTTGCACTTGTACATGCAGTAAAGTATTCGTAAAGGTTTTGTATTTGTAAAGTTTTCAGCTAAAATTTGTCTACATCTGTAATTGTACATGCTTCTGGACTGGCCCTGCTTTGCCGAAATTTTTCTTAGGAGGCCCTTTAACAGCATTTCTGTTACCACTTTTATAGCAGAAGAACACTGCTGGGGAAGTGGTGGTGGTGGTGGTGGGGGGGGGGTGGAAAAAATGGGCCAGATGATCCAACCTCTGCTTCCATGGTTACTTTGTTGGTGTGACGAGAACCTGAGGGTGACTGGAAACCTGCTTGGCCCCTTGCAAAGGGGGGGGGACAGGGGGTAATGGTACAAATACCAGAATAGTGGAGTTGTGGGTCAGGTCAAAGGTAATATTTTTTTATATATTTTTTTAATATAGTAACTAGGCTTTCAGTAAGAGTTGTTGCTGGTTTAAGTCCAGATTTCATGCCCTTAACCACTGTGTACCTGAAGGTTGCTGGCTTAAGTCTCAGCAGGGGCCTTGCTGATGTGCCTTTGAGCAAAGTATTTGAGCACATTGCTCCAGTAGAATCCGCAGCTGTAAAAATGGGAAACCCTGTGAAAGCTTGTTGGGTGAAAGCTCTGGTGAAAAAAACTTAATGTTCTTTTCAGCAAAGCCCTTAACCTGAGTTTTCCCAATAAAACATGCAGCTATTTGAGTGCGAGAGACTAGGAAGAGCTAAAGCATTAATGGTGTTTCCGAGCACCTTTTATAATGTGATTTTTATGGGCTAAATGAGAAGAGAAGCAGTGAAGTTGACCACACTGACATCTTTGTCAAGAAGGAGAAGCATTATGATGTTGCCCTAGTGACGGGGCTCTGTACTTTTCCTTAATTACTTGCTGGTTTTTATTTCTGGTTGGATTCTTTTCTGCAAATTGAATCACCTCTGTTCTGATGCCGAAGATCTAGCCTTTCGCTGTAGACGTTTGTCTGAAAGTTTACTGCTTTGGTTCACCTTCAGTCCAGACTGAAGTCATTTGCTGTTATGTAATATGATTTTGTTTATGTAATGTCTAACACTTTCTTGCAAGACTGTATTTTCTTAATTGCTTTACCTTACTCCTGGACGATGCCACCCTATGCCAATGGCCTTTAAAGCAAACCTTTTTTTTTTTGCCATGATCCTTTTTTAAATAAATAAATTGAATGTTAAGGGTTATTATAACTGATAATTTACAATGATATTCTGGAGTGTTTCAAGCTGACCTTTGTGTTTCGCCTTTTATGGAAACACGCAGAGCTATCAGCACTGCAGATTGTACACAAACGTAACAAGTCAGGTGTTGGTATTTAGAATGCTAGCGGATAGGGCTGATAGCCCTCACCTTTACATCATGTGCGTAACAAGGGCATGGGCAGCTCTTGTAATAGCCACGATACTTAGAAGGTTGTGGGCGGTTGCAGGTTTTAAATGCATTTGGGGGGGGGGGGATATTTGGATTTATGTTACGCTTGCCGGACTCAGTGACTGGCCCCTTGGATAGACCCCCCCCCTCCATCCATGTCAGTAACATGTTGCCTATTTGTTCGATGGCTAACTTTAGCGAGAGCACTGCCGAGGCTTAGCATGCCTTAATCCAGGTTTAATGTGACAAGCTGCGACATCCTATTTATACTGCTGCATTTACGCAAGGTCCGAGACCCTGCGGATTCTTGGAGTCAAATCAGTCGATGCCGCTGTTGCCGTGCACCGTGCTTGTTTAAACAGAACTCACGGGGTGTTTGTTTTATGAGCACGTTTAAAGGCCGCCCTAGGCATCTTCATAGCTGCCCTGCTAACGGCGGGACTCGTCTGCATACCTGGTCGCCTTCCGTCCGGGAAGGTTCCTCCAAATGTAAACTGGCGCGGAAGGGAAACGTAAACCGGGCACCAGGTACCCTGCCAGTGGTGTCGGTCACGCTGAGGCTGTCGTGCTGTTCTGTGGCGTTTTGCATGCAAAATGAAACATCCTGTGAAGCTTCGAGTCATACATGCTAACCCTGCAGACCCCCCCCCAATCTGCCTCGCCCTCAAAGGTCTTTAATTCACCTGATGCAATATAAAAGATTTAACCCCTCCTAATTTAGAGTTTATTGAAGTGCCCTCTGGGCAGGGAATTTTAAAGCTGCCCGATGATCCTTACGAACCTGCGGTGGGTATTTTTGGCTGGGGTGAGTCAGGAGTACTTTGATCTAACCGGCGCCCTGTGATCTGTCACATCAGTGACGGTGGCCCCTCGAGTCCCGTTCTGCTGGCTGGACATTGGCCCGCAGGGCTCCCCTCACTCGCCCTGAGATAGCCGCCGTCATGCATGTATGTTCTTACTGTTAATGCGGCCTATGTGTCCATACGCTGCATTTCATCGTTACATAATGTATATTGGTGCTTATTTCATTTGAAAAGCTTTTTATATTTATATACTTTATATGCAGTAATTAAAGAGCAGGTTGTCTGAGTAATGTGCTTGATGTGTTTGTTTTCAATTACATCACATAACTTAGGCTATTTTATGGCTTTGGGGTTTAATGGTGAGCAGGTGTGTAGCTGTGTAATCCAGCATCCCTCAAAGCCCACAGAGTTGGCCCCTAGGGTTGGCCTTGGTTCTCTTTTTAATTTTTTTTCTCTCAGTGTAATTAACATTCACCTTCTTCCATTCGGACAGTGTCCCATGTCACTGGTAAGCCTAGAATTCAGTGGCAGCAGCTGTGCTGTTTAGCATTCATATAAGCCAGCAGAGTTGTGAGATTCTATTGGCTAATCGTCTCATTACAATTGAGCCTCTGCTATTTTTTTTTCTGCATTTCAGAAGCCACTCCCACCATTGTGAGGCCCCTCCCACTTGATATTTTATATTCTGGTTCCTACACTGTATTTTTACTGAAGCTTTCCACCCTCCAGGAAATGAGTGGCAGATTTATTTTTCCCCCCCATCTGCTTTTCTTCAATCTTGCCGTTGAGATTAAATAAAAAAAGATGTATTAGTTTCTTAATGGTCAGTGCAGCTTAGTGTTTAGGCTTTCTCCATGCTAGCGCTCACTGTTTACCTGCTGGCCTGTTCCTCCGTCTCCAGTGAAGGGCTCCCGGCCAGGCAAGAATGTGCAGCTGACAGAGAACGAGATCCGCGGCCTCTGCCTCAAGTCCAGGGAAATCTTCCTCAGCCAGCCAATCCTCCTTGAACTTGAGGCTCCGCTCAAGATCTGTGGTGAGTGCTGATTGGATGGCTACCTATGACCTACTTGTGATTGTTGGGTGAATTGTGACCCTGCATTTGCCTGCCTGGGTAATACAGCTCCTTAAATGACAAGCGTTATCTGACAAGTCAGGCTTCCGGCCCAGGGGGCTGATTTTTTTTCTCTTTCTTTCCCATTAGAGAGAGACAGTAGGTTGCAGCGTTTGCTGCTGGATTTGTCCCACTTATGCATGTGATAATTGGAGATTCTTGCTCCTTAAGCTCCGCCTTTAAATGGCAGCACAGAAATTCAGCCAAGCAGCTCAGTGAAGCTGTTTGTGGCTGGCTCTGATTTATTCTATTGTAGTTCGCTTGTGTCTTTCTGATTGAAAACAAAGCCGTGATGATAATTCAGTCATCGGCCAAGCTGCTTCCTGTTCAAAAATAGTCACTACCTGACGCACAGTTCTCCATCTTCCACACAGGTGACGTCCATGGGCAGTATTACGACCTCCTGCGACTGTTTGAGTACGGCGGCTTCCCCCCGGAGAGCAACTACCTGTTCTTGGGTGACTATGTGGACCGGGGCAAGCAGTCGTTGGAGACCATCTGCCTGCTGCTGGCCTACAAGGTCAAGTACCCCGAGAACTTCTTCCTGCTGCGGGGGAACCACGAGTGTGCCTCCATCAACCGCATCTACGGCTTCTACGACGAGTGTAAGCGAGGGGCGGGGACCCGGCGGGCCGTTAGTCACCGCGCTCTGGCGACGCGCCGTTACATAAGTTGCCCTGCTGCCGTTGTACAGTCACTGTGTGTTCGGCATCGGCGGACTGGGGGGGGGGAGGTGCTTAGTCACCCACGAGCAGCTCTGCCGTGTGCCCAGCCGCGGCCGTCGACTGTCAAGCTCCGTCTCTCTACAGGAGCAAACCGGTTTTCTCTTCTGCATGTTTTATGCCTTGTGCTGGGTCCCTCCTTCCCCAGGTAAAAGGCGGTACAACATTAAGCTCTGGAAGACGTTCACAGACTGCTTCAACTGCCTGCCCGTGGCCGCCATCGTCGACGAGAAGATCTTCTGCTGCCATGGAGGTTTGTCGTTGCCGTTGTGTGTTTACGGTCCCCGTCTGCCTCCAGCCTCCCGTGTCCTCGCTGCGAGGATTCAAGGCAGTGGCTGTGACATCATGAGGCACACTTGTGGGGGAAAAAACCCCACTATTTTAAAAAAAAAAAAAAAAAACAAAATGTTGCAATCCCTTGCATTGAGTATAACAAGGTAGAAGTGTTATTTCCTGGGGGTGGGTGTGTGCATTAACTGCTTTCAGTCCAGCAGTGATGAAATGCAACAAAGGCCCTGCATCTGTTCCAAAACACACAAACACTGTGTGTAGAAGGATGTTTACAGGAGTCTAGCTATAGGGCAGTGAGGCCCTGTGCGGGGGGGGTGGTGTCCTGTCACAGTCCCAGAATGCCGAGCACGTCACCTCCGGCTGCTGTCCCGGCTTTTCCTGTCACTCTGTCTTGTACCTAGTTCAGTCTGCGGTTTGGAGATCTGCTTTTCAGTCTCTTTGTCGTGACTGTTGTTGCTACACGCCTTTAACCTCCGCCCATGCAGTTTAACACGTATCCTCTGGGCTCTTTAAAAGTTCCACCCCTCTGGGGAAACATGTAATCCTTTTGTTGCCCAGTCCTGGGTTGGGTTACATGTTTCTGGGAGGCGTCAGGGAGCTTCTGTATTCAGACTGCCGTTTTGAGGCCTCTTATCTGCGGCTGACTTGAAGGCGTCGCGGACAGATGTTTCGAAAACGGAGCCTCTTGAAGCTGATTAAGGATCCTCTCGCCACAATCGCCGCCGCAGCTGAGCGTGATGGATGACTGGCCGGTGCACTCAGTGTATCGCGTGTCCACCATCCACAGGCCTCTCCCCGGATTTGCAGTCCATGGAGCAAGTGCGGCGTGTGATGCGACCCACGGACGTGCCTGACCAGGGCCTGCTGTGCGACCTGCTGTGGGCCGACCCGGACAAAGATGTGCTGGGCTGGGGGGAGAATGACCGCGGGGTCTCCTTCACCTTCGGTGCTGACGTAGTGGCCAAGTTCCTGCACAAGCATGACATGGACCTCATCTGCAGGGCGCACCAGGTGGGCGGCCGTGTTGGGCACTGTACCCGCCTTTCCTCAGCTGGGATGTGTAATTGGCGAGGGTAGCTGTTGCCTGTTGTTAAATGTGCCTTTGATTTGAAAGAAACGTTGAAGTTTAGGCTTGATGTAGGAGCATTATAGCTGTCTAAGGCGGCTTGCCGGATTGTGCGTTGGGCTGAATTAATAGATCCAGCTGGGAGTCTGTTTACCAAAGCGCAGCACGGTCCTGCTTTTGGTAGCTGTCGCCGATGCTGTGTGTGTCCCATGGCACTGTGTCGGGGGCCTCGCCTGAGCCACTCTCCCTACGCAGGTAGTGGAAGACGGCTACGAATTCTTCGCCAAGCGGCAGCTGGTCACGCTGTTTTCGGCACCCAACTACTGCGGCGAGTTCGACAATGCGGGAGCCATGATGAGCGTGGACGAGACCCTCATGTGCTCCTTCCAGGTAGGTCGCGGGGGTGTCTCTGTCCGTCTGTCTGCCTCTGTCTGCACGACTGTACTCCTGGCTAAAAACAGCACTGACTCTTCCCTTGTTCAGATCCTGAAACCTGCAGACAAGAAGCTCTACTCCTACGGGGGAGGTGGGGGCATGGGATCGGGACGTCCGGTCACCCCCCCTCGAAATTCAGCCAAAGGCGGAAAAGCCAAGAAATAGCACCTGCTGAACCCCCCCCAACTTTCACCTTCTCCTGCTTCTCTACCTCCCTCCCTCCTTCCCTCCATTCCCTTTCCATCACCAAACAGCGGCAAAGCAGTATCCAGGATTCTGTTTTTCCGGTCTCCTGATTCTTGGTACTGCGTAACTTTTAAGGTGTGCATGAACGTTTGAGAGGTTTGTGACGAGATGTCCTTCCTGTGCCCGGCCTTCCTCCATGCCCTTAAAACCCTCACCCTCACTCCTCTGGCACACTTGCTTTGAACGCACACAAGGTGGCAGCACCGAGGAGGCCCGCTGTGCATCACAGCCAGCGTGGGAGGGATTCTGCCATTGTTTATGTAAGACCCCCGCTCTCTCTTAACCTGTCAGAGATGCCAGTCACTTTAAAGGGAGGGTGGGGGGGGTTGACAGGCAGCCTCGCACATACGTGACGATTCCGTGTCGCACGCCAGGGTTTCTGTTCAACGTGCAGAGGGATGGGTGTGCGTGCTTGCGTGTGTGCGGGCGGGGGAAGATGTGAAGAGGCTGGACAGACGCACTCACGGAGCAAAATCAGGTGTCATTGTTTTATAGGTGTCAGACTTTTTAAAGTTTTGTTTTTAAAGTCGTCAAAGATGGGTTAATAAAGAAACATTTAAAAATACAAAGAAAAAGAGCCAAGCTTGCTTTTCTCCATGCCGCGTCTCCATGCCGTCTGTAAGCTGTCTGCTTTATATCTGCACCTGCTGCACGTGTCCAGCGGCCTCATCTGCTCTGTACCCCTTGTGGGATCAAGCTCCTTGTCAGACTTAAATTGCTTTTAAATCGATTCCCTCTCTTTGCTCCCTGTTCTGTTTTTTGCTTTGCTCATTCATGTTACCTCACAGTCTGTCATTCTGCCCAGAGCCATTTGTAAATACAGCCCCCCCCCCCCTTTTAATTTCCACGTACTGTAGTAGTTGCTTTCCATCACCTATGCTGTCTCTCGCTCCCACATCCGATCTGTAGTCAAATGTACCTTTCAGGTGCCCCACCATTAAATAGCACCTGCTTCTTAGTTTAAAAGGTACAGCTGCACTTGATCAGCTTTCCATAATCCCCCCCCCCCTTTGAAAGTTTGTGGTTCGCTGCGGTCCCATGATGCCACCATTGCTGGACTTCATTGTTCTCCTGCTCCAGGCTTATGTGCAGCTTTACGTATCCCCTTCCCTTCCTGTGATTGGCTGACTGCTTTCCATTGCGCATCTCGCATTTTCAAGACCATACCAAGCTGCCCGTCCTTATTTTCTCCATAAGCTGCCACGTCCTTATATCGTCTGACCAAAAGGTATCTTGGAGCGACAACGCTGTGCTTCATGATGCCCATGCGATCTTTGCTGGTTAATAGGTGGGGTGATTTTTTGTTTCCATTATGTGAATTTTCAATTACATTTTTTTTTGCAGGGTGTGCATTTTTGAACTTAATTGGTACTGTATAATGAACCTTAAGTTTTACTGTTAAACAAACGGCGAAAAGCTTGCTGAGAGCGGACGGGTGAGAAATATGTCAAGAGCCCCACGGTCGGCAGCTAGCGAGGCTGTGTGAACTTCACGGGAGACGCGTTTCAGGGGCACATGTAAATGCGATGGCTGTTTCTCACAACTGGCAGATGGGGATGATTAATGCAAGAGGTAATGTGTCTTGAATATGTATTGGTCGCCTATAGGAGGCATTTACAATGCTGTATTTTTTTCACCCCTTGTCTCAGACAGTGGTTTGATATTCAATGTAATAGTGACTGACAGGGAGGATGTGTGGTTTTTTTTTTCGTTTCAAAGACAAGGCTTTAATTTGATAGAAACGCTTTTCTGTAATATAGACAATCTCTATAAAGCATACGGTTTAGAAGCAAGCCATCCGCAATACGAAATGTAACAGGACGTTATCGTCTTTTTAGCCTATTGGGTAAAAATGTCTTGGGGAGGAATCGCTGTCAAAACCTCAGTGCGTGTGCTTGGTGAATTTCCCCCCGACGGCTGGAGACTTAACTTCCAGCAAGCATTACTGAAGGAAAAAAGAAAAGTCGACGGCGTTTCGTTAACGATCACGATTATTTTTGGTGCATACCTGCAGTAAAACGTACATCACGTATTTCTTTTTTTCCCCTCTTTTTACCTGACAGAAGTAGGTTAACTTAGGTAACGAGAGTTTGTAAATGTTTTTCTTTCAACCAATCAGGGACCTTTTCCCCCAAGCACTGACGCTGGGTAGGATACAGACGTTTAAATTGGATTAATCAGTTCATAGGTTTAATAAAAATGCTATTTTTTATTTTTTATGTAATTTGTTTTGCAACCAATCACAGATCTTGTCTCTCTGTTACCAGGTAGAAAATAAAAAGTGTATTTGTATCTTGTGCCTCGTCTTTATTCTCTCACTCCGCAAACAGCAGTAGCCTATTAAACCGTCATATTCCTAATTTTGTGCTTTCGGGTTGTCAGCACCTAACAGTACGCAAATTGGGGTCACCAGTGAGGTGGTCTGAAATCAACAATTTGCGTCAAACTGACTAACTATCTTGTACTAACACGTTATTCATCAAGTGTGATTTACACACGTGGGTCCAGTTAGTGTATGCGAAACGCCGTTTAATGTTTCCTGCTATATTAGATTCTGCTGAGATGGGCTAGGGCGGCAATAGGGAGCCTATTCTGCAACTACAGTTTTGCGTCCATGGTGTTTGCAATCGCAATCCTCGTATACAATAATTTGTACCAACCAGAGATCGTATTTATAGCTAATGCGTTTCTAAATTAAACTTAATTATGTTATCTGCATATATTCTGGAGTTTCAATAGAGTTGAGGGTTTAGCAGACAACGTATGCTTTTAACTCCATGGACTCGATTTATAGGAGTGTTCGCGCTGAGGTGTGGGAGAGCTGTGCTGCTTGGTATTTGAATATGGTAATTGTGAAAATGAAAACTGGGCCATGACTGTCTGATTCCACCTCTGTGCCAATATAGCTCCGTCTATATATCTGCAGTGTGTTTAGCAAGATATGACTAAAAAAAACACTCATTCAGAGAATTAATGCCTAATTAATTTTTCACAGTCAGTATGTTTATTGGACATATATATGTGTGAAATAAAATTGTGTGTGTACCATGATCAGAGGCCTACAGCAGAATATCATTGTGCGATGCTGCGTACACACAATTTCAGCGCTAATTGTACACCTATAGGTAAAATCGTCAGTTTAAATTTGCTCTTCAGCTACGACTGTACGGCATAATTTCATACATAGTTCAATGCGAGAAACTGCGGTTTAAGTCACATAGGCACTGAAAATGGTCAGGTGTGAGAGAATTTTCGCGACATGCTGCCGCCCCGTGGCTGAGAGTGAGTACTGCAACTGCTGAACTCGACCGGCGGAGTTGGTTGAGGTTTCCTTGTATGCGGCTATCGGGAACGAGCTCCCTGGTATGGAATGAGTGCAAGGATCAGGGTGTATTATGTCATACTCCCACCTGCCACATTAATATAAAAAACACACTTGAAGTACAAAAAAGTACGGCCTAGTGCCCTTTAGAGATCCATAGATACAGACAGCAATCAGGAAACGTGCGGATGTCTACAGAATGGTTACCTGCACGGAAGCAGTTATGTCCAGTGTGATGCTGCGCCTAATGACCTGGAGCAGGGAGTGTTGCTAGACAGTAGGTGAGAATGTTGCTACACCGTCCTGTATGGATGGCGGCTGATCTTGATCATTGAACTCCACTCCACGGTTTGACAGCAGTGAAGGGATTAATTTGTGATACTCAACTGGCAATTTAATGTCTGTGCATGAGTTTATCTGTTTGCATCTGCTGTCCTTTGGTATGCATGGTGGTCACTAGTATTTAATCACTGATGAATGGTACAGCTTTGCATTAAGCATAGATTTTATGGTGGAATGAAATACTTGCATTCAATGTCCTTTATGTTTTTAAGGAGGTTTTATGTCCTGTAGGAGGCAGAGTGGTGGCTCTGAGGCTAGGGATCAGTGCGAGCAATTTGAAGGTTGCTGGTTCAAATCCTGTGAATGCCTGGAGCGATCCTACTCCGTTGGGTCCTTAAGCAAAGTCATTAACCTGCAATTGCTTTGTCCTGGGTATGACATTAATCTATATCCAGCTCTGTAAGGAGATCCTCCAACTTGTAGGGAAATCTAGGGGTTGGTGGCAGGATTGGCACTCCAGCCACTGGAAAAAAACACACTGGTCCATTCGGACTAATGTGCTGCTGAGGTATCATCCACTGCACGGCTCTACTCAGGCTCTCATCCCTGAGGTGGTTCGTCTTGTGGTGGGTACAGCAATGTGTTGTAATGACCCTAACCCTAACCCTAACCCTAACCCATAAATGAATTTTGCAAATATTGCTCTGCTAAAATTTCAGGAAGAGGATCTACTAAACATTTCAACACAACAAATCTGAATACTCACCTTAAGGCGAGACAATGCATTATGCAGCGCATGAAAAGTTTCTGAAAAACAAATCCATTCCAATAGCGAAGGCTGCGGTACCGCCGAATAATGGTAGTCTGTCAGTAACGCAAGCTTTTGATATAAGAAAAAATCAGTGCAGACAGTGTGAAATCAAAAGATATTACTCGGAAAACTGTGTTTATCACACTTGATGATCAGCCCTTCTCTGTTATAAATGTCATAAATACACTACTGAAAAAATTAAAGGAACACTTATTAATCAGAGTATAGCATCAAGTGAATTAAACGTATGTGATATTGATCCGTGGCCTGTAGGGTACTGCGAAGCGGGCCGGTTACTGGCTTACCGGGGTAACTTGTCGGATTTAAGGTACCACAGTTTAAATTGACTTCATATTCCTTCACGTACATTGTGCCCAGACTACCTTAAATCCGACAAGTTACCCCAATAAGCCAGTAACCCCGCATCGCAGTACGGGCCACTGGTCAGTTAAGTAGCAGAGCGGGTTGTTACTCTGAGATTGTTGTTGTATGTCAGAGATGGTGTTTTCTTACCAAGAATAAATACTTTTTCATATTTTTGAAATATAATTTGTTTTCTTTTTATTAATTTGGGTCCCGTTAAACTGATTTAAATTTATGCAGAGCCTCCCAAACAATCGGTGTCAGTTTTCCAAATAATCGGCTATCGGTATCGGCCAGAAAATCCCTTATCGGTGCTTCACTACTTCAGGGTCATTTTCTACTATATTCATAGGCACTGGTTTGTCTTGACCAGTAGTGGGCTGTACTGTTAATTACATAATACAAATATTTTAAAAATGGTAAAACCGATAGCCTGTCACTTATGGGAGACAGCAATTAGACGCCCCTTTATATTCGCCTAAAGCAAATGTCAGCATTAAAGAATTATTAAGCCCCCAAAAAGGACTGTAATTCTAATTCTCCCATAGTGTGTTTGGTCGGTGCATTTTGGAACCTATGGCTTTCCGTACGCGTTCCCCGTTTGCCGTACAGGTTATTAAGATGGCTGCGTTGATACGACTCGGAATAATAGCCTTACCTGGTACCGTTTACAGATTGTATTTACAATATTGTGTTTTCATAGGCATGACGCCGGGAAGGTATAGTGCAATTACTATAAATAATTATGCTATGAATGTCATTAAAGGTGTTGTAATAAATTAGGAAAATATACTTAACTAGTTATTTGGGGTATGCTGTTATGAGGTTGTGTTAGGTGTCGTAGCAGAGCACAACGTCAGTATTTGCGGGCCATGCGTTAAAGGATTATAAACGTTTTCTGTTGAGTTTTTGCTTATTGGTTAGATACTTAGCTAGGTATATTAAAAGCAATAGTTAAAATATTTGTAGAACATTATAGACACATTATCAGTGCTGCTGAATCGCAGTCCAGCGGTACGTGTGGTCGTCATTGACAACCACACGTATCGCTGGACTGCGATTCAGTAGCACTGATAACGTGTCTATAATGTTCTACCAATATTTTAGCATTAAAGAATTATTAAGTTTTATTAAGTTCTTGCAGTTTGCTTTTACTGCCGTACGGTGGCGACATGTAATCCCTTCAGGCCTCTCCGCACGCGGACTGTGTTCACGCGTCCGCATGGAACATTTCGCACATGCGCAGAACGCGTGGGAGAAGGAAAGGACAATATTGTTGTTGAGGTACCGAAAAGGTTGGCTGTCACTTTACTGTTAACATTATTGTGTTTTCATTTTGAGTTTCTGGTGCTCACCTGAAGTGTGCATTACATGGACAAAAGTGTTTGGACTCACCTCTTAATCATTGAATTCAGGTGTTTCATTCAGACCCACTGCCACAGCCGTATACAGTCAAGCACCTAGCTATGCAGTCAGGTTTACAAACATTTGAGAAAGAATGGTCGCTCTAAAGATCTCAGTGAATTCAAGTGTGGTACTGTCATAGGATGCCACCTTTGCATGAAGTTTGTGATTTTTTTTTTCCCTGCTAGATATCACATGGTCTAATGTAAGTGGTATTATTGCAAAATGTAAGTGTTTAAGAACAATAGAAACTCAGCCACAAAGTGGCAGACAGAGCAGGGATGACAAGTGCTGAGCTGCATAGTGCGTAAAAGTCGCAAATGCTCTATTGACTAAATAACTGCAGAGTTCCAAATTTCCTCTGGCATTAACTCCAGCACAAAAACTGTGGGCCGGGAGCTTCATGGAATGGGCTTCCTTGGCTGAGCAGCTGCATGCAAGCCTCACATCACCAAGCGTGATGCCAAGCGTCAGATGGAGTGGCGTAATGCACTCTGCCACTGGACTCTGCAGCAGTGGAAATATTTTCTGTGGAGTGACGAATCACGCTTCTCTGTCTGGCAGTCTGAGGGATGAGTCTGGGTTTGGCGGATGCCAGGAGAACGTTACCTGCCTGACTGCATTGTGCCAACTGTAAAGTTTGGTGGATGAGAGATAATGGTATGGGGTTGTTTTTCAGGGGTTGGCCCCTTAGTTCCAGTGAAGGGAACTCTTAATGCGTCAGCATACTAAGACATTTTGGACAATTCTATGCTTCCAACTTTGTGGGAACAGTTTGAGGAAGGCCCTTTTCTGTTCCAGCATGACTGTGCACCAGTGCACAAAGCAAGGTCCATAAAGACATGGTTGGATGAGTTTGGTGTGGAAGAACTTGACTGGCCCACGCACAGCCCTGATCTCAACCCCATAAAACACCTTTGGGATGAACAAGAACAGAGATTGTAAGCCTGGCCTTCATGTCCAATATCAGTGCCTGACGTGACATGCTTTTCTGGGTGAATGAGCAAAAATTCCCACAGACACACTCCAAAATCTTGCGGAAATCCTTCCCAGAACAGTGGCAGCTGTTATAGCTGCAAAGAGGGGGGACCAGCTCCATACTGATGCCTGTGGGTTTAGGGTAGGATGCCATAAAATTCCTCTAGGTGTAATGGCCAGGCGTCCCAATACTTTTCTCCATTTAGTGTATCAGGTGCACATATGAAACTATCTGGAAACAGACTACAGCAGGAACTTATAGATTAGGGAAACCTACCAGAGACATGAGTTTAGGGCTACAGCAATTGCAGGGAGCACAAGACAATTTGATGACAAGTCAAAGAGCAGGTGCCATGGCAAGAAACGCAAATACAAATAATGATTATATTTTTTGGCAAAACACTAGAATTTGTTTGAGGCAGTTATACGGTCTCTTAGTATACATCTATATATCTAGTATGTACATTTCATAAATTACTTGGCATATTTCAAATAGTTCTTTAAATCTCAGTTTTCAAGTCTTTATAATTTGAATATGCCATACAAATGTTTATAATGCCATATAGATGGCATATGTGTGCATGTTTGTGTTTTTGTGGGCGTATATATCAATCTGACTGGATTGAGAAACAATCCATATTCAGTTTTAATAGTTGTAGCGCTGTTGTTGCAGCAAATTTCTGCTGCAGCTTGGTCTTCTAATCGTACTTTATTCATATATTCTAACTCATAGCCTATAACTTATGTCTCTGCCTTCACCGGCAATCCTGAGTGGTGTGACCCGTTCAACCCTGAGGCCTTTCGGGTGCAGAATGAATCTCTCCCCCGGCTCCTCCCACAGAACGTGATCATGGGCGCGGCTCAGATGGACGCCTGTATCCTGGCGGTGGCTGCCACAGGCGGGCAGATGCACCAGATGCGAGAGCACCTCCTGCTGGCGAGGCAGATCGACCTGCTGGACCTGGTGCGGCTGGAGGCGCGGGAGCTGCAGTCTGAGCTGGGCTATGACGGCGAGGCGGCCCCTGTCATCACTGGCTCCGCCCTCTGTGCCCTGGAGGTGATTGAGGGGCGGGGTCATGTTTTGCTGATTATGGCTCAATTCAAATGAGTTCAGTGATGTGATGTAATAATCAGAGGAATAAGTGGTTGGGTAGCTGAACTGTAAGGGGCGGGGCACTGGTGTAATTAGATGATGTAATGCCTCCCTCCTGTTGGGGTGTTACTCTCTCCCTCCCAGGGCAGGCAGCCCGAGCTGGCAGCTGAGGCGGTACTGAAACTCCTGGAGGCCCTTGACAGCTACGTGTCCCAGCTCCACAGGGAGCTGAACAAGCCGTTCCTGCTGCCTGTAGAGTCCATCCACTCCATCCTCGGTGTGGGACCCACGCCCAGGTACAGCACAGCTGCTACACCGAGCTCCCGGCGTCTGCGAGTCCGAGGGCTTTACCCAGCGCTGCCTTCTCCCCAGGATGGGGAACGGCGGTGACGGGAACACTGGAGCGAGGGGCCCTCAGCAGAGGAGACGCGTGTGAGTTTGTGGGACACGGCTGCTCCGCCAGATCTGTGGTGACAGGTCAGTAAGGTGCCCTCTGTTTGCACGAGTGTGCACGTTTGGATACCATGTTTACAACAAGCCGAGCTCGCACTAAAGTCTACAGCCTCATTTTGTTGTGCATGTGCGCAATAACAATAATGTTTTCTGGATTCAAAGATTTTTATTTCTCAGATGCATGAATGTAGCAGGGAAAGACATACTCCTGCACGTACAGTCATGCACTGCCCCGCCTCCTTGGCATCGAGGTGTTCCACAAGACCCTGGAGCAGGCTGAGGTGGGGGACCACCTGGGGGCGCTGGTGAGGGGGCTGAAGAGGGGTGACGTGAGGAAGGGGATGGTCATGTGCAAGCCGGGCTACATCAAGCCACACAGGACGGTACAGGCGCAGGTGTGTCTCCGCGGCGACGGCGGTGTTTGGCCGTGGAGTGACGGAGTCAGCGATGATGAGGCTAAGTATACTTAGCTCGGATGTGATGGAGATCGCCCTCGCCTGCTGTGTAAGTGACCAGAACAGGATGTACAGTGACTGAGCGGATGAGGATTAAATACATTTAAGGATTAATGACTGCTGGGCTGGGAAGTTTCCTTAAAGCTTATGGTAGCCCCCCCCCCCCAAATCAAGCTGGAAAAGCTTGATTGAACTGCCTTATAAAGGCAAAACACATTAAACACATTAACTGCATATTTTATCAAAACTGACTTGTTACTGGCATAAGGTCACTTTGGGTTCTGTGTCACCTTGTGACAAAATATTGTAGTTCAGCTATGCTTGATGTTGAAGAAAATGCTGTCATTTACCCACCTACTACATGCCAAAAACAAATGGCCCTATTTCTCGTTCTCATTGTTAGCATGGTTACTGTGTTTTACCTCAGTGGGCCAGTATGGCAGAGTAATCCCTGTCGGTGTGTGTGTTGTTTGTGGGGACATATTTTGGATCCCCCACAATATAAACCTTAATTTTATAAAAAATCTGTAACTGTAATTAAAAAACTAAAATAACTAAAAAGTCTTGCATTTTATTTGGTTACTTATAGTTAAGGTTGTCACAGTCAGGGTTATGCCTATAGAAATGAATGGAGAATCCCCACAATCACTGGAATATATGAAGTGTGTCTGTGTGTCTGTATAGGATTTTCTGGGAAGATTAATTCAATTAAGCAGGATCATGTGGGAAGACCCCCCCCCAAACAGACCCCCTAAAAAGTAACTTATATGCTTCATTATTTTCCTGTTTTCATCAGTCTCTTACGGCACTAAAACGAGCATCGGTGGGAACAGAGTGGAGGGGGGGGGGGGTGCTATTTGTCTGTATTTCTGTCACCCGACTTTTCTTTCCAGTTGTCATGCCAACCAAACAAGGACAAACGGACCCGTGTGTCCCATTGCAGTCAGAAACAATGGTGTGGAGCAGTAAAGCAGAAATGGAGACCTGGGCTAATTTCGGCGGATATTTGATGAAACGCACCATCCGGGCACCGGATCATCAAAGCAGCTTTGATGTTGATTGAGATATAAAAATAGAAGAAATCCCCGCTGGATTTACACATTTAAATTAGCTTGTCACTTAATTTAATAGATTTTTTTTTTTATTACAAATTACAATTACGTTCATTTAATTACAATTGGATTTTTACACACACGTGTGATATAACACAAGTGGCTATATAAGTGGGATATTTGGCACTTTGTACCTAACACGTCAGTAATAGAAATGTCGGCCCCCTTAGCATGGCCTGGTTTGGCCTGGCAAGGCTCCATAATGTGAGAAGGACACAACTATCTGTCGTGATCCTTCCTGTGATGAGCTGGTCTTGTTCATGTGAGTGTGGATCTCCCTGAGTTACCTGCATGCTGTGGGCAAGAGGAGCCAGCATGGGTTGGTGATTGTAAAGGTCTAGCCCCCTAGGACTGTCTGGGGATCCCTGTGGATCGGGTTAGGAATCACTAATCTTGGGAATACTGACCCCTTGTGGTCACAAGGACCAGCATTCTGCAACCTGAAACCAGATTTTTGCGCAGAACTTTGCGTAATACTGCATATCTAATAATGTACAGATTCAGGGAAATGTTTCCCTGTGACCGAGTGACAGGAACGTGACGAGGTTTGGCCATATTGCCCCTTCCAGCTGTTCACACAGCATCTGGGGAAATGGACGTTTCTATGAATGACATATAAATGGCAGCTGTATGACACCTGTAGATACACATATTTGGACATAGTATATTTTTTTCCTCATTCAGAAAATATTTACACCAAAAATCATGCCTAGACCTGGCTGAGCGCTTGACTCTGGGTTATGTTTTGGTAAAATTGTGCAAAACTACTCAACAGGAAAACATGTTGATTCATCATTGACCATCTCTCGCCCTCTTCTTCTCTGTCACTTTTGTGCAGTTTATTTTGCACGTCTTGCCGGGCACCGCGTCGCACGCTCACACGTATCCTCTGAAGTTGCCGCTTCCTTGGTCTTGGTGCCACACTCCCTCCTCCACATCTGGTATATCAACGCTCACCATTTTCTCGTAAGAATCTACCAGACCACAGGTTTTACATGGTTATTCCTTTGAAGTTGCATTTTACAACAGTGTCAAAAGTTGTTTTGCTTTAACTCTGGGGAAATATGTGTCAATCGACCAGCCCAAAATAATACCAAAGATATCTAAGCTGTAAAACCCATTTGGTGTGAGATGTAATCAGTCCTGGGGAAGTCACACCCAGAAATAATCCATTACAGACAGAGGTGGAAAGTTCAGGTTCAGAAAGTACAAATCCAGACCAAGGTTTTGTTTCAACCAACCAGTTGAGTACTCTGTGACTGTAACTCTTCATACTCAACTGCTTGGTCTGGATTTGTACTTTCTGGACCTGAACTTCTCACCTCTGTCTGCAATGGGTTACTTCTGTGAGTGACTTACTCAACACTGGATGTAATAGTCGATCGCCTTCTATTTTACCATCTTCCTCGGGGTAGAAGTCTGGGTGGATTTCATGTTGTGGGTCCATATCTACGTACGACTCCGCATCTGAGAAGGCAACAAGAGGTTGCTTTCTGGGTAGAGAGTAAGGCTGTGCTTTCTGGGACCCACATCTGGCCAGTCAGCATGCCCTTTGCACTTACCTATGTCATTTAGGCTCTCACTGTGCTGCATATGGTAGTCATCTGATACCATCTGACCAGGGTCAATATAATCTGGAAGCAAAGACGGACGGACCATGAGAGTGAAACCTCATAATTCTTTAGTGCTGAGATTTTCACTCCACCTGTGTTGTCATGTGACCTCTGCTCCATTGGGGTACGTGGTCATGTGACCTCTGCTCCATTGGGGTACGTGGTCATGTGACCTCTGCTCCATTGGGGTACGTGGTCATGTGACCTCTTTACACATACATGCACGTGTTGCTGGGATGGGGCCTGGCTGAGTCGTGCTCACCTTCGTTATCCCCCTCGAAAGGCTGCTCCTTCCTCTTGATAGTACTTGCGTACAACGGGCACACCATGTTTTCGTAGGACTCTAAGATCAGAATCAGGTTTATTGGTTGAGTTTGTTCTCTCACACATAGTGAATTTGTCTCTGGTTGTCAAGGGCCCTCATACATACAGCAGATACACAATTAGGATGGGACAGTCCAGTTAATATATACAACTTGGATGTGTGGTTATTAAATGTACAAAAAGTGCAAGAGTGCAGTACAAGGAATGTTAGAATAAATAACTATACAAAACATTAGGATGGAGTCAATTCGGAGTGAGTATGGTTGCGGGGCCTGGATGGAACTAATAGCCACAAGAGGGCGCCATACGACGGCCGAAGACGTACCGGATTCGGTTAGGGGCTGAGCTGCATAGTGGTTATCGAAGTTCCCTTGTGTTCCATCGTAGTCTTCATCTGGAAGCATGTAATCTAAAACGGGGAAGGGTTTACTTCATTGAAGGGATGCTGGAGACCCAGTGCTTTGGCTATGGATTTAAACACCGAAAGCTCCCCACCAAAGGGGGAGGCATAAACATCGGACATGTAGCGAAGCGTCGACACTCGATAATCACCTTTCTGGTCGTTCACACTGAACTGAGTAAGGGCATCCTGACTTTCGTAGATGCCCGTTTCTACGTTCTCGTAACTCAGCGTCTCTGCTGACTTCGCTGTGGAAATGATTAGACTCAGCTGATTTCCAAACAGGACACTAACACACCATCTAATAATTTGGGGACGGTAAGCACACAAACATTAAGCCTCCCACAGTATTTAGAATATGATTACCGTATTTTCATATTGCATACATTTGCTAAACGTCATTTGTTAGCTTAACTACCCTACCTTTTTGGAGGACCACCCCTGTGTCCAAGCTGTCGGAGATGATGCCATTCAAGCTGGAAGGACATGCAGATTTTAAGGTATGCCAGCCCCTCTGTGCATGAGACATCTGTAAATGATCTGACTCCTTTTGCCCAGGGCAACGGCACACATGACGTCACGTCAGAAAGAACCTGAGCTGATTGATGGCTCACGAAATTCAGAAATCCGTCTAATACAGGGTAACGTTACTTGGGCATTTCAGCGAGTGCCTTGTTAAAAAAAAACAAGGAACGGGGGCTTGTTATTTTCCCTAAAAAATATATAGGCCATTTTAGATACCTATAGACAACTAAAAGATATGCTCTTTAAAACAATATACCCAGATACTCTGAAATGATCTGAACCTATTCAGTTCATTTTAACACATCCTTTGTTAACATACGTTAAAATGATTTCTCAAAAAGAGTATTTGCTTTGCCACATAAGACCCTGGTGATGACATCATTTGCCTTATTTTAGAGTTTTTCTCGATTGCTTTGGTACGTTTCATGAAACATACTTAACATTCTTACAACTACGAGAACATTTCTCAAAACAGTTCATGCATGTAGCATAACATTATAGTTTAGCTGCGAAACCCTGTAATTTACCCAAAGTCATATCTCAAAACCAAATAATTCCACCAATGAAGTAGCCATGCAGTGCCACCAAAATGAAAAGTACAATCAGCATCGTTTTAACCGTGAGAGTCAGAATGCTTAGATATATTGTCAGTATTTCAGTTCAAGTATGCATGCATGTAAGCATGTCCTGTGTGAACCAAAAACACAACAATGCCGCATCACTGCAGTTTATGCAGCATATTTTTAAATCATTTTGAAAGATGGGTTTACTGTTTTGCATGTGCCCATCAAACAAGGGACAGCCAGAGGACGTCCTCAGGACGACCCCGTGTTGTTATGAAAAATAAAGAAATCCTTCAAAAGCAAGTTATGACAACTTCCTGGAATAGAATTTTAAATATATAATTTTATCTTAAGTACGCCTCATTATTAATGTTCCATCAGGATGTCCTTGAGTCGTCCTTTGAGGGCAACTCAAGGACAAAAAATGGCATCGTAAGGACGACCTAAGGACGTTTTGCTGTTTGGTGGCTGGTGGCTAACTGGATGATCTCTTACATATATGGTTTTGGGTGTACAGTTTTTACAATGGGAATCTACTTAATCTGTTTTGACCAACGAGACTAAAGCAACTGAAAATTGTGCCAAATTATGACAATTGTACAAAACCATTTCCATATATGTACTAAAATGGAGAAAACTGTAATGGCATTGTGAGGACTTGACGTTGTTAATAGGAAACCAGCTGCAAGTTGCTCTTGAAAGCAGTTGCCACTGTGTTGTTTTTGTTGTTGAGGATACCTCTGTTTTGCTTGCTTTGCTCTGTCACATCCGATCTCGTTTGCCTCTATTTAAAGACAAGGGGGGGGGGGGGTGTAATTTCATGTCAGACCATACATCTCTGTTCGCAACAGGTACTATTTTCTTAGTTTCAGAATAATAATTTGGAGAGAAACTGTTTTCACTAGAAAATATATTCAGTGTCAGCTCTGTTAGGTGCACCTGCTCATTAATGCAGACGGGCTGCTGCTATAAACAGTTACGTTGCTGCGATTGCAGTAGCAGTGGTACCGGGAGCACGCACCCGCTCTCCGCCGAGGCTGGGTCTTCAGAACCAGCAAGAAAAGACAGAGGCCCAGCAGGAAGGCCAAACCTGGTACCATGTACAGGATCCAGACACCCCCGTAACCTCGAAGAGGGAAAAGATGGTTAGAGAGCGTGCCGAGAGCTTTCATGCCGAGCCAACAAAATACTAAAACAGGGTTGCCAGTTTTGCTCAGCTGGCTGGCGTGATACTTTCAATTCTGCACACATATGCACACGCATTTGTATGTAGCAGTTTTATTACCTTTTAAATAGCCTGTAGGGTTTGCAAACTACACCAATGCTTTTGATGTAGCTAATTTTAGGTTTATAATGGAATCGTACAGATCTGCAGTAAGATTTCTTGCCTGATAGTGTGAAAGTGAGTGTCATGCCAGATGTGTGAGAGCTGGCAACCCTGCTAAAAGTTTATTATTATTATTACTGTGTTGTGGATGTTTGGAAGTTGGACTGATGGATGTAAAGTTGCATTGAATGGTGGTGCTTTGGGTAGTATTATTATGGCTCATAATCACCGGGCCTGAAAGAGATAAAGAGAGACGATGAAATGTACACAGGCTGTCGGACAGAGAAAGTCACTGTAAAAAAAGGAAGATAAATTTAGTTTGACAACGCATTCACAAAAATACTGAGGGATATTCAGCTTCCTGCTGGCATTGTAAATGATCGCATGTGATTCTGAGCAGCTCAAGTTGCGCCTGTCGCAACACGTGTCATCGGTCGGTTTCTGTTGACATGACAAAAATGGGCATCTGTGTCAAAATTTCCATTAGCTTCTGCATGATTATTTTGTGCATATTATTGTATTTTTGGTCAAATATGTATATCTTGTCCGTCTGGAATGTCCCCGATTATGAATCTGCATGCTATTGATACCTCGGATTTGCATTAAATCATACTATGGAATATTTATTTACACTGACCTTAACAGACTTTCTAAAAAGATTAAGAAAAGACGCACGGATTGGGAGACAAATAATTAATTTGACTTTCAGACCATGTCCCTATATGTGATACGGTGATACGGTTTCGTTAATCTCAGAATGATAATTTAGAAGGAAACTGCCTTTACTAGAAATGCATATACATACGTAGTACGGTGCAAATGTCAAAGAAAAATGTGTTTAAATGATCTTCATGTTGGTGCAAAACTGATGTCTGTTAAAATGTGTCAACTTTGCCATTTCAAAACCACTCATATAAAGTCACCCCAGTGTTTGCAACAACCACCCTGAACCCAATGGGCGTCGCCGCCATTAAATCACATTAAATTTACATTTCATAATTATTCATTTGGACCCCCCCACATTTAACTCTAAATATTAGTTTTATGCCAGTGCCCCCCCCTACATTCAAAATGCTTCTGATGCCCCTCCTACACCCACATGTATTTTTTGACCGGATCACTAGTACACCTTGTTTGGCTAATTAGTACCTCATTAAGTTACTTAACTGACTAATTGACTGATTAATTGGGCTGGTGGTGAAATGTAACAAATACATGGAACGGCTGAGGTTTGGGAACTGAAGCAGTGATCATCTAGCCATCCAACTAGATATCAGTAACGTTTCGGAGAACAGAAGGAATTCTTGTTTGTTTTTGTTGTGCACTTTCTCTCCTCTTGCTAAGTCTCAGTGCCTATGATCAGAAGGTCGCCGGTTCAAGCCCGGCTTCAGCACATTTGCGGGTCCTTGAGCAGGGCCCTTAACCCCCAGATCCCTGAGCACCGCTACGGGTGGCTGCCCTTCACCGCCAAGCTTTCTCTCACCTACGGAGAGTAAGATGGAGGAGGCGAAAAGAGTATTTTCCCACAGGGGATCAATAAAACTTTATCTTATATATTCAGCGTGTTCCTGAATTCGGCTACTGTTGGATTCACATCACATCATGCTATCGATGCTATAGTTGAATATCTTAGAATTAATTTATTAAATAACATCATGCAGATTAATATTTAATTACACCAATATTTAATTACACAAATTTTAAATTTAACCAATCTACAAGTGTATATGAGCTATTTTGTAACTTTGTTTTTTGCTTTTGTAGATCTACGCACTTGTATATGTACCATTTACTTTTATATGTCCTTGTACAAAACAAATCAGTTGTTTATGTTTGTTATGATCATTTTATTTCTCTGCAATTCAGGCTTTAAATTGATCACTTTGCTTCAAGTCTCCTCATCGTGCAGAGTATGGTCACTCTAATCTCAATTGTCATGTTATCGTAGTGCATTATAAATAGGGGATTAAAGATAAGACATTTTGTTGATTGCAGAGGGAAGGTCTTACGCATATGGCATCAAGATATAAAGAGAGCAGACGAACACATATACATCCAACTACAATATATATTTAATCACAGAAAGATTAAATATTACCAGTGTAACTTTGTTCATCACTTCTTCCTGTGTTAGAGCAAGTTCTACTCACCATGCAAAAAGCTGATTAATGGATGAAAAAACAAATGAGCCTCTCCTACCTTTAATCCCTGACTGTAAGTTTGAAATATAAGTTGAGTTCCCTTATGAGCATAAGCAGACGGTTGAGATGGGGCTCAGTGTGGGCCGGCGGAGACGTACGGTCGCGGAGAGGATTGTGCGGATACGGAGCTGGGGGGACCGATGAGGGGCGCAGATGTGAGAACAGCTCAACTCACTGGAGGTTAACAAACAAGAAATGGGGAAGTGAAAGGCAAGTGAACCAGAGAGGACGCGGAAACGCGCCGCTGTTTGCGTCCTGTCTGACACATGAAACGGTGTGTGTGTAGCGCCATGGATCGTAGACACATTCAAGAACTGGGAAGTGTGTTACTAATCACCAAGCCAAAGGTGAATATTTAACAACTAATGACCTTGGGGAGATGCTCTCAATAGTTTCAAAATTAACACCAGTTTTCATTGGTTGAAAATGTTCTCTGAATCATAGTTGCAACACTCGGTGCTTAACTTGAAGGTTCTTTTCTCTGCCCCCCCTCTCCGAGCCATATTTCACCCCCTTCCTGGATTTCTGGAGGTTGGGGTCGAGAGATGATGAAACATTTGGTGGTTTTTGTACTTATCGTGAATCAATCATGAGCTTCACTGATTACACATGGGACAATTAACGACTTTATTAGAATCATCAATTTATGAATTGACCTCAAACTATATTATTAATTATTAATTAAAATATCTGTAATGTTTGTTGCTGTGCTGGACTGGTATCCCCTCCTAGGGTAAGCTCATGACCTTGTTTGGGAAAATAGTTATGAAAAACTGGGTGGTGTGTGGCTGAATGGATTCGGATGCTGCACCCCTTGTCAGAAAGTCACTGGTTCATATCCTTGAGTCCACAAACCAGTTTCACCATTGGGCCCCTGAGCAAGGCCTTTAACCCCCAGTTCTCTTAGCGATTGTCTGACCCTGCTTCCTCAATTGTGTCACTTTAGATAAAAGCATATGTAAATATATTTATACTGTAGATACTTCATTAATCCCAAAGGCTGCTGCAGGTTTATAGTAACTCAATAAAGCCGCTCCGTAGGTTAATTTTAAATGCAGCATTTCTGCAAGTACTGCTCTGAATGTCGTGGTGGCTCCTCTTATTGGAGCTCACTAGTGGTATTTTGGGAGACGGGCCCTGTCTTAGTTTCTATTTCAGGAGAAATCGTAGGCTTGCATTTTAAGTCACAGGCAGTGTCTGATTTTACGCATTGTTATGATGCCCAGATGAAATGCACTCTATGCAAAATTAGAGAAAAACATCACACAAGGCGTTTTGAAAAGGCGTTTTTTATTGCAACACCGCAGAAACCATATTGTAGTCGTTCTCAGCCAAAAGCTGACCAAGCTTCAGTACTGTCAGTAGAACGTTCCGCCTTCTGCCACAGTGATGTTCATCTGAAAACCCAATGATTCTGACTAATCACCTCATCATTCAGAAGAAAAACAGACTCAGCATATTTCCCAGAAGTCCATATTAATTAAAAATGACTTTGACCTATGTACAAAAGTATTAGCGCCTGTTTTTTCTATATTACATATTTATGCACCGCAGGTCCTCCTGTACACATTGTTCCCCCACTGATGGCAATATCATGTCATGGATAGGTAAACACTGAAGTAAGAATATATTCACACAGTCAATACAACTCCCCCATTCATGTAGTTTTCCGGCCAACAACCACAGTACAGGAGAATATACATACATACTGGTTTTTATTCCAGTAGAACTGGTTTATAATTGAATATGATTGAAACTCTGGAATGAATTTTGACAAGTCTTTGCATACTTGTTTCCTTTTTGGATATGTCTGTATTCCGAAAAAGATGTAACATATACTAGATGTTACTGAAATGACTTTGAATGATTGAATTAATTCAAATTTCAATACTAACTTGCTCTGCTGTGTAATGAATGGTTCATGAAAAGTAAATGTACTGTTATCCCTTGACCAGACACCATATGAACATCATTTTTTTAAGAACAGTATGGAACTGCACTGAGCGTGGCATACTCTCACCTACAGGACTGAGGAAACAGCAGCAAAACTGCATACTTTGATTAAAACAATTTCATATTGTCTGACTCATTCTGGAAAAAAGTGTAACAAAACCCATTCTCCCAGCTTAGTTTCCTTGACCTGAAAATATCTTCCACCCACGAGTCTGAGAACATCTTCAATCGTGCTGTTCCTCTTTGAGCTGGTTAAGTTCATAGGTTTTCATGAATTGACCCTTGAGGTAGGTTCATTTTACATTTATTATACATATTGTTGCTGTCACTATCTGTCACCTGAGCAAATCAATCTCTGAAAGAAATAAAAAAATAAAATAAAATAAGGCTGAACACTCTTATGCGACTCTAGAAGTATATATGACGAGAGACGGGGAAAGTTCTGGAGTACAGGCGAAAAATGTGTCACCAGGACATTAAAAATATTTTTGATGGCCCAGTATTCGTTTTGTCATCAGCAGGTGTACACTTTCACACGAAGACCCTAATGTTATTTTTACTTTAAGCTAACAGGCTCACTAAAGCTTTGTGGATAGTTCTGACTGGTTAATTTTATACCTGGTTTTAAAATACATAAATGGAAATAAATGCGGGCAGTGGTGGTTTAATGGTTAGGGAAGCGCACTTGTAATTGAAAGATATGCAGGTTTGAATCCACGACCAGCAAGGCACCACTGAGGTACCCTGAGCAAGGTACCGCCCCCAAGCATTGCTCCCTACTATGTCATGATGTCACATATGGGTTGAATGCAGAGGACACATTTCGTTGTTGTGTGCTGTGGTGTGTCAACAGTGATCACTAAAATTCAAATAAATTCCTGTGATGAAGAAAATGATTCCTTAGTATTAGTCAGCTTAAGCATGTCAGTTCCACCCCTCCTTCCTACGCACGATGATGCTGTAATGTTTCCAGTATGAATGTCCTGCAGCCACCCCACCTGAATGACCCCCCCCCCCGTCTCTACCTTTCAGTTTCACGGTGATCCCCGATATCTACGAACTGCCAGGAGAAAGAACCAACCAAGAATCAGTTGCTAGAAAAAACACCCCTTCTCCAAGCTAAATCATGGAAATCTTGTAAAGGAAATATTTGTTGTAAATTTACCTTAAAAGATTACTAATAAAATTTATGTTTTGGAAACCAACGTTTAATGTGTGTCACATGTCCCAATTTTCTTCTATGCGGGGAGAGTGGGCACCTGGCGTGAATCCGGAATGTCATGCTTTTTGATCCACAAAAGCCAGTGGCCATGTTGAGATCTCCTAATGCAGGGGTGGCCAATCTTATTCGCAAAAGGCCGCTGTATGTGTGGGTTTTCGCTGCAGCTCCCTAATTAGGTCACTAATTAGAGGACTGATTGGCTGAGGAGTCCTCACACCTGGGTTTGAACAGCTGCCCTAAAGGTTATCCCACAAACCTGCATACACACCGGCCGTTTGCGGAAAAGACTGGCCACCGCTGTCCTCATGGAACTGATAATGTAAGATTCCACCCGCATATCACTACCATTAATTCCTTTACCGTTCTCCTTCCCGCCAAAAATAAAACACCTCGGACACAGGAATGCGGCATCCTTTAACGGATTATTTACAGCCTCTCGCACCGTAGTACGATCGGCGTAGAGGAGAGTCTCACCACACAGCGAAGCTGCACCTCGCTCAAGAGATGCCGACTTACAATCATCATTCGTGTAAGCGTTTCTGCGAAACCAAACTCCAAATTATTGGTCGGCAAAAACATTAGAACAATAATAAATAAAACAAAATAAAAGCAACAGTCCTTGAGGCCTTTCCATCCTCCACTGAGAACACCTCCACGCGTCGACCCATCTCATCAGGCAGCACTGCGGCAGCAAGTCAAACAGGACAAAATAAAAATGTCGATTCGGACTCTTTACATGTGTAGTTCAATGTTACGAGTCTTTCTGGCAGAGAAAAAAATAAATCCACGAGGGAAGTGGCTGCCTCATCTCTGTCGTTTTGAGGAAAAAGAAACTGAAAAAAGTCTATAAAAATGATGGAAAGTAAAACAGCAGTAGATCACACTCGGTGTATGTTAACTAAATGACTTAAAAAGCAGATGCAGAAATTAGACGGAAAACCATAAAAGCTTCGTGGTTGAATCTCAGATGAGACACCTGCCAGTCTGTGGCCTGCAGAAGGTTCTCCTCGCAGCTTTGTCAGTCCGTTACTTGACTTGCTTTCTTTTGAACCAAGAGGACTGACAAATCCACCCCCCCCCCCCCCCCCCCCCCCCAAAGGGGGAGGGGGGGAAAAAAAGAAAAAAAAAAAAAAAAAAACAAGAAAAATCACCCTCTGGTAGCAGTCCTGTTTTTCCTTGGCAAGCCAGTGTCACCGGAACTCGTATATCGGAGCGCTGTGTTCGGGAACGTGAGTGAGGTTCAGTGACTGATACCTGGAAGCGAACAGGGAAAATGGCGGATGAGCGTTTGGGCTGATGGGTGGTGAAGGCACGCGGCCCGGCCTGTGGGAGGAAGACGGAACACGGCGCACGTGAGAGACCCTCCCTAAGGGCTGCCACTTCGCCTCCGGCCGAGCGAAACTGACATGGCGACGACATGAGCAGAGCCGATGACACCAAGTGACAGCTGGACGGCCTTGGGTCAGGGTTAATAAGCTAATTTGAAAGTGTGCATTAATTAAATGCCAACAACTTCTGCAAACATGAAATACTATAGTATTCTGCCTGTAATGTGACCCACCAAACTAGTCCATGTCTGCCTGATTATATAACAGGCCACATAAAAGCACAAAATGAAAGTACTGAAAAAATAAATGAAAGCACTTTTTTTTTTTACCATTCAGAACTTCTGTGGTAGTAATATCCCTCTATGGTTGCTGTTGACTTCTGGAAGCAGATGTAGTAGAAACCAGCAAAGGATGCCCCACTTATGTCCTTGATGGTGTGGTCCGGGACCAGAAACTGCTCCTAATAAGTAAAGGTCGTGGAGATGAGCATTAGCGCCCAAGCGGAAGGAGAAACACTCAGCAGGTCTGGACCATTAAGGTATTTTGGCAGAATGAAACCAAGCAAAGCGATACACTTCATCTAATGATTCCCCAAGGAAAGCTTGCTGACTTTGCCCTTGTCATTTGTGGTGTTTTTTCAGCATTATATTTAATAAGATATATTAAACTGGCTGACCTTCCACCTCATGAAGACATAGTCGCTGCTTTTCAGTTCTTCGTAATCGAAATCATCCGAGTTAAAGATTTTTGCATATTGATAAAAAGCCTGAAACTTTCCCTGAACAGAAGGAGAGACAGCAAGTTAACATTTCTGAAAGCAAAAAAAGATTACTGAAGGACATTTGGGAATCTATAGGCTTCCGATTTTGAGGGGCACCTCATACCCAGTGTTTGCGGTCGACATCTTCGTCGGCGTCCCATTTCCGTGTCAAGAATGGCCGCTTTTTACTGATTATCTCCCCTGCAAAGAATGTCGTAAGGCTTGGGTACTCCTACACAGATGAACGACACAAAAATGTTAGTTACGGCGAACAGTACACAGTACAGAGGTTTGAATTCCTTGTGACGCATTCAAACTAATTTATTCTGAAAGTAGAGGCTATAAAGCGCAATAATCACATTAAACATGTTTCAAAGCCACTTGCTCATTTGGTTTTTTTTGATACATTGTTAACATGACTGATGCTGCATCTGTATTTACTGAGCAGCACTTAAACCTGTGTTCACAGTAGTTGTCTGGAACCATGAAACAAGTATGACTGCCTTTGAAATTCCCTAAGCCAAAGTTAAAGGAGAAATTAATCTGGAAGCAGACCTCACCTCTGTCAGTCCTTTGATTTTTAGGTACCCGCATAGATAGGACTCTTCCATAGTCACATGCTGTAACGGGAAATCAAGGTAAGGTACGTATGATGTCTCTCCACATGTTCACCCTCATCTACACATGAATGGCTATATGTGCACACTGCAAGTCAAGTATACGTCAGGCAATTTACCGTGGTACTGGGATCTATCCTTGTCAGGAGGGGGTTCTCATAAATTTAAAGACTGGTTATTTTAATGAGGCGGATCAGAACTTTAATAGTGACTGCATCTACGGAGACAGAGAATTACCAGCAGAACTGCCAAAAATTCGGGGGTGTCGGTAAGGCTTTAGGACTGGCAGCCTGGTATCGGTTTACGAAATAAATCCTGCATTCCCATCTCATTATCTGTCCCACAGCAAGTATGCAAGTTTAAAAAATACTCAAGTATGCTCCTCATTCTCCAATATATCTGTTCAATTCTGAGACGTGGAATGGTGGTCTGGAAAAGTATTTTACAGCCATTTATGTGCTGTCATTAGCTGGGGGTGAGACAGCGATGTATAGTCAGCTAACTTCCCACATAGTGACACCGCTGTCAGTTCGCCACTTGTTCCGTGTTATATCTGTGAATGCTGCCGGTCGGACATTGAAATAACGCCGTTTAAAACTTACCTGCAGGACAACTTCCACGTCGTATGAGTTGCCTTTGCTCTTTTGGTGTCCTCGAAACTGTGAGCCGCTGTACAGGAGCGAAGTGGCTATGCCCGGCTGTTGAGTGTTAATCGGCGGAGGTGGAATAAGCGAAGCCGATGATGCGCAGGCCGTGGAGGAGTTATTGCAGCACTCGGTACGGACTGGCATGTCGATCACTTCGCGGCTGCGGCGCCGACGGCAGACGACAGGCGGCACAAAGTGAAGAGAAAGTCGGAGAAGGTAGCGGGGAGCGCTAGCAAGGCAGCTAGTCGGCTCACAAATGCTCCCCAGTACGCCAGTACTTGCGTGCAGAATCCCTGAAAAGTAAAACGACGCAACAAAGCAACATCACGTTTCGCAATAAGCTAGGCGAGAGTTGTAATACCAAACCGTTACCTCATTGGCCGATTGCCCGCAATGTGTGCTGGGATTTGTATTGTTTAGACGAATATGTAGTTTTTTTCCTTATGCCTGATGGACATCACTTCCCAGAATTCCATGTGAGTTTTCTTGTGACGCGTGTCTACAAATCAAACGAACGTTTTGGATGCTAGTATGCCAAAATAATACTTCCGGAAAGGTGGTATGTTCGACGGGACTGTGTAAAGAAAAAAGTGTACAAAATAGGCTGCTATGTTGCTGTTATTCACAAGTCATGAGATGTTAAGCATTCTTTTGGATATTAATCATTCTAGCAGTATTCCTCCCCTTTTAATAGTTGTTTTCTAGCTTATAATGTACTTATAGTTGCTAATGCCCCGTTCTACGTTGTTGCTGTATTTGACTATATATCTTGCCGTACACACGGGGATTTGGTATTTTAATAAACCAGGAACAAAAGTAAAATAAAGTTTAATTCAAGATGCTAATTAATAAAGAACTTACCAATTTCAAAGAAAGAAAGATACATACGCGTAATGTCATTTAGTAGCCTACGGATTTTTTTCGAAAACTCTTTTGTTTGTTTCATCTCAATTCCGTGCGTGGTTTCGTGGATATTTGGCTTACATTTTCACATCTGTAGTTATTATCGCTAAAATAAAAAAATTCGAAAGGCAACACAATTTATTTGGTACTAGTACAGAAACAGTCAAATGAAATTTCAAGTAAAAGCGACATTAAGGAAAACGAATAAATGTGAAAATTTGACCAATTTTTTATGACAGACAACTTTTTGTGTATATTTAAAAAAAATGTTTTGTTCTGTGACTTAATGTGTTATTTTCCTTGATTACTCCTTTTACCCGGTCTCCTGGTCTAAAGTTTCTCGCATCTGCTCCTTCATATAATCCGCGTAGTGGAAGATCTCTGCCATACGCTTCCGATTTCGCTTCACTTCATCATTTTGTATCTGCGGAAAAAGGACACATAGCAGCAGTGCAAAGAAGACCGGGTATATTTAGAGGGTCCCACTAGCTTTGTCCTCCTTACCGTCTTCATCAGCTCGGTCACCCATTTGTTGACGCGCGTCACCAGCTCGTCCTCCCGGTTGTCGATCCTCAGCAGGTGAATGTCGTGCGAGGCGCCGACGGCACTCTGTAGCGTGTCCTTGTCGACGAACAGCTGAAACGAGGACCAGAGGGAAATGGGCCTGACTGAGGATATTTTGTTGGCAGAGCTATGAGTGGAAATACTGAAGCTCGCTGGTAAGCGTGAAATTTGTAAGGGCTTGTATCTTTTCTGATGTTCAGCTTGTTGCTAAAGCACCATCCTCTTTCCATTTTGCTCATCTGTCATTCATCTGTGTTAAGTTAATGTTGGAGTACGCCGTCTCCACCGGGTGAAGAGATTCACAGCTGACACGTGGAGAGGTTGCAGGTCACCAGTTTATTCCTTACACAGATCGATCTGGGAGCCACGCTCTGACATACATTCAGCATGTACAAGAGGAAGCTCAACCATATGTATCAGCTGTATCCCTTTTAAAGCCCTTTGGGCATCCCCCCCCCCTCTCTCGGTACCTTCCGTCTACGTGACAACCACATGTTTGACATTTGCTCTAGTTAGTCGGTTAGTACTTGTCCTTGTGGAAGGCTACAGATACGTAAGGGCCGCTGACGTTTTTCTGTCTGTTCCTTCTATCGGTCCCGATTAGGTAACCTTGCCCTGCCAGCGCCAGTCAGTTCTCGTTTCAGTTAACTGCATTTTTTAGAATGAACCCCCCCCCCTTTTCATCATGCCCTGCTTTAAGCTATATTCTCCTTTTCCTCTATTCATTGTATGTTCTTTATAATTCTATTGAATCCCACAATAACCAGGTGGAAGCTGACCGCAAGCACATCATCCGGCATCTCCTGTTCCATTGTGCCCTTGGCCACTCTATCCAAGGTTGCCAAGGCGATCTCCTGGAGTTTCTCATGGTGCTGGTTCTCAAGGTCGCGGCACTGGGTGAAGGTGAATGCTTGTTAAGGAAGGACAGAGCTGAATCAGACGTAGCTACGCCTACAATGGTCCTGCCGGACATGCCATCCTTACAGGGCATGCCCACAAAAGGATATATTCCCTGCAAAGTTTCGAGGAAGCCACCAATCATCTCCGAGACGTTCCTCTCAAACTCCTTGATGATGTCCTGTAACACAAAGGAAAAAGTAACAGATTCCATGTTTAACCTAAGTAAAAGCTCATTCTCCTCACTGTTATAATATGTGAAATCATATGGAACTTGAAAGCCAACAATGCTCTGATTTAAATGCATGATACATTTAGTTCATTTTAATTGGTTCTTTATGAAGCTTTGAAGAACCTTAGGCTGCTTCTAATGATGTGTTCAACATTAGCAAATTGACGGACTGTCCACTACTTAGATTTGTATGAATTTACTGGGCTGTGTGCCTGTAAAGCTACCGTCCTGAGATGCTTTGAGGAATGTACACTTTTTTGCATAGTGAATGATTGATGGAGACGTTCATGAAGGTGTCTGGCCATGGTGCACCCAGACCCCCACCAGCCCCCCTCCTCACTTCCAGCTGGTTGACCAGTTGGAGCTCCACAGTCAGGAGTGTGTCGCAGAGTTGGCTGAGATCCTCCCTGAACTGGTTCCGCTGGGCCTCCAGTACCCTTGGCTCAGTGGAGTGCTGCATCTCTGCTAGGGTCTGCAAAACAGTTGTGGGCATTTTAGATTTTTTAACACTGTGTGGGACAGACTTCCAAATGATCACTGTGGGGTAGTGACTTGATGAATATAAGGCCAGTTGAATAGATGGATATACTTATTCTGGTAGAATGATGAACACCTCCTTCACTTGAGAAGTAGATGTGCTGGCGTTTGTCCTGCCCAAATTCTAAACTGCTTTGGATTTAAGATCTGGAATGTACTGGTAGGATATACTAAAACTTAAAAACAGTCTCTGGAGGACCAGTCTTGACAAGTTTTCGAAAGAATTATTAAACTAGTTTCTCTGCATCTTCTTCAAAGTCGCTGGCAAAATGGTTTAACACCTCAACATAACCAAAATCGAAAACCTCTCCATGTGAGTAGCGCCCACCTCCCTGATGGAGCCCTGGAAGTCGTTCACCAGCTGTGCCCCCCTCTTCCTGTTATCAGCCACAGCCTCCTGGTAGCACTCGAAGAAGCAGTCGACCTCCGCCTTCCTTCTCTCCCACTGCTGCAGACCCAACTCAAACATCTGCATGCACAGCACCACCTGCTGGCTCCGGTATGTCAAGCAGTCGAGTCAAGGGAAAACTTTTTTTTTTCTATGATTTACATGGCATGCTCAAAAAGCAGAGCTCTTTTGGCTGCCGTTTAGCCTGCATCCAAATGACAACCACACAACAATGAGTGAGAGGTACTGAGAGAGAAAGGGTATGAATCCAGCAGTGTATTCAGCCCAGGCAGGCAGGCCAGCTTGGCAGCTTCTGGATCCCCTGCATACATGCTATCAAAGAGATAGGGTCCATTCAGGAACTCCACAAAAGCCTCCTGTTCAAATCCAAGAGACAGGCTTTTAGAACTATGTATTACCTATACCTGTGTGTATACTGTGTGTGTATCTCTATATATACATATATATACACACACACACACAAGGCAGTTTGGAGGGTAATTTATTTATGATTTATAACGATGTGACAGATTTAATAACCAAACAGGGTTTCTGCAAAGGAACCCGCCACTGAGGTATGTTTTGATGGGACAGCGTGGAGCCCAGCGAGATACCGACCGCAGCCCATCACATGCAAATGCCTCCCCCCCCCCCCCCCCGGCAGTGTGTGTGTGTGTGTGTGTGTGCGCTTACCCTGTGCATCTGCAGCTCCTCCTCAGCCCTGCGTTTGGCTTCCATGGCCCTCGTTGCCTCCTCCTCCTCGTGCCTCAGCTCCTCCAGGGCGTCCTGGTATCTCACCAGTCCCGTCTCGCGCTGCAAACACCGTCAGTCGCAGGGGATGCGTGAAAATTACACCTATTCGCACGCTCACATTGCATATCCATTTTAGTCTATAGATATAGCTTTATTGATTTCATAGATGCCTTACATCTACATATATTTTCAGAAAGCATGGTCAGGGAGTTCCTGGAGCGTTTGGAGGTCAAGGGCCCAGTGGAGAAATCACCCAGCAAACCATTAACACACACAGGCACATCTATGGACAATTTGGTAACTAACTAACTTCAGCAACTTTTCACTGTGGGAGGAAACCAGAGTACCTGGAGGAAACTCCACACACATGGAACTGTGGCGGAGACTCAAACCCAGCTCCCAGAGACAGGGGCGTTGCTAGAGATTTTGGGCCCCATGAAAGTATATGATATTAGTCCCCCCAGTCCAAACCAATCCAGTTATTTTCCTAATTTTTTAGGGCCCCTGTCACTCAGGGGCCCTTGGAATCGTCCTAGCTTTCCTCCCCCTTACGGCGCCCCTGCCCAGAGATAATGCAGCAATAGTGCTAACCACCGCACCACTATGCCTCTTCACAGTACACCATTATCCAAATTAATTATTCATTGTTGCATTTTATGCAGACCTCTGATAAATCTGACAGTATTAGAGACACAGCCAGACACTCACCGCCGCCTCATCTACCAGCCTGTAGTCCAGATAGACCAGGCCTTGGAGGTAGGCAGCGATTAAGGCCTTGTAGTTTTCATCTTTGCAAAAGGGATTTCCTGCTAAGTTTAGTGTGCGCAGATTCTCAAACTTCCGCAGATAAACAATCTAAAGGAAGGTGGAACAGGTTTGTTGCATGCAGACAGAAAACAGTGGTCACTTCGTAACAGCTAGGGATCAAATGTATGAAAAGGAATGTCTTTGAGTCTTTCTGTAAATGCTGCTTTCTGACATTATAACTCAGCATAATGATCAGGCATTATTAAAATGTCACCGCAGATGTGAATGCTCACATTGTCAAGCTGGGACAGAAGATTGTTTCCGAGGGAAACCACTTGCAGGTGTACAAGGGAATCCATGTTTTCGATGACAGAGATCCTGTTGTTGTACAAACTCAGGTTCTCCAGTTTCAACAAGGTATTCAGACCCTCTATCACCTCAATATGATTGAAGGAAAGATCTGTGGAAGAAGGAGATGTAACAGAGTGAATGAATAATGAGATTTAGGTGACACATTGTATCCAGGCTAGTGCCCCAAACTTGTAACATATATGACTTCTATACCTACCAAGCCATACTAAATTAGTCAAAGATTCTAGTCCTTGAATTTTGTTAATAACATTGTTGTCCAGTTGCAGTTTGGTCAGGCACGTAAACTCCCAGAGGTGATCGATCTTTAAAATTTCTGCAAACGAAACATTTTATTACATTCTATGTTATTTGTTTTACTTCATGTTTATAATAGGGGGTTGCCAATATCAAAACTGAATCGTTGCCATTACTTTTATCCATATTATCACGATATACTCACTTCTGCTATCTTTTCATACTGTTGACATCGTTATCTACACTCACCTAAAGGATTATTAGGAACACCTGTTCAATTTCTCATTAATGCAATTATCTAATCAACCAATCATATGGCAGTTGCTTCAATGCATTTAGGGGTGTGGTCCTGGTCAAGACAATCTCCTGAACTCCAAACTGAATGTCAGAATGGGAAAGAAAGGTGATTTAAGCAATTTTGAGCGTGGCATGGTTGTTGGTGCCAGACGGGCCGGTCTGAGTATTTCACAATCTGCTCAGTTACTGGGATTTTCACGCACAACCATTTCTAGGGTTTACAGAGAATGGTGTGCAAAGGGAAAAACATCCAGTATGCGGCAGTCCTGTGGGCGAAAATGCCTTGTTGATGCTAGAGGTCAGAGGAGAATGGGCCGACTGATTCAAGCTGATAGAAGAGCAACTTTGACTGAAATAACCACTCGTTACAACCAAGGTATGCAGCAAAGCATTGGTGAAGCCACAACACGCACAACCTTGAGGCGGATGGGCTACAACAGCAGAAGACCCCACCGGGTACCACTCATCTCCACTACAAATAGGAAAAAGAGGCTACAATTTGCACGAGCTCACCAAAATTGGACAGTTGAAGACTGGAAAAATGTTGCCTGGTCTGATGAGTCTCGATTTCTGTTGAGACATTCAAATGGTAGAGTCAGAATTTGGCGTAAACAGAATGAGAAGATGGATCCATCATGCCTTGTTACCACTGTGCAGGCTGGTGGTGGTGGTATAATGGTGTGGGGGATGTTTTCTTGGCACACTTTAGGCCCCTTAGTGCCAATTGGGCATCGTTTAAATGCCACGGCCTACCTGAGCATTGTTTCTGACCATGTCCATCCCTTTATGACCACCATGTACCCATCCTCTGATGGCTACTTCCAGCAGGATAATGCACCATGTCACAAAGCTCGAATCATTTCAAATTGGTTTCTTGAACATGACAATGAGTTCACTGTACTACAATGGCCCCCACAGTCACCAGATCTCAACCCAATAGAGCATCTTTGGGATGTGGTGGAACGGGAGCTTCGTGCCCTGGATGTGCATCCCACAAATCTCCATCAAATGCAAGATGCTATCCTATCAATATGGGCCAACATTTCTAAAGAATGCTTTCAGCACCTTGTTGAATCAATGCCACGTAGAATTAAGGCAGTTCTGAAGGCGAAAGGGGGTCAAACACCGTATTAGTATGGTGTTCCTAATAATCCTTTAGGTGAGTGTATATCGCCCTTTTATTATGCCCTATTGCTGCTACATGTCATAGAACAGCCATGTTTATTTATTGGTTTGTTTCTTTGTTCGCGTGTTCATTTGATTCTTTGGTTGGTTTATTTACGTCGTGTTCATTGCTGCTACTTGCTACTTGTACTTATCATTTAAGTGTCGAGGAAGCACGCAGGTAAGAATTTCATTATATTTTAGTAAATCCTGTACTTAAAGCGTATGACAGTAAATGATGAATCTTGAATACTGAAAGCAAAACCATATAATGTATTTGCTAACATTTTTTTAATAACGGAAAACGATATTGATTTTTGTGAGATGCATATGAAAGCGGGATGGTGAAGTGAGGCTCTCACTCCTGAAATCCAAGCGCAGCCGGCGCACATGCTCCCGCTGGATACCCTCCGCCTTAGCGATGCTTGCGGCCGGGTTCTCCGGGTCCTGCGGCCCCTGCTCCTCCACGGCCCTCTGCAGCATCTCCTCATCAATCACGCTGGGCTCCAGCGTGTCGTTCGGCTCCCTCATCCTGCCTCTCGACGCGGTCAGCAAGGAAAGGGTTCAGACTAAAGAAAACGCGTAGGAACAATTTTTTTTTTCTCATGTGAATACAGATATTGGACATTTTTATTGTAGAACATATTTTTTTAAGAACACTTGTATTTAGCCTGTAAAACATTAAAAAATATTTCCGGAATACAATAGTCATATAGAATGTATAAGCACGAAAACGTAAATAGAAAACTAATAGACATAAGAGAAATATTGCTATCAAAACGAACAGTTATGCTTATGGAAAACGATAGAGTTGGGCGATTTTCATATACAGTTTGTCTGAACATATAGTTTAGACATCCAAAAGACAGTTACAAGAACAGCTGTCTACAGTTTATAACTGTGCACAACAACGTTATTTTCTTAACATACTGGCTGAGTAGTTACCTTCCTACCATACAAGACTGTATTGGCGGGATTAGACGCTGCAAGCCGATTTACGTGCATATTTAATTTTTAGACGTAAATAAAAGTGTTAAACCCACCCGAAGTTTTGCTTCTGCTTCTCCGAGCTCTGCCGGCATTAGATGTTTTCGTGTTGCCTAGCAACCATATCTGGACCCGGTTCTCTACAGCGCAACCTGCGAGATTTAAGCCCGACTCCGCTGTAAGCATGCATTTCAACAATGAGCCATAATGACAGATATCTGAAAATGCATCAGAAACTTCGCCGTGGCTATGTGGCATTATAAAATGAGAAGTTTACAATGTATTTCAAGAACATTCAGAACTTTCAGATCTCTGGAGGAAATTACAAATGCATAAACATTAAATTAAATTGTAATTTCTTATTCAAATTGCTAAAACGATTATTTCAAGATAAGCTTCGTTTTGCTGACAATTACCAAAACGTAAGAGAGAATCTGAAACATTATATTCAAATAGGCCTACCTGAAATTAACTTTAGCAGTAAGTGAAGCTTGCAAAGCTTTTGCTAGTTTAAACAACACATCTCCACAGTGATACGTAGCCTAGATCAGGACTTCTGTACGTACTTTAACCACTTCCCCTGACTCACATACAGAATATGTAGGACAGTTTTCTGCTATAATTATACTTCATGGCAAACAAACTTGACAAATCAATTCTCGATATGAGTCCCTTCTCTTGCCTTAAACGATACATACTTAAAAAGCAGATGTCTATTCTTCTTTCGAAAATCTGCCACAACGTGGCCGAAAGTAGTATATTTTTAATAAATTAAATACCTAAATAAAAACAAGCGGCAGTATTCGTTTTTGCCACAAGGTGGAAGTATACAGGAAACTAAACCAGTTTCCCATGTCGAAATAAACGAACAAATAAGCGTAGTACTCCATTTTAGCCACGAGATGGCGGCGTTCCAAGAAAAAATATTTTCCCACGGTTATTTTTGCAGTTAGCAAACTTAAAAATCAAAATCAGCACATTTTCCATGGTCTCTTGTGCGTTAGTTTATGTACATATCGTGTACTCCATATAAACAAAATAACGTTACTTTTGTTTTTTTATATATTTTTATTATACTTCCTTCGTTATTCCTACTATGCCTTCGTCATTCCGCGTTCTTTCTTACTGGACTTCACCTCCCGTGCAGCTTTTGTTAAGGGAATAAAGGCATTTCCGCTTTCACCGGGCCTTGTTTTGGGCGTTATCTTCGGGTTGCCTTCCCACTTGATTGACAAGAAGATTGTCAATTTGCGTGGACCGTTTGCTGACGTCGCCCAATCACACTGCTCCGTAGGAGGGACGTAAAATGTGCCTCCGTCCTTCTGACTGTCAGTCAGCTCAAATTATTTGTTGTCATCAAGATGGAGTTTTTATTGGGGAATCCATATAGCACTCCAGTGGGGCAATGCATAGGTAAGTAATTACCTGTACGGTTTATAATTTTGATCGTGCGCACGTTATCTTATTTGATAGCGGTCATATAACAGTATGCACTGATGGTGGCTTTTGAAGCCGCTTTTTCTGCAGCTGTCTGACGCAGCTAGCTAACGGAGCCACTTTAGCCAGAGAGAGGTCCGGCTGAAGTTAATTGATCGCCCACTTCATAAACCCTGAGATGGCTAACATATCGTACCCCTGACGATTAAGCAAGGGAAACCAATGGCAGTGAGCATAAGTAATATTTAATATTGTTTTCTGATTGCAGCAAATCAAACACAGTCTGGTGTCGCTCGCCCTGGTCTTACTAGCGGCAGACAACAGTACTGATCATTATGTTTTATTTCTGTTCAGCGGAGAAAATACTGACGGATTGTGATACCTGATATGTTACAAAGTCATAAAAGTAGTTAATGTAGTATTTAAAAAATCTGATGTCCTAAAAGCGCCATAAATAACATGGCTAAGTCTAATCAAGTAGGTCGTGTAGCACAATTCAACGGTCACTGTTTAAACAAGTAATTCATTGTCCGGCGTTTAAATTAATATTCATTTAAGGGAAATTTAAGCAACTCGACCGAGTCTGCACGTTTAATTGGGCATTGACTTGACTGCTGTCAGTTATTTTCCTTATCTTATAAAATCCCAGCTGTCCTTCATTGCCACCTTGGAGACAGAAAGACAGCTAAAATACATTTATGTGCACTGTAACGTTTCTTTAAAGTGGGACTTTTACATGGGCTTTATAGGACTGTATTACTTTCCAGTTTGTAGATAAAATTCAGGCCCTGTTTGTAAAAAGCATTTGTTGTACTTTTAACGAGATGCTGAGAGTTTAGGCCAGCACATCTCATTGTGGCTTTTGATAGGTCATCTTTCCCTCAAGTACCACAGACACCGAGGATAGGTAGAGGATCACTCAGGTAGCCGATGATGGCTCTAATCAGTGACCTCTGTGCTCAGTGTTGAACACGTATCTTTGGTTTTGCAAGCACCAACAGGAATCCATTTCTCATCTGCTCCTGCCTTGTGAAATGGTGGTGATGCAACGGCATTCAGTGCACACTCCCCAGCACGTTTGCATCTGTCTGCCTCTCTATTCCCATAAATTCCAGGAGGTGATTTTCTCACTCACTCTGTCATCTTGTAGTTCCATCGATATCATTTTCGATACAAACCTGGATTTTCTTTTTTTTACCATGGGGAGGGAAGAATAGAGGAAGTATGGTTAAGTATTAAAGCCATGAATACCCAAATGCCATAGGTTAATCTGACTGCAATTTTAGTGTTCCAAAGGGGCTTAACGTTTCTGGAAACTTTCCAGAAACTTTCCATTGCACGGAAAGTTAAGTTGGGGAATTATAAAAATATTCCAAGTTTGAAACTTTCCATAGGAATTAAGGGGGATATATGGCAATTAATGGGAAAATGCACAGAATTTTGCAACCCTAATCTGAACATGGTGTATGTGTGATGAGCTTGTGGTGCAGACCTACTGTCTGGTTTGTTGAGTGACTCCTCCCTTATCTTGAGTTGGTATCATTCTTTGGGTGTCGTAGGCTTGTAACCAAGTGGATTTTTTCAGTAGAGAGAAACAGAGAGATGGGAGGAGTGGCCTTGAGCTGTGATTAGCTGGAGTATGTTGATGCCTTGTAGTTTTGAAATGGACATACGTAACCTTGATGGTTTTTTATGCCTCGTTTGTAAAGAGCAAGAAGGTCTATGGAGGCTGTCACTTCTAGAAGGTTTTAAGTTATTGATTTGTAGTTCTGCTTGACACCTTAATGCTGATGGTGTTACTTTTGTATCTATTTACCATTAAGAATAAAATGTGGTCTTTCCTCAGTATCCCACGCAGAAACTCATGAACAGTGTTTTTTTTTAAATACTTATACAGCACCTCTATGCTCCTGTGGGTGGTTGACCTGGCTGCTATTTTAGATCTGGAGCTGCAGAGTGCAGTTCTTGTATCCACTCAGTGTCAATTTACCCCCAATAATGAGGGTAGATGTTCTCCACCCAGAGGGGATGGCGCCGGTCGATAACGTGCGCCCGTTCCTGTCATCCTGGCAGCTGTATGCAGGGGTCACCTGACAAGCCTCATGTGGCTGCACTTCTGTATCAGGAGTGGAGCCCAGCTGAGATTTGATCACCTCCTCTGGTCAATCTAGGCACTGGCCTACACTTGAAGAAGTGATGCAGAAAACCAGCCATGTGGCTGGCCAGGGGCAGCTGGAGCTTAACGCAAAGGCGGGCCACCTAACCGCAAAGGCGGGCCACCTAACCGCAAAGGCGGGCCACCTAACCGCAAAGACGGGCCACCTAAACGCAAAGACGGGCCACCTAAACGCAAAGACGGGCCACCTAAACGCAAAGACGGGCCACCTGTGTTCTTTTTGGGGTACAAGCTGTCAAGAACCACAGTAGTCAAATTAGCACCTACCTTCCTATACCTCTGGGACAGATGGTCCTTCTCTGTACGTAGTATCTCTAATGGCTGTATCATCCTCGTGAATATTAGTCACGCTTACGATATACTCATGATGCCAAATGCTAGTTGGGCTTTGGCCAAGCCAATGATCTGTGTGCTGTGAAGTTTCGGCATTTTAGCTACTCCTGCGTCGGCCTTTCTGGGTTGGCCCTCGTTCATCTCGAGGTTTATTACAACGTATCGATTTCCTTGCTGTTGCTCCCTGTGCACCTCGTTAACCCGAGACTTCCTTGCTTGTTCCAGCTGGACCGCAAAAGCGCTCTTGGGACGTAGTGTTCGTTCGGGAGCTCGGTCAGGTGATCACTGTGGAATTGGATGGAGCCGTGAACTGGGGGATGTCCATTTCTTGTTGGGGGCAAGGATGTCAGTCAGGAAGTTTGCATGGGACATGGCTTGATGCTGAGAGCGACCTGGTGCCACAGCCCTTCCTGTGGAGAGAAGCATGGAGACCAAAATGAGTGATAAGACTGCTGTCGATTGTAACTGTAGAAAAAGGGCCAGCATGCCTGTAAACTCAAGAATTCACGGCGACTTAAGATCACCATCAAGAAGTGCTGCAGAAGCTGCAGAATCCCTCCTGAGAAGGCGACCTTTGAACTCTGGACTGTTCTGTGAATTACAGGCTGTGCCAAAGGCCAACTACAGTGGGCCCTGGCAGTCTGGGGGTACCTAAGGAGACATACAGATTTACGATGAGCTAGATTAGAAGTGACACCACCATTACCAGGTTTCTTTCATCAGACTTAAGGTATAGGGATTAAATGGTTATCTGAGTCTCCCAGACTGGGCGTTGCATGCGATCCGGCTTGATTAGGGCGTCTGAATTATGCTTATTATAATTTTTTTGCATGCTGCCTGTATCTATCAGCTGTGGCTGAGTGGATGCTATGGCGACATCCAAGGGTGGCAGAGCCTGGCGCTGGGGCTCACGTGACCCTGCAGGATGCCAGCCCCCTCCCCCGCACCTCCTGCACCCTCCCCCCCCCGCCTCCCACCACAAGCTTCCTGGATGGAGTGTGGCTTCCCACAGTGTATCTGAACGCGGGATTGATGAGGGAATCGCCGTGGATGCGGCTGCTCTGGACTCTGCGGTTCAGGGCGCTCTTTGTGTCCAGGGTCTTTTTTTCAAGAGTGATGTGGGTTTATTTGCTTGTTGGTTTGGTGGCCTCAGGCCCAGGATGCTCTGGCCATTCAGGGCCCCAGGTTGACAGGGTGACCTCATCTTTCTTTGGCTTCCTGGTCCGCAAGGACCTCTGTGGTGGACAACTGATGAGATCTTGCTGCCTTGATCTGCGGTGCAAGGATCGGAGTAGTTCTTGTTTCTTCTGTTACCTACATAAAGTGTAGTACTTGGAATAATTTTAGGAAACTTTTAAAACCTTCAGTCATCTACTTAGCAGTCTGCTACAGCACACACTAAAACTACGGGCTGTAGTCCAAGCATGGCGTCTGCTGACTGTGAGCCGGATCTCTGCAGCAGGAGAACATAATTGGCATCAATTAGACACAGACAGTGGGCAGAGGGGGGTGTTCCTGAGCTGGGTGCTGCTCTAGCGCCCCCTGCAGGGCCACATTAAGCCCACGGGTGACTGGCTAAACGCCTCAACGTCGCCGCTCCTGTGGGTCAACTGGGACTTGCAGCGTGGGGGATAGGGTCAGCCGGCGGGGGTGTGAAACGTATGGGTTCTCGGCAGCTTTCTCCCACTTCCTGTGGGGGGTGGGGGGGTGGGAGCCCGGTACTGATCCAGGGACGCTTAACCCAGGCCAGGGATCGCAGGGGAAAACAAGCTGTGATGCTAATAATAGCAGCGTAATAATAGCTAGTGCTGATGTATGGATGCTCTCCTGCAATGTGTTCTGAGGTGATCGTTCTTGCCTGTTGGACGTGGTCACAAGTGCCCTTTGGACCCACAATCTGCCGATATTTCTGCCCAAAACCCCTTCTGTTGCTTGGGTTGTTTGGCTCATGTGTGGCTTTAATTTGCTGTTTTTTTCTCCTCTCTCTCTCTCTCTCTCTCTCTCTCTCTCGCTGATGGAGGCTGTTATGATTGTGTGAAAGTCACTGTTGAGGGTGTGATTTATTCACGCTGCCGGCATTATGTTCCGGAGGAACGGCGGCTGTCAGCCTGACGGTCGGAGCTGCCGGAGGGGCTCCCACCTAAACGCCCGTCTTTGGAGGTTTCTGCTGTGGGCTGCTGGGTGTTAGATGAGTAATGAGCATCTTTCTTTTCTCTGTATATCTCATCTCTCCCAGAAAAGGCCACGGACGGCTCTCTACAGAGCGAAGACTGGACTCTGAATATGGAGATCTGTGACATCATCAATGAGACTGAGGAGGGGTGAGGAAGGGTGCTGGTGGGGTGGGGTGGGTTCCGGTGGGTTCCGGTGGGTTCCGGTGGGTTCCGGTGGGTTCCGGTGGCCCGTGGTGCTGACCTAGGCGGGTCCTACTCCCGCTCCTCTCCGAAGCCCTGCCACTGCTGACGTTTTCAGGCCTGTCCGTCGGCTTCTGTGTGGTCAGATTTCTTTCTGGTACTAGAAGCTTCTTCAGACTGCAGTCCGGATCCTCAGATTCCCGAGCATTACCCTAAACCCGACAGTGACGACCGCTACCCAGCCCTAACCTTAACCACAAGTAAACAAACAAAATACAAGACTTTTTAGTTTTTTGATTGCAGTTATAGATTTTTATTAAATTGAGTTAGCCCTTGTGGGAACTGACAAAATGGTCCCCACATCGTCAAAATAACAGATATTATCACATTGAGGGGGCATTTGGCCCCCACAATATAATATATAACCCACACATACGCACCCATGCTTCCACCCCGGCCCTGTATGTGGATGTGCAGGCTAACCTGTACCTTCAGCTTGCTGATAACGTTCCGCTGTGGACTTTTAAACCTGCAAACCCATGGTCTTGGTTGACGTCAAGGACCGGGCAGTCTCCCGATGGTCTCTGTCTCCCTGGCCTATCACTTCTGTATCGTCTTAAGAGCTGAGTTATGAAAATGGCACATGGGGCTGTAATAACACACTTCCAGGGTCAGTGGGTTATGGGTTTGAGGCCTCAGTTCCCCTGGCAGCGCTGACACCTGCTGTAAGTGTTAATTATTCACAGGCTTGGCGCTACGATCCCACCGCCATCACAATGAAGCTATCGAGATCAGCTCTCGTTTCACCATAGAAAAACCGCTCATGGAGACTCATGGCTACCCCCCCCCCCTCCATCTCTTGCAGCCCCAAGGATGCCATCAGGGCTGTGAAGAAACGACTAAACGGGAATAAAAACTACCGGGAAGTGATGCTGGCGCTGACGGTGAGATTAGAGAGAGTGTGATTAGCCTTGATGGTGTTTGAAAGACTGATAAGCTCATAAGTGCTTTGGTGTGTCTTCGCCCCGAGGACGTATGTCTAGTTGAAGGACGTGTAGGTCAACTTTACATATAAGCAAGCGATTAACCCACATCACAACGAGTGATACGCACCATCTCCTCAGGTCCTGGAGACCTGCGTGAAGAACTGTGGTCACCGCTTCCACGTCCTGGTCGCCACCCGCGACTTCATCGACGGTGTCCTCGTCAAGATAATCTCTCCCAAGAGCAACCCTCCCACCATCGTGCAGGACAAGGTGCTCGCTCTGATACAGGTGCGGTACTGGGTGGAATGGGGGGGGGGGGGGGGGGTTTCACTACCTTCGAGATAAGGGGGCCAGCTCGCATGAGGGGACCTATAGCCCCAGCGGTAGAGTCCATCTCCAATTACCTGCCCCACAAGTATCCAGTTACTTGCAGCAGTTCAGCTGACTGGTATAAATTTCTCTCCCCTTTGTGGTGTTTGGTTCACCCTGTCCCTATTTGCTTTGACATAACTCAGTTTGAATGAACATTACCGCATTGCAGTCGTAAAGAAATGTCGGGCATTTACCCAAGTTCCCGGTGATATCTGCTTAAAACGATCCCTTTGTATAGTGTACAGGCTTGAGTAAATAAAGGAAATGTGTGCTCATATTAAAGCGATAATATTTATTGTGGTCAGCCCTTGCATCGCACCTCCCTCCGGCGTGTCGTTATCGTGATTTCTGTAGATTCATTATGGGGAAATGAGGGAGCAGGAGTTTTCAAGGTCTGCTGACGTTTAACCCAAACCTTGTGTCCCAGGCCTGGGCAGATGCCTTCCGGAGCAGCCCAGACCTGACCGGCGTGGTCCACATCTACGAAGAGCTGAAGAGGAAGGGCATCGAGTTCCCCATGGCCGACCTGGACGCACTGTCCCCTATTCACACTCCTCAGAGGGTGAGAATCCTGCCCCCAAATCCCTGCCCCGAGTTTTAAACCCCCCATCCGCTCCAAATACCTTTTCATTTTTTAAATCGTCATACGAGCGTTTTTCAGAAATGTGCTTGGCTCTTTCAAGGTTGACTACTTCAGTGATCTTTATTGACATTGAGAGCAGAAGCCGGTTTCAGAAAGCAGGCTTTCTTGCTTAGCTGGATATCTTTTCAAATTTAAGGTAGTCTGGGCTAAATGTAAGTAAATGACGATAAAGTGCATTTAAGTCTGACAAGTTATCCGACTAAGCAAGAAATCCTGCTTTCTAAAACAGGCCCCAAGTCTCCTTTCAATAGACCGCTGACACTATTATGGCCTGCCAATCAGGCCGGATTATATAAATCATTCATGCATAACTTTATGTTGCTGGTTGCTGGTCTTGAGTGTCCTGTCGAAATAAGGCATGCATTTGTCTTTTAAATAAATGGGCCAGTCTTGCTTTTGCCTTGGCAGACATAGTGTTTTTTCCCAGGGAGTGCCTGAAGTGGACCCCGCAACCCACAAGTACAAGGCCGGAACTGCTCAGCACACGGGCTCCGCCCCCCCTGCCTCCACTGTGGTGGCCCCTGCCTATAACACACCACAGGTCCCCAGCCTGCAAATGTCAGGCTCCATCAACGCCAACTCTGAACAGGTGGGTGCCCCTGTGGATCTCTGGGGTCGCAGGGGTCATTGGGTCAAGGGTCAAAGAGGTGTGGTCATAGCCTAGGTGTTTCTCAATACCAAGGATGTGAAGATCGTACTTGCCTCCCATTAATGAACTTGGAGCACAGTGAATCATGGGTTTGGTCTTGTTCAGCAATGATGCAACAGATGCATCCTCGATATTTGGGGCGGGGCAAGAACGACATCCAGGGATTTTTACCATCCCCTGTACTTCTGTTCTTGGGTATTGGAGCTGGTCTTTGACAATGGAAGATGACGTAAAACGGGTACACAAGAACAAAAGAATGGTCAAGTACGCATGTTGAGAAACACCCCCCTTTTTAATGTATTTACCATGTCTGTAACTTTGCCCTGCTGTATGTGAGGGCAGTGGTTTATCTGCAAGTTAGGAATGGGATGGACCTGTCTTGGGGTACCTTCTGTCCTACAGACTCGCCCTTGTTCCCTCTTAGATCGCCCGACTGCGGAGCGAACTAGACATTGTCCGTGGGAACGCCAAGGTGATGTCAGAGATGCTAACTGAGATGGTGCCGGGACAGGAGGACCCATCAGATCTCGAGCTTCTCCAGGTGTGCTTGTTTCTCATAAATCTTCCTGTTCTGGGATTCCTTCTCCATCCCCTGGATGGAACATGGTGTAGCACCTTCCTTAATAGCCACTATCTCCCGGTTCTGATGCAGGAGCTGAATCGGACCTGCCGGGCCATGCAGCAGAGGATAGTGGAGCTCATCTCACGCGTCTCCAATGAAGAGGTGACCGAGGAGCTCCTGCATGTCAACGACGACCTCAACAACATATTCCTGCGATATGAGAGGTACCCTCTACCTTGAAACTGCCAAACCATTCTGTGAAGGTCTCCGATGATTCTTAAGACTCGTTTGCGGTATGTTTACATCTCTTGCTGTTTCTATTTGACTGGAATGCTACCCCCCAACAAAAAAGTAGGCAGTGAATGATGTTAGGCAGGTCTTTGTATATTTATTGCTTTGTTTCTTGGCAGATATGAGCGATACAGGTCCGGCAGAACCGCACGGAGCTCCAACAATGGGGTAAGTTAAATGTCACCTTTCTGGATCGTCTGCTACGGATGTGACTTTGTTTGAACAAACATCAGCTGTGATTCTTTTTGTATATCGACCATGTGGCCAATCAACATCTTTTTTTAATCTGTACACGTTGCTTTTTTTTTGTTTTGCTAGCTGAGGCAGGCAAGTATAATCAAAGTAGATTTTAATTGATAATAGTGAGTTAAGTGAGTGTTGAACATGATGCGTGTGTATATGTGCTTGTTTAATCTCCCAAGAACTTGCTAACCAATGGTAGAAATAGAAACATCTGCCACCCCCACCTGTCCCTATCCCTGCCCTCCCCATTTCCACCTATGTGGCTGTTAGATACCCTTCAGATACCTTTCATAACTGATGGGCACATCATGGTTGTGGTTCCATTCGGGTTAAAGTGATTGGCTGCAGATAGTGACTCCACCCAATGAGGTGTCTTTTTGTGTACATCTGCTGTTATAATAACCTTGTGTCTTGCCTTGTATGTCCAAAACAATGATGCATTAGTGGAATAATGACCTTGCCTTAATGTCTTAACCAGGAGGACTCAATCCGGATTTCTAATGTGCAAGTGTTTTAGCTTAAGGCAGTGGTTCACTCCATAGGCACCCCCCAGCCATTCTACATACTTGGTATGGTCCACTCAGGCATAGCTGGTTGGAATTAACTGTCCCTGAGTCTCTTTGTTGGTTGACGCTGATGGATTATAAATGTGTGTAATGAACTGGTGTCACCTGGGGAGAGACTGGTCGAGTGCAAATGGACCTTCACTGTTTGTCTAAAGGTGGACGTTGTGTGGTGAGGATGATGGTGTCGCTTTCACTCGCTCATGCAAGCACCCTTCTAGAACATTCTCCTTCTCTAGGGCACAGTGTACCACTTAGCATTCTTCGTTTATCCATATTTCTCCCTTGTCCAACTTGTAGAAACACCCCCATCTGCACTTACCTTACTGTTATGCAGAGAACGCTCATCTTCCTCTACCAAATAGAATTGTTTTAGCCCATTTTTCCCTGTTGAGAATGAGAATGTCTCTGTTCTTTGAATGAGAATAAAATCTCATGCTTGAACGCCCCTAGGGAAGGTCTTTTGTCATCATGTGTGCATACTTCAGACATGTGTACTGTAATTGTAGATTGTTGTCCCCCCCCCCCCCCCACATAATTTTAACTTTCATTAATCCCACTACATCATTACAGGTTGTTGAATAGTGGCAGTAAAGCCAGAGGACATGTGACGTTTTGGTCCCTTTGTGACCCTGTGCATACCCGCAGGTGCTCAGCGAGGCCACAGAAGATAACCTGATCGACTTGGGTCCTGGGTCCCCCGCGGTGGTGAGCCCCATGGTCAGTGTGGCCCCAACCCCTGGTCTGCCCTCCGCGGCCCCCGCCGCCGCTGCCACCACCGCCACGCCGGACACGCTGTCTACCCAGCTGGCCGGACTCGGTGAGGATGGAGTGAAACACACTGCATCATTACCACAGGCCTTTTGAGCAAATCACTGTACAGTGATCCCCTGCTATATCGCGGTTCAGCTATCGCGACCCCACTATATTGTGGATTTTTCCCCGGGGCATCACAGTTCTCTGCGCATCACATACCTCGCTTGTGGTCCAATTGTTGTGAGCAAACTTTTTGTGAACTTTTCGTTTTGTTTTAAGCCCCACGACTAAGCAAAAAATCTTGCTTTTTGATATGGGTCCATGGTATTGCATTTCTGTGGCAGATGGAATGCATCCGACTCATGTTCAAGATGTTCAATAAACATGTTAAGTGCATATATATTCCCTTTTTTCTTGAGTCTGTTTGCTCATGCAAAATTAAATGTCATTAATATAGATTAAAAATGAACAATATTTAATCGTGATTAATCTAAATTAATCCACAGTAACCCTGTGGTTAATGTGATTAAAAATCGTTAATCAAAACGTCGTTCCCACAGACGTCAGCAACAACAGCGTGAGCGGCACCCTGAGCTCGCTGCCCAGGTGCCACCCCAAGGACGACTTCGACATGTTTGCCCAGACAAGGGGCAGCTCTCTGGCAGACCAGCGCAAAAAGTGAGTGTGTGTTTGTGTTCCTCTTATCTCCAGGGATTTTTTTTTCTCATGTAACTTGTAAAGTAAAAGCACTTTTATTGATTCGTAATATTGTCAATTTTACCTGAGAATTCCAGGTGTGGGACTTGAACCAGCAACGTTCAGGTTCTAAGTCAGCTTCTCTTGCCACTACACCACAGAATGCCAGTGAGGCTGAATTCTTTCGTTCTTTATTGATAGCGTGAAGTATGAAGACCCACAGGCGCTGGGTGGCTTGGCCTCCGCCCTAGACGTTAGGCAACAGAATACTGGAGGGGTGAGTGTTGCTGAACCTGCTGGGAAATGTAGTTTTGTAACCCCCCCACCACATGCACACACCATCTGTGCTTTCTGCACAGATGTGCAGGTGCCTGGTTTTTAAAAGCACCACGTTGGTCCTGCATTCTTGGACACCTCCTCTTTGCATGTCTAAAACTTTTTCGCTCTCAATTCAAATCACTCTAGCATCATCTAACCCTAATGTCTATCTACATACGAAATGCACATGGGCGCCCAAACACAAACCAGTAGACCTTAAAAATCTCTAAATCAATGTAATTGTCCAGGTGACCACATGCCAAAAATAAGAAACACATGTTGTAATCAAACATAGGTTTTGTCCTGAATTTGACTTAAAGATATTTGTATTGAATCACTTTATGATTCTTAAAAATCAGAAGCCTGTAATCCAAGAACAGATTTGCATCTGACAATTGCGCATTTCTCAACATTTAAAAATGGCATCAGAAACAGCAGCCTTTAGCTTTGACAGTGAATAGCTCGTTTTAGAAGGTGTTTTAAAGGTCTTCTTGATAAGATGCTGTCTGTAATGGGTGGTGACCTCATACCTGCTGCATTTACACCTGTCGAGCACAAATCTACATAGTGATGTCATTCTTCAGGAACCCTGAGCATGCAAAAAAAGGTGCAGTAGTATGACCCAAGCTGTCCGTGTACAAATGATTTATTCTGGACTACATATGGGAAGGAGCAACAACAATGGAATCACTATGGAAGCTCTGTTTCCATGCATGCCTGCAACAATGCCTCATTTATCATCAGTATGGGGTCACTACGCAATGGAGAAATCGTATAGTGTAAGATGGTGGATTTGGAGGGATATTACACAACGTACTAAAGTGAACAGCAGGCAAAAGGGTGCAGCAAATGTAGCTAAAGTGATCTTAAGAGCATACTTGGTTATGCTCATTGTAGCAAAGCAATTTTATTTTCAATTAAAAGACGGTGCTTTTAAGCATTTGTATCCAGTTCAGGAGTGGATTGTGGTAGGACCGTCGGTTGGATATGAAATGTCAGCTTTCTCCGATAAGCTTTCAGACGCTGTAGTCTGTGGTCTGGCCTGTAAAATCAACTTGCCTGTCTTGCTGTATCTGACGACGGGATGTTTAGTTTTCGAAACCCTTCTCACGCCGCTCAGATTTTGCCGTATGAATTCCTGGTAGTTTTTTTTTTCTTTTTTTTGTGTCATAAGGGTGCCTGTACTCCCTGGTTCTGCCAATGTGTGTTTTTTACTCTTTACACACTGGTCTTTGTTGATTCAGCTGAGTGTAAAAGGTGATAACGCAGACATGGAGCCAATAGACGGCTGGCTTATCTCCCAAGGAATGGTGAGCACCTCACCAGCGTCTCTGACCTTCGCCCCCCACCCCCACTCCACCAAGCACTCACAAATACCCCCCCCCCTTCCCATTTGCCCTTTCCAGCTCAGTACCCCCAGTACCCCTGACTGTGGTCCCATATTGCTAAAACCACCCCACCATGACAGTAAAAGGGAAATCTTTCAGGCTCTAACTGAAATACGCGTGCCCTCCTACCTCAGGCTCCGTGGAGGCAGTCGTGTGGCTCGGTGTGTTAGGACGCCGAGCCTGTGATCAGATGGTCGTTGGCTCAAGTCCCAGAACCCAGCACTTTCACCGTTAGGCCCTTGAGCAATGCCTTTAACCCTCAGCTTCTCCAGGCCCTGGCTGACCTCACTTTCTGGGATGTACAAGCGCCTGCTATATAAATAAAATGTAATACATTTATGTATTCCAGTGGTTCTTTTGTATTCTTCCTCCCATTAGCAGGGGTTTAATAGTAAATCTGTAGTAAATCGTCTTTAGGACAGCAGGACTTCAAAGCGGTGACAATAGTAATTGCGTACACGAGCACACTATCTAGATGGTCAGCCCTTGCCTGTATATGAAGTGGTCCATTCTGCTTTCACCCCCGCCCCCCTGTGGTCGAGTCTTGTGGTCGGCGTGCTCTCCAGCTGCGGCCAAACATCCCCTCATCCTTCGCTCCCTTTTACTGTTGGTTTCCTCTTGCTTTTTCTCCCCCCCCCCCCTCTTCACGTCGCCCGCCCTCCTTTGGCTCGGCCGCCGTCATGGTGATGGTGTTTCCATAACGGGGGAAAACGAGATCTGCCTAATGGTCTGACCCAGACGGTCGGGGACTCCTGTCACACAGCATCCGCTACCCGCGGGGTCTCGGATGTGAGAGTCGTGTTGCCAGGCAACTGCAGCCGCTCTCCCGCCTGCGGGATTATTTGTTTCCCCTCTGATGTGCCAAACTAGGATTAGCCTAAACGGCTGTGACACAGGAGCCTCGCTGTCACCCGCTCTTTGCACTGATCCCTCCTGCACGGCTAACAGGCTAACAGCGCGGGCGCGGAAAGGGGGGGGGGGGTCCAATCTGAATGTATAATGCTGCAAATATTACAGCCTTATTCTAACGTACTGATAAATCCCCTGTTTTAACACACTGACCGTTTATTTCACAAAGACTTGTTTTGTAAGTGTGATTTGCTGTCATGATTGAGTCACTAGTTTCCACAGTGTTTTTTTTTTTTTTCAATTTTTTTTTAGTGAATAGAAAGATACAAAACATTATGATGAACTAAAAGATTTTTAAATTTTGAAATGCCAAACAGGGAGAAAAAAAAAAAAAAAAGGTCCAAAATCCCCTAGAATCATGAGGTTTGACACACCCTTAAATAAACAGCCTTTAGGTGGGACAAGACATGATTGGATGGTCCAGCCTGCCTGGAGTGGCATTCTGGGAGTTTGACTTGTCATAGCACACAGTTGATGTTAAGCTGTAACAACACTATGTGGTTATATGAGGTATTATGGAAGGAGACAGTAACTCTGCTCCTGGCTTCAGGGCCATACAACACAATTAGAATTTTATAACCTACCGTGATAAGGCCGTCTTATGTACCGACTGTTGATTTGCCCTGGCTGACCCCGATTTATGGTTTGTAACTTTTTATGGCGTTGGTTTATATTTGGCCTTTATATTTCTTTTCCTCCTTCCGTCTTTTATTATCTGCTCATGAATTTTTGTTTTCACTCTGGCTTCACATTGAGGGAAAAAATTAACCAGGCGGAGAGTTTGATAGTGTTTTTCTCAGGCTGGTCACGTGCACGTGCGTGTGTGTGTGTGTGTGCACCACGAGCAAGTAAGTATGTCCCCTGCACACCCGGGCAGGACCAAACCATGGAATTAACCCTTCTGACTCTTTGACGTCTCGTCACTTCCTCCTAAATGCGACGCTTCATTCACATCCTGACCCAAGGGCGTCCTGCGCCACCCGTGCATGCCGCACTGTGCGCCCCCTCCCTTTCCAAGCATGCATGTGCATGCGTGTGTGCTCATACTGTGTGGGTTTTATCACTTCATTTTGGATTTGTGATTTTGGTTCCCGTTTTTGCCTCCATTTAATGTGATTTTGCTTTTTGTTCTTGGATGTATTTTGGCCCTCCGGGGCCTCCGTTCCTCCCGGTCTCGGCCTCTCTAGATCCCCGTTGCACAGTCCTCTGTCATGGATGACATTGAGGAGTGGCTCTGTACAGACGTGGTGAGAATCCTTATACGTCCTTCCACTCTCATCCTCACAACCCCCCCCCCCCCCCCCATCCATGGTGTAACATTTCTCATTACTTTCATCTCATTTAAGTTTGGTTTTCTAATTTAACCTTCTAACAAGCTCCATGTCCCCAGTCCCTTATAGCCAATCAGAACTAAGATTCCTGGGAATGTTGCTACTAACATCCTGGAAACTCTGACATCTTACTGTGAAGTGTGGATGGATGCAGAATCCGTGCTCGCTTGGGGAGATATTACCGGCAGGGCATGCTGACGGGGATGGATTAGGGCTGCTTAATCACAGCGTGGTTAGTTTCACTTTAAAGCCTCCTTTGGGGGATTTTTTTTTGCGCGTGCGTTTCCTTCGCTCGTGGAGGATGGTGCCTAATCTGATCTTCATTCTAATGCACGTTTTTTGAAACGTTATTAAGAAAAACAGGAATGAGTTAAGGGCACAGATACATAAAGAAGTGCAAGGGAGTAAAAAATGACCCTGAGGTAGAGAAGGAGCTGCATTCTTTCACCCCTCTGTGGTTTTTCTGCAAGGCCCAGTTTTACCAAACGGGGACAAGGACACGGATAAAGAGGCCCAGCTGTAGCCTTGTTTAGCAGCTGATTAGCAGTAATTAAACCTTTTTGTTATGCATGCACATATTAAATAGTGTGGGGGAGGTATTATTAAAGACTTTCAGATTGGGGGTAGCATTTGCGGAGTAGCTGGTAGCTCGAGCACACACAAGTCCAGGCGTGTCGACATACATCGTCCTGCCGCGTGTCCGTGTGGGAGCGTGCCCGCGTCTGCGGGGTCGCTGGGTGGCGATTTGAGGGTGGTCATCTTGTCTTTATGGTGTGGAGGGCTTTTTTGTGAAACACTAACACTGATTTTATTTGTTTTTCCCTAATGAACAGAAGGGTGATGATGCTGAAGAAGGTGTGACAAGTGAAGGTATGATTTAATATTTACAGTTAAAATGCTTTATTAATTACGGAATTCGTGTGCTTCATATTTACAGTTTTTCAAACTCACATTATCTGTGTATTTGGAGTTATCAGTTATAATGTATTGCATTATAAAAGTGTTATCTAACTATTGTTTTACTTAGTATATTTTATTTATTGTACCCTGCAGTGGGTTGGCGCCTTGTCCTGGGTTAAATGGGTGGATAGATTTATTTATTTGTGTTTTCCTATCCTAGAGTTTGACAAGTTCTTAGAAGAGCGAGCCAAGGCTGCGGAAACAAGCTTACCGTCGCCACCTGGTGGTAATCCAGCCACAGCCACAGCCACCGCCGCGAGAGCCCCCAGCGGCAGCCGCAAGAAAGCGGAACGATCTGAGGATGCCCTCTTTGCCTTGTAGGATNCCGAGCCACCTGGCCACCTCTGCTTTGTCACACAGAACAACAGCCCCCCCTCCCCTCCCCCCAGCTAATTCCTGCCACCCTGCATAACTGCCACATTGGCCCAGCTTACTGGGGGTGGAGTACAGACGCCAGCTGCCTGTTCCATTCTGCAGTTCTGTGGGGGCCTGAAGAGATCACCTGGGACATATTCTTGGTGGTGCTTTGGTTGTGTGTGCGTATGTGTGTGTGTGTCTGGGTTTTTTTTTCAGAAGGGGGTATATCCGTGGCTACATTTAAGAGGGGGGGGTGCTATCTAGCACTGTGAGAAAGGGGGGGGACATTTTCTCCATTGTGCTGTCTCCCATTCTGGAAAAATCCCAGCAGGACTGTTTGCCGAACGCTACTTCTCTGTCGCCACCAGCACAGGAGTTGGAGTTCGCCGGGTCGCTTAGCGCCTCGACCTCGTTTAAGCGCTCGCTCGAGTCTTCCTAGGTCCTGCTGTGCCAGGATCGGACGTAACGGGGCAAAGTGAGCGCATGTGTGGCAGAGGGATGCAGATTTAGCGTGCGTCGGCAAGTAATGAGAGAAACAGGCGGTACAGGTCACAGGCAAGCATCACCAGTAGTGCCCCATGTGCGAGACAAAGTGAAATTGGCTTGCTGAGTCTGCTCCCTTCCAGAAGATGGCGTCCTAGGCGGCTGCCTACTTCACCAAATGGCTTTGCCCAGTATGTAGGTTTCAAAAGTGAAAAGCACATCCCTTTTCCTTTTGTTAGGGGGCGGGGGTTCCCCAACCCTGGGGTCTGCGACTGGCATCTGCTCTAGTGTTATCGTTAATACCAGTGCTCGTTAAAAACTTGCGCTTGCCTCACCCATCTGGTAGAGTCTGAAGTATTTTCACAAACCATACTGCCCCCCTTTGGAGTTTGGTGGCCGGTTTTTCGGACTGTGTACCAGATATGAGATGTTTAATCAACGTCCGATTACCTGCTTTTACAGCCAGTGTTTTTAATATTGATATATTGGTTTAAATCCCTTTAAAAAGTTTGTTCTAAAAGATTAGCAAGTATTACATTCATTTTATTGTTTTTTTTTTCTTCTGCCACCAATGCATTGTAGTATTCTGGACTTTTAAAAATAAGCACACATCTGGAATGTCACCGGGCCCCAGATAATGACATTAGGCAAAGAATGTAACAAGACTAAAAGCACTGAAATATAAGTCTGCTTGGTTGTATAGTGTACATCGAGACCTTCATTTTATTTTTGGATTTGGCTATATGTTTGTTGTAACATTTTCCTCTATACATAATTGTGTATCTATACAGTATGGGAAAAAGTAACTGAACACATGTACAATTGTAACATAATTGTGGTATTTATCATTGAAGAAAACCGCCATCACTTAACTACCCAGCATTCCCCCAGAAGCTTTCATTCTTTGGTGGTGGTTTTTCCACTGTAGTAGAGAAAACCCTCTTATTTTCCATCTTTATTTTTTTTTTATGAATTCTTTAGAATTAATGGAATGCAACAACTGCAGACGTTTATGCATGCAAGTTTCTCCCCTGTAAGTTTCTAGTCCTCTATTCCAAGCGTATCCCTGTGTGTGTTAATTTTTTTTCTTTTTTTTGAGGGGGGAGGGGGTGCCAGAATTCTCATTCATTTTAATTCTGGCAGCTTCTGGTTAGACGTGGAGGGCTGTAAACTGACATCCTTATTGCTGGGTTCGGGTGGGCTGAAAGTTACCGGTGGCTTGGAGCCTTAGGCCTCTGCTGCCCGCATGAGTCATTCCAGATTTTGTAAAAGTATTATTACCTTGCGTCAGCACTGAGCGGTAGCATTACCTTCCGGAACTCACCATTCAGTAAGAAGCTGATGGTCCTCCCCACTAACACAGCATTTAGACGTGTATAAAGATATTATCCTCTCGGTGTGAGGCTCATTAACAAATAATTTGTACAATGTACTGTAAATTTTATTTGCTGAAATTAAAAAAAAAAAATTGTAATATTGATCAATCAGTATCATTAAAGTTTAAAAATACTTTTCCTGCTTGAAGGTTCCTGTTTATCAGATTGCTTGTAAGTGCAAGAGCACATTTGGCATAAGAATCTATTTTCTAATACTCGTAAAGCTTTCTTTTAATATATTTTAGAATACTTAATTAGAAGTATTTCAGGAAAACCAAATATGATAGCCCCCCCCCCCCCGCTGCCCAAAGTGAGGACACAGTAAGGAAACTGGATCATTTTGCACAATAATCGCTTTACAGTAATTTGTCTGCCTCCTGTTTTCATGGGTTAGCATAACAAACTGTACATAATCCATTAAAGTGCTCCATTCGGAATCACGCAAGAGGAGCAGGCCACGCTCACGTGCTGCTCATCTACATTTAAAGTCGGAGCTTGGACGTGTGTACATACCTAATTTCGCAAAAGCAGTGTCCCGTTAACCGCTTAAGTCAACCAACGTGTCTGAAGGTTCGACTGGGTGTTCCGGAGGCGTGTTCTGATACTGTAGGGAGGGTGTGACGGTTTTACCGCGGTACTGTTGCTGGCATGTGTTGGCCGAAGCATCCGTACGTGTTTGTGGGTGTGCAAGTCTATCGAAGTCGAGCTCAGTGCTGTTTAACCCTTGCATGTGTTGAACTCCAATAAAAACACTAGCATTGTGTGACCTGTACCTGATGGACTCTTTGGTCATTTTAATCCATTTGTTTCCACGGGCAACTGTTATATATGACATAGATCAGTGTGTCTCCTGCTTCTGTCTGCTGTGTAAACCAGGTTTTCTCAAACCAGTCCTTGCCACCACCCCCCCCCCCACTTCTTCCCATTTCTGCTCCCCCCCAGCTGCCAGCACATTTGAGCCAAACAAACAAGGAATAAGACATGTGTAGAGATGTGGGAGGAAGCAAAAATGTGGACTGTGTGGTGATCCCTGGGTACTGGTTTGGGAGATACTGGTCTAGGATAAGCAGGATTCATTTACAATATTTTGCCTTTATTGTAGAAAATATGTCACTATAATAGATAGTTATATTTAATGCTTCTGATATTCATCCACTTTCAATAACTGCTTATTGAAGTAATGTGATCATGCATCTGCTGACCCAGCAGTGTGTAGGATGTGTAAGAGGTTATGGTCAGACACCAGGCTGTCTTAGGAGGTATGGACGTATGTGGGTGGGCCAGAAGGCCTGGGAAAAAGACGGAGCACGTGCATATCTGCACCAATCAGAATCCCTGACCCTGGAGCCATTGCAAGCTGAGCCTCCTTGTCATATTTATTCATATCTTGCACGTGAAATGCCGGAAACAGCGGAAATGTTTCCCGATTTGAAAACCAGCATATTCCTCTTTGCAGTTCCTGAAGGCTCCAAATATCATTATCCATCCATCCGTATTCTATACCTGTTTGTCTTATGCAGGAGCCTATCCTGGAAGCTACTGGTGCAGGACAGGGAATAACCCAGGACAGGGTGCCAACCCATCTCAGAATATCATAGAGATGTTAAGAATAGCAATCAAATCTACTGGGAAAAACATACAATAAACCAGTTCTACAGCAGTAATGTGTATAAATAAACACTTACTGGCATAGAGCTCATCATTTAATGCAAACAGCACGTTAATCAGGACAACCTCTGTTTAGCAACAGTGCAAACAGTCTCATGTCACGTCACTCAATGCCCTTCTCTCCACCCAGTCTCAGTTCCAGTGCTATCCCCGGTCATTAACCCACATTGTCCCAGCATTTTGTTTTGATTATTTGGAAGGCAGGAGTTTGTATAGAACGCTCCGCGTGTTTTGTCAGAAAAAACGTTCCTAGTCATTTAGTGCACGAGTTTTTTTTTACGTCATTATAATTTTCTGTATGCTACGTCGTACACTAAACTGTGCACCATCTGACATTTTGCTGAGCATAAAACGATAGTGTTTTCCCATGCTGAATTGTTTACCAACTGAGTTTTCACATAATTCCTCAAAATTGTTGCTCACTGACATGCAGGTCCGTTTTGTCTGTTAAACTGAAAACTCACCCCCCGGCATCAAGTAGGAATAAATGATGTAACCGCAGAGCCACCGCTGTGACGTCATATCACCCCACTGCTTTCCCAACGCAGCAATTGGTCGCTCGCTCTGGTTCTACAGGCGGAGTCTTTGGTGCGCGTCACACTAACTTGAGCATCCACTAAGTCCATCCCCGAGCCATGTGATTGGCTGCTCCCCCGGTGTGTCCGCGATGGGAACTGCCGGCTGTAGTTAGCCCAATACCGCCCGTTAAATGGCACTCTTCGAGAAGTGGCACCGGTATTGTGCAGCACTCTTACTCTGTCACTTTCGGCAATCTACCCACCATACAGAACCACTTGATACAGTCCGATAATGATGCTTAAAAAAAAGTGAAGCACTTTCAATGTACATCTAAAATCCAGCTAAACAGCAGCAGATTTCTGACCATAACATCGTCAAAGAAATTTTTATTCAAATTCCTGAAAAAATAGTCCTTGCACAGTTCCTTGCTGTCAATGAGTTATGGCTAAATTGTGTTTTTAAATAACAAATGCAACGAGTACTTTTAATGTGATTTTAGTGACTGCCTGAAATAGATTTAAAGGGAACATGATGATTGTCAACATATATAAACGGTTGAGAATAAACAAATAATATGCTGGATGTACCCCCATGGAAAAACGGACAAAAAATAGCGGTGTTAATATTATATCTGAAGAGTCTACTGGAGAGCTCGCAAATTACAGCGATTCGTGAGTCACCATAATGGCGTAGATGATTGGTTAATCTGTGTGCCAGTCATTTGGGACTTGGGGGGCTTGTCTGGATCCTCCTCAAGCATGTTAGTGCACACTCATTACTGAGTGTTTAGACAAGTTTGCTTTGAGTGTCAGTATGGAGGCGGAAGAGTCTTGCTTATAGGTAGACAAATCAGTACTAAGTTATGTACTTTGAGGTCTTCTAGTGTACTCGACTGCTTACTTTTACGTGTTGTAACGGCAAGAATTCTGTCATTTGAATGGCACATCGTAGACATTCGGAATCGATTGTGATTGGTATACATTTCTAAAACAAGTCAAGATGAACAACTTGTCGTTTGACGATCCGTCGCTGGAGAGCTTGGACCCAAGCATCTCACTCAGCGATCCCAGCGACATTGACACAGCGCTGCTGAGCGACATTGATGGTAAGACACCGATCGTGAGTGTCCTGTGACCCGGTGTAACTAAGCGGGGGCTACAGTTGCAGAATATTCTAGGATCGCCAACGAAATGTATAGGCTTTGTGGTCACCACAGTATAACTGTGGCTAATAGACCTCACGATTGTGCGTGCGGCTAGTATAGTAATGATACACCGGCATAATCGGCTAACAGCTGCATTGATATGTTTTGAGGAAAGCGAAATGCATCTAGCTGGCAAATCTAAAAGGCTCCATACCAGCCATCATCTTTAGTGAGTACGTATGTCATATTGCAGCTTAAAGGCGTGACATCCCATGTAGTAATGTGCATTATTCTGCGCAGATTTGCAGTTCGGTGTGGGGAGCATGAGGTAAAGTTGCTATGCGAGCTCCCCGCCCCCTTCAAACTTGTGTAAATGACGTCATGTAAGGTTACTATCGTGCGTTTCCTCGAGTTCACCCGAAAGATGTTGGCTTTAATTTACTAATACGCTGCTTTATCCTGTACTGTGTATTTTTAATGACAAGCAAACACATTTCAGTCATATTTTAATGTCTTTGTGTATAGGGATTATCCTACCAGGTTTCCTTTGACACAAAGCTAAGCTTTTAAATTTTAAAGCATAGTGTAGACAGCAAGTTATTTATAACTACGGCGCATACGTTCTATTCACGAATGCACGCATTGTTCATTTATAATAGTTTTGCTGCGAGATACAAATAAGGTGTGTGCTGAAAAGCACAATAGCAATGCTAAAAACGTTAGCATTGCCCGCTGGTAACCCCTCGCCGGAGTGGTTGGTGACAATGGCCGATAGTAACCCCGGGTCGCTGGTCTCGGGGAAGCGGCAGCTAACAGACGCGCTTTCTTCCAGTCTCGGGGGCGGGTCCTTCTGGCGAAGCGTCTAGGGCGCGTCCCATTGGCTGTCAGCGATCACCTCATACACAACATTGCCTGACCGATCCCGCTTATGTTTTTTTGATTATTTATTTATTTTCCCCCCTGCGGGTAGAGATCCCTGTCATTCGCACCCCGACATTTAGCCCCATGGTGCGTGATGAGTCATCGGTCTCTTTTATGGCCGATTTAATTGATCTCATAGATGCTCGTTTTTAAAATATGTACATTTGGGATTTATCTGTTCTAAAAATCCTATGATGCATAATATGCAGTACTTTTTAATTTTGTTTATGTATGTTCCAAAATTCCCAGTATGATTACTGTTACCAATATTATTTTAAAAGCTATTTTTATTAGTTTATATATAACTATTTTCTAATCATCTGTGTGGTGATAGCCTATTGCAAGGACCAGTCTCCTGAATGATTAATCTGCCTTGCGGTGTCAGAATACAGAGCGGGTGGGATGGTGCTTCTATGCTCCGTTTTCATGCCCACTGGGTGCAGCATTTACGTTCTCGGCAAACATCCAAGCATCGACTTCTATCCTTTTCTTGCCCGAACGCTTCTGAATTTTTCAGCCGGGTATTGATGACTTTTAGCGCCCCGTTAAGCTGGTAATAGATTTCCTCCCGCGGTTAATGGACTGTGGTTGCGGCGGCCTGCAGAGACTGAGGTGGGGGGGGGCGGGGGCGGGGGCCTTGCCCCTCTGTTGCTGCAGGAAAACAAACCAGCCCCCCTCCCCCCCAGTAAAGTGACATTTCGCTGCTTTTCAGCACCCTGGCCGTGACTGACCATGTCAGAGGCATCATAAACAGGCAGTTATCAGCAACAACAGTGCAGTGTCAGTAGAGAGAAGCCAGTGCTTTTGCAGTGTCTGTTGACTAAAATATGTACATGTCTGGTAGTATGCTGCAGGGTGTTGGTTCTGCTTTAATACTAGTTGTGAAGCCTGATGGGTGCTTCCCGGAGTGGCTGTACCTGTCAATGAGCCAGAGTGTATTTTTGTGGTATAGGAAGTGAGAGTGTAATTGCACAAAATGCGGCTTTGTAACCGGATTGTTCGCCTTTGTTTTCACAGACATGCTGCAGTACCTGAACCATGATATGGAGTTTCCGGGACTATTTGAGCAACAGCAGTTTGGTGGCGTGCCTCTGCCCCCAGACCTTCCTCCCCCCTCCCATGCCACCTCCTCTCCCTCATCTCCATCTTCCTCTTCCACCTCCTCGTCTCCCCGAAAGCCTGGCAGTACCCCTCACCTGGATGCCCTGTTGGGCCCGCCCACTGTCCCCAGCTCCACTCCTCCTTCCAAGGCACTCCAGGCCCCTCCTGCCTTCCAGCAGCCGGCTCCCCTTCCCCCGGCCCTGTGTCCCCTGGCCCCGACTCCCCCAGCTAAGCCGGGCCCGGCGGTGCGTCCCGCCAAGACGCCGGCGAGCTCGGCAGCCCTGCATCCCGTGAGCCAGCCGTCTCTGATCCACCCTGCGGCGGGGATGGCCCAGGTGATCAGCACCAACACGCAGACGCTCTTCACCTCCGTCGCTCCGTCACTGCAGCAGCTGGCACCAGTGCAGACCGGCTACACCAATCAGAATACATTCACAGGTAAGCGGGCCCTGGATGCCCATGCAGTCAGCGGACGCTTACTCTGCTCCTGCCCGACCTTTGCTATGGTCTTTCCCCATCTGATTAGGTAACCCCCCCCCCCCCGGTCACGTTTATGCTGCAGGTTTTAGCTTTCATACTGGTCATTAAGCAGCTGTGGAGCTGCCCCCTGAAGACAGCCATGCATGCTCGTCATGTCACTGTTACTTTTCATTAATTAAGCTGCTGATTTGGATGATGTGTGTCTTAACGGCTTTTGTAGTTTCGACGTTTTATTTGTAAGGTACACAGTCATATGTTGTGAAATGCATTGTTGCCTGACTCCTTACTGAAACAGGGGACTTAAGTCTAAGAATAAGTATTTCTGTATGTAAGCTGTACATGTGTAAGCCGAGCAGCCTGGAACTGTGGCTTTGCAGGTTCTAAACACTCCACAACAGTATTGCCTACGGAAAGAAGAGTTTAGGATGTGTGTGCCCTTTTCCGGATGGTCGTGAGTTTGAATCCTGTGGCTGGCAAACTGGCTGATTCAGACCACTGACCCCTAAACTTCACTCACCTGTATATACGTGTGTCTGGTCTCTCATGGGGAGCAGGATGGCGCTTGCAAAAGCTACCCAGTTTCCTCACAGGAACAGTAAAGTAGGAGCAGTTTCTGTTCTATTCTGTTCTGTGAACTTGTGGTTTATTTTGGGCGTTTTCAGAGGTTACCGTCAGTCTACCGCCTTGTCCTTGAGCAGTTTTTACTCCCATGAAGCTCTGGGAGGAAATGAAAGGTAGGCTCATTTATGTCAAGGTGTAGATTTATGTAATACTCTTGCAAAACACCACCTGGGAAGATTAGACCGAACTGGAAAGAAAATCAAAACGGCAAAGCTGCGTTCCTCTTCGACTAGTCAGTGAACTTGTGAACCGTGGATGAGAAGATAGTTTTGATTGGTCTATATCATTTACCCTATGGAATATTATTGTCTGTAAAACTGTTAAATATATCATCAGCAGATGACTTTCAATCTTCTGTGCAGATTGAGTGGTTTCTGGTAGCGTTGTTCCTGTTTAGGTGTATTTGGAGCATTTTAATTGTTGATTATGATCCTACGTGTAGAATCTTCATTTAAATGGCTTGTATGTGGAGACCTCGCATGATTTTCTGTAGGAGAGGACGAGGCACGAGAATGACGAAGACGTGCCATCGTTAGTGATCAGGTGATGAAATTCCAAAGTGTGTTGCGGTGTCCCCGTTGAGTAATGGCATATGCTCAGGCCGTCGGCATGTTTGGCTCTGACTGCGACTTCAGAGGTCGCCTTGCTGACACGTGGGATCCTCCTACCTGACCATTGGAGGGTGGCAAAGGGACGCCTTCCGAAAATGTGTGCCAGACCGGCGCAACCCCCCCCCGGCCAGCCCCTGCTGAAGACGAATGCCGCGTTAGGTAACCGTGCAGTGCGGGACGTGGCCTGCGGGTTCAAAGAGCAGGTTGCTGTTGGCAGCTGCCGTGACCCCGACCCGCTGCTCCCAGCTCCGGGTGAACATCACTCTCCCTATTCCTTACGCCGTAATCAGATGATAATTGGGATAATCCTCACTATCACCAGCAGGTTACCTGGACTATTTACCAGGCAGCCTGTGTACTGTGGAAGCACCTGGTTTAATTGGTGAAATCTACGTTTTATTTATTTATCATATGCTTTTATTGACTTTTTTTTTTTGAGAAAGCTGGCTCAGTCAGTCCCTGGAGCAACTGGCGGTTAAGGGCCCTGCACAAGGACCCAGTGGTGACATCACTCTGCCAACCATGGGATTTTAGCCAATGACCTTCTGATCGCAGGGACAGCGTCCTAAGCTGTGCAGTTTGTTCAGCGGATTGTCAGGTTTTCTTTATGTGAGCGTTAAGGAAATTCATACGTGTACAGCCTTAGGCAAAAACGTTTGCCTGGCAGGACAGTTAGATGAATAATATTAATCATTTTTGCTCGCAAATTAGGGTGCTTAGAACCTGATGGGTGATACTATCCTGAATTCCCTGTCCCTGCTCCTCACACTGTCTCACAGCTGTCAGTCAAGGAAGCCCCGCCCAGCCCTCTCCCAGTTTGTCCACCTCACCTCAACACATCCAGCCAGTGACCATCCAGACTCAGGTGCAGGGAGTGCCGGCTCAGCCCCTCTTGGCCACTGCGTCGAGCCCCCCTACGCAGGCCATATCACCGCACGTCCAGCAGGTCCCTGTGAGTGTATCTCCTGATGCGTTGTGTCTCCTTTTGCTAGCAATCTGATTGGATTCTGGGCGAATCCCTCAAGACCAGTGACCCAGGATTACTACTGGCAGTTGTCAGTGGGCAATGCTAATTTTTTTTAGCATTGCTAATGTGCTTTTTTGACACTGAATTAAATGAACCGCGTTTGGCTGTTAGAGAGTCTGGAATTCGTGCCCGCTTCTTGGGGGAGTTCCCGCTGCCACACCTCACTCCAGGCCACCCCCCTCCCTTCAGGTGCTCCTCCAACCCCAGTTCTTCAAGGCTGATTCCCTTGTGCTGACTGCTCTGAAGCCAGAAGTGGGCAGTGTGGTGACGACTATGGCATCGCCCTGCATCACCACCCTGGCCACCTCCACGTCTTCTGTCCAGAGCACTTCGCTTCAGGTACGGCATGAGTAATGAGTCATGTGCAGGGGAGGCGTCTGTGGCCAGACCATTGCTGTCGCCATCTAGTGGTGCCTTCTCACACTTTGTCCCCGCCTCGACAGGCCCTGATGAACGGCGGCACCATCCTGACCACGGTGCCCGTCATGGTGGATGCTGAGAAGCTGCCAATCAACCGCCTCGCCGTGGGCTGCAAGGCCACGGGCCTGCCCCCCAAGGGCGAGAAGAGGACCGCCCATAATGCCATCGAGAAGCGCTACAGGTCCTCCATCAACGACAAGATCATCGAGCTCAAGGACCTGGTGGCTGGAACGGAAGCCAAAGTACGAACGATGGCAAAGGATAAAGATTCACGCAGTTTCTGACAATTTCCGGAAGTTTCTGAGAGCATTAAGCAGCTTCTGGCAGCTTCGGGTGGCTTCAGTATCTTCAGTATTGCTTTGAGTAGAGAATAAGATCCCCAGACAGTGGATTTTTGGGATTAAATGGTGTTATTTTTGCTTTAGCTGAGATTTATACTCGCCCCCTCCACCCCCCCCCCACCCCCCAAACAGCTGAACAAGTCAGCCGTGCTTAGGAAGGCCATCGACTACATCCGCTTCCTCCAGCAGTCCAACCAGAAGCTGAAGCAGGAGAACATGGCCCTGAAGATGGCCTCCCAGAAGAACAGTGAGTGCGGCCGTACGTCGCCCCCACCACCCCCGCCATCCATGCCCCGCGTCCGCCTGGGATTGTTGACCTCTCCTCTCACCCCCCTCCCCGTCTGCAGTGTCCCTCAAAGGCCTGGTGGCCATGGAGGTGGACGACCCGCCGTGCAGCGTGAAGAGCGAGATGCCCACACCCCCGCCCTCAGACGTGGGCTCGCCTAGGGACAGCAGCCCCTTCTCCCACTGCAGCAGTGACTCGGAGCCCGACAGCCCCATGGGGGATGAGACCAAGGTGCCCGCCCCCCCCCGAGAAAGCATCATGAAAAAAGCTGCTAGTTCAAATCCCAGAATTTGCCTTTGAACCTTTGCACCAGCAACCTGAACTGGTTCACTAAGGGTGCTTTTCCAACACACCAGGCACCGTACTTTTGGTACTTACCCTTTTCCACTGACTTCTGGACCAAAGGTTCCAGTACCTAAAGTGCCAAACCAGCTGGGGTACTTCTTTGGTACTTCGGTACTTTGTGGTGGGACTTGAAATACTGTCTTTGTTGATTGGTTAAGCAAATAGCATGCCTCTAAAACAATACAACCACCGTCTTGAAAAACGTCAGAGACCAAGTAAAAAGTAGTAAGTAAAAAAATCTAAATGTAATAACAATGGTTGCACGGACAAATGAAAGACCCAAGCTTAAACTGCGATCTGGTCGGGAAGAACAGATACAGCACGATCAGGCTGGCATGACAAGAAATAAAGTATTTTGTATGATATACAAGGACAATGATTATGATTCTCGGAGAACGCATGCAGCACTCATGCAAAAGCAGTGGAGGTGAACTTTAAACTGATTTTACATATACTAGATAGTGTTGAAAAGGAATAATCATTAAAATTGCAAAACTTGCCGTTTTTCCTATGAAAATGAGTGAAGCTTAAACTCCCTGCGCTGTAATGTCTGGGCAAAAAAAAAACAAAAAAACAAAAGCCTGATCTTAATAGAGCTGACTAGCAATGTAAGAATCGGATGTGCATAACATGTGATGTCAGTATTAATATCGTACATCATCCAGCCTTATAATATACTACAGCAATTTTTTTTATTTAGTACGGAATACCCCCATCTCATTTTGTGAAGTCATTTGGCGCCGGTACCAGTTTTTACACCAGTGGAAAACTGGTACTTCAGAACCTTGAAGTACCAAAAGGACGGTACCTGGTGTGGTGAGAGACTCAAATGAAGAACTGTTTGTACACTGGGAAATATCATGGTTCAATTAGTTGATGACCTTATATGCTCCGTTTCTGAACCCATCAGGTGCCGGTGAAGCCGGACGCCGCCCCCCCGGCCGGCGGAGGCATGCTTGACCGCTCTCGGATGGCCCTTTGCACCTTCACCTTCCTCTTCCTGTCCCTGAACCCGTTGGCTTCCCTGTTCTATGGGGGGGTGGCCACCAGGGGCACCCCAGGATCTGCTGAGCATGCTGGGAGCGGTCGGGTCATTCTGGGCCATCTCGAAGGTGTGGAGGACCCTGCTGTGATGGATGGATGGATGGATAGATTAAATAGATAGATGAATGGATGTGCAGCATGGCACATTTAGCTGCTGGGGCTTCATTTGAAGTGGAGATGGACCCTGCTCTCTACAAAATGCCCCCCCCCTCACTCTGTCCTGCGCCCCGCAGTGGAGACGGCCAGCTGGCTCGACTGGATGCTGCCCACCCTGTCCGTCTGGCTCCTGAACGTGGTTCTGCTGGCACTCGTCCTGATCCGACTGCTGGTGTATGGCGAACCAGTGACCAGGCCCCACTCAAGCTCTTCTGTGCTTTTCTGGAGGCACCGCAAGCAGGCCGACCTGGACCTGGCCCGGGTAAGGGGTGCTCAGGCCCGTGTAAGGGGTGCCCAGGCCCGGGTAAGGGGTGCTCAGGCCCGGTAGGGCGGGAGCCGCTTGTACGCCCCAGTCTGGTGCATCTTGGTACACGCAAGGCGCCTGTAATCGTACCACGAGGCCATGCTTCTGATGAGATTAGTGCTAATTAATCCTCCGAAATCCTAAATCCCGCACTCTCCCTTTCTGACTGGCTTCCTGGCCGCTGTCCCTCGTTCCTGTAGAATCAGGCCTAATATTGTAGCTGCTTCCTCCGCAGTTTTGCTGTCTTTCCTTTGCTCTTCCTCTCCCACCTCCTCCCACTCAGCCCCCCCATTCCTGTCCTCCTTCAGCCTGTCCTACGTCAGTCATCTATCCTGCTTGTTTCTTTTCCAGAAACCTTTGCAGTTGCTCACGCCTCCACTCTCTGATTCTGACTCCTCTCTGCCTCTCACTCTGTCTCTCTTTGCCTCTGGTTCCATCCTCTCTCTGCCTCTTTCCTCTCTGCCTGAGTCTGTGCTCTCTCTGCCTTCTCTCTGCCTCTGATTCTGCCCTCTCTCTGCCTCTGATTCTACCCTCTCTCTGCCTCTGATTCCGTCCTCTCTCTGCCTCTGACTCTGTTTTCTCTTCTCCTCCCTCTGCTCAGGGTGACTTTGCCCAGGCCTCCCAGAACCTGTGGACCTGCCTGAAGGCTCTGGGCCGGCCCCTACCCACCTCCCAGCTGGACCTGGCCTGTGCAGCCTTGTGGGCGGCACTGCGCCTCTTCTTGCAGCGCCTGTGGGTGGGCCGCTGGCTGGTGGGTAGGGCTGGTTGCCTGCGTTCGGATCGCCCCCTTCAGGAGGATGCCCGCAAGAGCAGCCGCGACGGCGCCCTGGTCTACCACCGGCTACATCAGCTGCACATGACTGGTGAGTCTGGTATTAATACACAGTGTGTGCGGTGACTGCATGCTGCCCCGGGGACTGGGGTCGGTTTTTCGATGACAGTAATGTCACATAAAGGAAGTTTGTGGCTGTGAATAGGCACAGAAATGCACTTTTTTTATTTAGATTGTGACTCATTGCACGTCCAGGATAGTTATTATATAAATGTGGTGCCCTGCTTGTGCACTAATGGGACACATTTTAGTGTCACCACTGGGGGGGCACCACGAGTCGACACTCTCGCGATGTGCTAGTGTGTTAGCAGTAACGCTAAATGCTAGGTTCTTCACGGATGGATGGTGAGCGGTTTTGACGGGAGGTGATGGAATCGGGTAAGATCTGAAGCCACGCCCTTCCCCCCTCCCCCCCCCCCCCCCCCCCCACGTAGGCAAGCTGGGCGGCAGCCACCTGTCGGCGATCCACATGGCTCTGAGCGCGGTGAATCTGGCGGAGTGCGCTGGCGACTGCTTGCCCGTGGCCACGCTGGCCGAGGTGTATGTGTCGGCCGCACTGCGTATCAAGGCCGGCCTGCCGAGGGCACTGCACTTCACTGCGGTGAGTCACAGCTGGGCCTCACCCTGGATTATGTCCCCTCGTCATTTTTATCCCTAAAGGCATTACCGTGTTGTGCAGGTGTATGTTTTAATGTTCCTACCCAAGTAACCATGACCCTAGAGCAGTAGCATGCTGTCACACGTGGCGCCCCCTTCTGGCAGGGCTTAGCACTAGCGGCTAAATGCTAACAGTTGGTGGTGGCATGTCTCCCCGTAGAGGCTGTTCCTGAGCAGTGCCCGGCAGGCCTGCCTCTCCCCCAGTGGCAGCGTCCCCCCCGCCATGCAGTGGCTCTGCCACCCTCTGGGCCACCGTTTCTTCGTGGACGGCGATTGGACCGTGCGCAGCACCCCCAAGGAGAGCATCTACAGCCAGGCCGGCAACACGGGTCCGAACCTGTTATCTCATTCTCCATGGGCTTGGGTCAGGGGCGTTTTCTTGTTTCTAGGCCCCCTCTCCCGCTAGTGTAGTGACTGCCAGGGGCCAGGAGGGGGAGCCCAAACTTCGGGGGCCATACACAAATGCGTTATCTGGACACGGTAACGGAAGATCTCTGTCATCAGCGAGCATTGCCGGTTTGCAAGCAGAACCATCTCGCCCAGTCAGGGATTTACTGATTACATAACAGCCATGTGGGGGTGGTGTGGAGGCTCATTCCGAGCCGATGCATGGTGAGGCGGCCTCCCTGGGCCATGAGGAGCAGATGCTTATCTCTGTCGCTTCATTCCCGCAGTCGACCCGTTGGCCCAAGTGACCCAGGCATTCCGGGAGCACCTGCTGGAGAAGGCGCTGTACTGCGTGGCTCAGCCGCAGGGGGAGTCGACGGCCAGTAGCAGTGAGGGGTGAGGATTCCCCGTCATTTCCATGGCGAGCCCCGCCACCCCCCACCCCCCACCCCCTGCTATAATGACCACCCCCCCGCGCTCCTGCTGCCCCCGACAGAGACTATGCTGACGCCCTAGAGTACCTCCAGCTACTGACCAGCTCCTCAGACGCCGCCGGGGCCACGACGCAGTCCTTCGCTGTGGGGTCCAACATGGCCACCGTCACCGGTAAGGGCCGCTCTGAGGTCACAGAGAACATTCCAGAATGTTATCAGACCTTTTTTGTTATTTTAGTAGCGTGGTGATTCTAAATGATGGCAGGCTGACCGGATGATCTCTGACCCCTCTCCCCCTCCCCCAGGCTGTGACCCGCACTCCAAATGGTGGTCCCAAGTTGTGGTGGTCATGATAAACTGGCTGCAGGGTGACGACGGCGCCGCCGAGAGGCTGTACCCGGCGGTGGAGCACCTGCCCAAGAGTCTGCAGGCTGCGGAGTGAGTGAGCGGGCTGGGCTGCCGTGGCTGGGCTGCTGTGGCTGGGCTGCCGTGGCTGGGCTGCTGTGGCTGGGCTGCCGTGGCTGGGCTGCTGTGGCTGGGCTGCCGTGGCTGGGCTGCCGTGGCTGGGCTGTTGTGGCCGCTCTGGGTCGCCCAGCATGGGGTTCTACGACCCATTCATTTAATGACACTGTCCCCCGGTGTGTCCCGGCGTATCGTCTCGTCCCTGATGGCTTTTTCCGCTTCCCGTGTTCAGGAGCCCCTTGCCCAGAGCTGCTCTCAGTGTGTTCCGAGCAGTGCGCGCCCTGCTGGCCAAACCAGAGAACTATCAGCTGAGCCTCAGCCACGGTGAGAGGGCCAGTTGCCTGCTCAGGGACAGCCTGCACTTGGGCCCCCACTGTCACAGCAACAACATCGAGAAGGTAACCATGACAACCCCCCCCCTCCCCCCGCAGTTAATGTCAAAGCGGCAGCGTCGAAAATGACCCACGACGTCCCGCGTGCCAGCTGCGTGCTTTCCTGGCCAGTGCTGTGGTGCATTGTAGTTGCATTGCATGTGTCTGCCTTTGTGCAATGTCACTGCAGTGCAACACAGCACTGAGCCGCCCCGCCGTCCCAGGTACCCAACCCCCCCTCACCCTCACTGCGCTCTGCATCACGTAACCTTCCATCTGCCTGTCGGTGGGGGGGGAGACGGACTGTACAGCTCTTAATAGAATCACAGCAATTTATTCATTACTTTTTTGGGGGGAATAAGCTTGCACTATAAAATGCTTTATTCGCAGCCATTCCTTTTGTAGGAATCACCCTATTGCTTTATGTACAACTGCTGAGTGACACATATGGTAATAACTGCAAGGGATGAATTAAGAGGAGGGGTGTGTCCGTATGCCCCTCCCCTTGCAGGCTCTGCAGCTGCTCCTGTGTGACCTCCTCCTGGTGACCCGCACCAACGTGTGGCGCCAGCAGCAGTGTGCAGTGGCCAGTGCCCAGCAGCAGGGGGCGGTGCAGGCCTCGGCGTTGGAGCTGCACGGCTTCCAGCAGGACCTGAGCTCACTGAGGAAGCTGGCGCAGAGCTTCCGGCCGGCCATGCGCAGGGTGAGGTGTTGCGGGGGGGGGGGGGGTTGTGGTTTGTGTCGAATTAAATGATGATATAAGTATGAAGGAACAGCTTAGTGGTCCCAAACTACATATTATATTACATTATTTTTGTGTAGCTGATCATAGTGACATACTTTTTTTTTGAGAAAGCAGGGTTGCGCAGTCCCTGTAGAAATTGGGGGTTAGGGGCCTTGCTCAAGGGCCCAACAGTGACATCACTCTGCTGACCACGGGTCATTTAATCCGGCAGCCTTCCTGTAATAGGGGCAGGGGTATTGGTGCGTTCGATTATTTCTCTCCAAGTCGGAACTCGGATGAAAACGTCACGAAACGTCACGAAAAACGTCACTTCCCGTCGGAAACACGCCCCTTTTATGACGTTGAAGTCGGACCAGATTTTGTTGCCCGAGTTGCCCCTGTGACGTAATTTCAACATGGCGACTTGGTTTGTTTGTAGTTTGTTTACCGATCGAAAAAAGAATATCGTTTGCATGTACTAAAATATTTTATAAAGCTTTTAATGTGGTTTGACTGGTTCGTGTTTCTTGTTTGTCTCTCGGAAAAATCTCCATTTCTCCATTTTCTCCATTTGGAAAACTCCAAATCTGCTAAAATATAAAGCAACAACACACAGCAACGTGTTCATGGAGGCAGCCATGTTTGTTCCGAGATGTGGGTAGCTCGAACGGGAGATTGTCGGACGTGATGTCACTCAACTCGGAATTTCCGAGTTCCGAGAGAAAAACGAATGCACCATTTATACAGTGGTGGGGCCCCAGCTGAAAGCTGATTGGCCCCCAGAGTGCCCCTCCCCCCCCAGCACTCACTGATTCAAAACACATCATTGGCTAATGATAAGGTTGGCCCCGTCATATGAATTATGGCCCCTTGAACGCTCCCCACCTTAAATGAAATCCTAGAGTCGCCCTAGGCAGATTCGAGTGGACTGCTGATGGTACGTAGCCTAGCTGACGGGCGACCCTGTTCTCCACACCCGCAGCTGTTCCTGCACGAGGCCACTGCGCGCCTGATGGCGGGGGCCAGCCCCACGCGCACCCACCAGCTCCTAGACCGCAGCCTGAGGAGACGGGTCACCCCGGGGGCCAGGACAGGTGAGGAGGGGCCTGCAGCTGGGAAGGGGGCATCTGCCACACGCATGCACAAAGTCGTTTGGAGGGAATGACCCCTACCGGGAGCAATTTCTGGAAAACAGACGTTGTGGGACCCCCCCATCACTAAAGCTGTATTTTGTGCCAAAAGCTTAAAAAAATTAAAGCTAAACCATTTGGTGTTGGAAATAGTGATGTCATGAGATCGGGGTGAGAGGGAGGATGCTAACATGTGTCTGTGTTTGTTCGCCTGTCAGCAGAGGAGAGTGAGACCCGCCCGGGGCGGCGGGAACAGGCGGAGGCGGTGATGCTGGCCTGCCGCTACCTGCCCCCGTCCTTCCTGTCGGCGCCGGGGCAGCGCGTGGGCATGCTGGCGGACGCCGCCCGCACCCTGGAGAAGCTGGGCGACAAGCGCACCCTCCACGACTGCCAGCAGATGATCATCAGGCTAGGCAGCGGCACCACTGTGACATCCACCTAGAACCTCGCATGGACGGACACACACACACACACACACACACACACACACCTGCGTTCCGATACGGTCTCTCCCTCGCACACCTTTCTTTCTATATGCAAATGAGCTTCAGGAACAAATCCCCCCTCACCCACACAACCCCACCCCCATCAAACTGGAGGAGTGATGCTTTGAAATTCCTTTGTCCATGACACGGATCACTTGATCCTATCAAGTGAGTCCAAACAAACAGTCCAGTGATCATTTGTCTATGTTGCAAGTCACCCTCCCCCCAAGTCGACGTGAAATGGAGCTTCCCGATCGCAGCGTGCCCGTCTTACCCGAGGCTCCTGGTTCCGTACAACAACAGCGGGTGCTCAGAGTGTTCTGGGCCGGCTGAGCGTCTCGGGGTCGCAGGTACCTTTGCAGATCACAACACGGCTTGAGTGCTGGGGGGGCGAGGGGCAGCGAGAACCGCCATGCCGCCGCTGTGGGTGGCTGCGGAAGAGGCCGTTTGACTAACTGAGCTGAATACTGATCACTTTCATTCCATGGCATTTCACTGTTTTTTTATTTTTATTTCTAGCAAGTTGCAGTAGAGTCGCGTTAAACTTTGTTCACTGATATATATCATACATGGATGTGGGCTTGCTGTTTTCTAGCCTTCCTTTAAACCATGTAGTTACATTTAGCTGGCTACAGCGTGATATAAATGCATCGTGTTTTCCTCCGTTCTGCAAATCTTCCGGAAAGCGCCAAACTGAAACCGCTGCCCTGAAGTTAGCGACCTGCGTTAATACAGTTGCTACGTGGAAACAATTCAGATTAAAACAATCAGCACATACACTCGCTCGCTAAAGCTCACACGTATTGGGGAGACGCAGGAGCTGTTTGAAATTTGTGCCATTTCGGTTTAATGCCTGCTATATCGGCTAGGGAGCTACTTCATAAAGTCGCGATTGGCTATAGCTTTGACTTGTCGACGTATTAGGCTCAGGCGACATGGTTTTCCATTAGCATAAAGTTTACAGATACAAACCTCTTGCTACCCTAGTGAACGATATTGCTGTCATCGTTAATACACAGTTTTGGTCTCTGTGTGGCATGATGGAATCACCAGCTGTGGATTTGCAGAAACAGTATTCCCAGCATGCAGTGGGGGTAACGTGGTCATCAGCCTTTTTTTCCTACGGGAAAGTATTGAGCTTTATTGCTGAATTAATCAGGTCACGTATGTTTTTCGTCTGTACGTGGAATAAACATACATATTACTGCATGTGTTGTGGGAAGCTTAGTGGGGTGTATTTGTCCCTCGCGCTACTTTTCAGATTCAAAATTGATTACAGGCGCAGGCCCCCCCAGACGGTCATTAGAATGCACTAACAGGGATGTCCTCAGCTCTGTCCTGTGACTGTCACACGTCATACATGGTAACCACCTCAGAGGTCAGAGGTCACGTTTTATGAATAGCTAAAAATAGCTAGAAATAATAACGTTATTAAAAATAATAATAATAACAAGCTTTTCTTAAGCTTGTTTTCTGCTGCAGGTGTGATAATTTATTTTTATTTATAGTCCCTCGAAATTAATTTATTTTTCTTTGAACGTGCACTGCAGTAACAAAGCCCACATTAAGTGTCTTACAGAGAATGGTGTTTAGACTGGCAGCATCCCTTTTTCCTAAATTCTAATAGCGTTCCATCGTCACTTTTACTTCAGGATTGTTGTCTTGCGCTCTGTCTGATTTGGTTGTGCTGCTGTTAACTGGGTGACAGTGTTCTATGTTGTTCTGTATAGATCTAACCTGCACTACTCAGACTGGGCTTAATATTTTCAAATGAGAAAGGCTTTATTACGGTATTTTTTTCTGACACTTTGATATGCTTTCATTGTAAATATTTAAATAGTATATTTATCGATTGTGTAAAGATTGCGTGATCAGCATTTTTCATTTATATTGATTTATACTGTTATTCCTCTCCCCCCCCCCAAACCCCCATTCCAGCCCCTTGCATTGGAGGGGTTTCCTCTTAAGAAGTGTGTGGTAGGTGAGACTGAGCATGTGCAGAGAGCTCCAGTCAGAAAGTGGCATCTGTCTAGAGAAGCAGAAAGCCCCCAACCTCAGCATATACGTGACAGTATTCCCATTGAACTCCCATTGTACAGTTTCCTGGTGCGGCACTCAGGTGATGCCAAAATTACCTTAAAACAGCATTTTTTCCAGCACTTAGTCGCACGCGGTGTCCTCGCATTGTTACGGTGATGACATCGGTAGTGCTTGGGGCTCAGCAGCGGCCTTACAAGAATGTTACACATGCATCATAGGCAAGAGGGCTGTGAGCTTTACCGTAAAGACATTCTGACACACTCGGAAAGAGAACGACCGTGTCGTCTTCAGAGTTTTCCATGCGTGAGGACTGTGTCGGAAATCAGGTGTTTAATCTGGAGCATATTGCCTGTGGATAGTTACGCAAATGATTGCCTAATTACATTGTAAAATTCTAAGCAAATAAAGCAATGAACTGGCATACGTTGAATGCTGGGAATGGGTGACTGATGAAGGGGTATTAACAGATGAGGTCGTCTTATGTCGATGCTCAACTTGTACTGCTGGCTGCAGGCGCAGTTTTTGCAGGGTCATTGAAATCCCTGATCTGCTCATAGCCTTTCTGCCTGTTAGGTATTTGATCTGATTTCAAGACAAAATTTTACGAACAGCTGTGCATTTGGCCCAGCTTGAAAAACCAGTCTGTAGTGAGTGTGAACATATCAAAGAGGTAGAATTCTTTTTTTTTAACTAAGATGTTCTGTCAGACTGTATGCTCATTGATTTCACTTTAAGAATGTAAATAAAATTAAAATTTTGTAACCTGGTCTTTTTTGACGTGCTTTCTCATGACAGAGGATTTCAAGAAGGTGGGAGGTATATGTATCCATATGTAATAGAAATATACAATTATAACAATAGTTTTTATACTTAATTATCTTATTTATCAATAATACAGTATTAATGATAGTCATGTCCGTATAATTTCATACAACTTGAAATAATTGTGGTTATATTGCAGTACGATTAACTAGAATGTTAATTCTGTATTGATAAAGAATCAACTATAACAATAAATGGTTCAAGTGACAGTGTTGAGATTTACAAGAGATTCAAAAACAGGAACCTGTTCCCATTCAAATGGAATTTTGTATTGGTGCTGACAAGTGCTTACATTTTGTATTATTTACAGAATCGTTAAAAAAAACTGTCTACCTTTTAGATAGCATTCCCACCCTAGACAAGTAACATTCCAAAAAACACTTTAAGTCGTTCTTTTAATAACATTTTATAGGCAATTAACATATTTATTTATATAAAATAAACATCTCTAAGAAATACTATACACAATTATTTAAGTACATCACATTTAAACATTGTTCAATACTTATGTACACCATTAAGTAATAATTATATTAAAGAATCATTATAAGAATCGTTTGGTGCGATGTCCACGTTGCCTGTATGTTCTCTATATAATCTGTTACAAATTTAACCTAAATGAGATCATTGCAGTACATTGAACGGGCTACGTTGTATGTATTCGCCATTAATTATTTCGAGTTGCTTGAGCTGCGTCTCCATCCCGTTCTGTCACTGGGTCGCGACACGTGCACTCTCCACTGTCGGCTCGCGGTCGCTCTCAGGGTGAGCCCGCGGAATATGAGCGGTCTCGAGCTCCAGTTGAAAGGCGCACGCGGCGCAGCATGGAGGAGCCGCTCGCGAGCTCATTTGTGCAGCAAGCACGAGGTCCAGCGCCGTTCTCCCAGTGATGCGCTCGTTTCTCTCGTCGACTCCCACAGTTAAGATCACACATATTCGCGTTGCTGAACTCGGTGAAACTCAACAGCTTGAAATGATAAAGCTGAACAGATACCGATGATTCAAATGTGGCATATATTTAAAATGCACATCAAAATACATCATGGAAGAGCATTATATTAAAATACATTTTATGTCAGAATATTTACCCCCGGAAAGCACACCATATACATTGTTAAGACGTAAGCGTACATGTTGAATCCGAACGCATTTGAACACATTTCAATGTAACAGTTCTGACAACTGCAGAATTTGGTACCGAGTGTCTTGGTAGGCCTTCGTAGTCCGTAGATGAACCAATGGCCCCTCAATCAAAATGGCAGACAGTTTTTACTACAGCACATCCAACTGCCATTTGACATTTTACGGTAGATCAAATATACCGTGGTAACGATGTTTTCTTCAGCCTGCCTACTTCGTTAAAGGAGCTTAAGTGCTGATTTCTAAGGGAAAAAAACCGTGAAAAACTGAAATACCCGGTATCATAAGGATGCTGTACAGTTCTGCCTTTTTGTCCAGCGTCAGTATTGCTGCAGTTTTGCTACACAACACCCTCCCCTTTTCAGTTTGTATGCGGCGCGCTCCGCTTTAATCCATTTTGACTTAACAGCACTGGGACACGTCTGTGCGCTGCATAGGAGGTCTTCAGAAGATGGGCTGGCTCTCAAGCGGACTGAAAAACAAAGCACAGGAACGATTCTCGAGCGTGTTAGGGAAGAACGTCTGCTCTAACAGTGGCATGCACAAAGACAGGAGCATCTGAGTGTAAACATACACATACACGCGGTCTAGTACATCTGCAGGGCAGGATTCGAGCTGCCAGGTCTTCAATGTGCAGTTCTGCTTCAGCGTCTGCTTTTAATTGGCTGCACTCTATGGTGGGTCTCCTTGCAGGGACGAGGGATGCACTGGGCAAAACATTGCAGCTGGCAAGACAGCTCCCCTTGCAGAGAGACACACCAGAAACGTCCTCCAGTAGCTTCGTTATTAAAATCATTTTCTGAGTATAAATATTTATGTTTTCTTTTTTCGTTGCTTTCACGACACGGCACATTTTTACTTCCATCCGAAACACGGTGGGATACAACAGCGCTCTTTTCAAGACACCTACGCGATTCCCAAAGCAGGGAAACGTACCTTAACGCCCTTGTGCTTTCGACTTATTATAAAGGACGCTCGGTAACGCCGCCGTTTGCGCGCCGTACCTCCCACTGTAACCTTGTTGGTGTCAAAGGGAAAGAAAAGAAAAAAGATGCAGCTTAAGAGCCCCAAATGGAGGCGGCATCCGTACTCCCTCCACCTTTTGATTAAGGCTGCAAATTGGCATCGCTGAGACCGAAGCCTTAGATCCTCGGGTCGGCGTGCACCCTGTCTGTTCTGGGTGCTCATTATTTGGGAAGCAAGGGTAGGGGGCTTTATTGATCAATGACAAGTTTTAGCGGATCTCTGTGTTAGGAAGGCTGTTGCTACTAGTGACGCGTAACCCACCCGCTTTTTAGGTTCTGCTTTTTCTCAATAAAGATTCCCCGAACAATCAGTAGATGGCGACCGAAGCAACCGTAAGAACCCAGCAGGACAGAGGAAATATGGATGCCAGCAATGATGCTTTCCGCGGCTAAGATATGTTTAGTAATACTTCGAACATTTACTATGGTAGTGAATAAGCTGGTAATGACAGTCATGTTTTGTATCATAGCCATTTTAAGGGCGAAAAACGAAATTCCATTATTTGAAGGGTTGTTTTGTTTTTTGTTTTTTTTTGGGGGGGGGGTACCTTTAACAAGTATATAACCCCATTGGCTTTGGTGTGAGTTATTCAGTAAGGGTTTGTTTGCGATGCTTCCTTACGCTTATCGATATTGCGTTTTGCGTTGTTTGTATATGATTTTCCCGCAAGCCGCAACAGACAAGCGTCGCGGCGCACAGAAGCCGCCCCTTTTCTATCGGAGCATGGCGTTAACACGAGTGCCAGCACAAGATACAGCAGTCAATAACTGCAATTGGCTGTTTTCCCGGAAGATCATATCAAAGCAACCTCATGTGTCGCTTGGTTTGGGTTTGGGGGACTTAAGGAAGAGTTTTTACCTTGTGTTTTGTACATTTCATCGAAAAGTTGTCTTCTTGCAACAAGCAACCTGAGATGACAAGAAGTAAAAGGTACGGTTTAAATAGAAATTAAACAAGGATGCAATAATCCTTGATTACATCATATTAATAATATAAGCCAGTCTTGAGTATCATTAATGTTACACTTTACTGTTATTCAGTAGTTAAAAGAGATGGTGATGAATTTAGAGGCACGTTTCAGCTTTGCGTGGGCACTGCGTAATTGGGGCAGGGGTTCCGCACAAACATGTGCACATAAATTCTCTCTCTCTCTCACACACACACACACACACACACACACAGACCAAGCGAAGGGCCTCACCCGTCTCTTTGGCACAGACGAAGTGGAACTTCTGAGGACAGCCTTTCCGGCAGCAGCTGACGGACGCGCCCACGTTCTGGCAAAGCGAGCACGGCTGCGCGGTGAGAGAAGAGAGCGCAGCTGAGCGACACCCGTGAAGCCATTTCCACCCCCTAGCTTAAACGCGCTGGCCCGCTAGCGGGTCGAATCTCCCCGAAATACAGAAAATCCATCCGCATTAATGTGTGTTTTTCATATTGTAACATAAAGGGCCTGTTCGATATGGCATTCGAAACAATACTAACATGCTGTAAGTCTCTAACGAATGGCAACTTTTTTGTTGAAGTACGAATTTCATACACCTTAGGGAGTAGATTTTCATACAGTAACGATTATGCAAGATTTTAAATATTATGTGTAAACGAACAAGCTATTTATGCATATGTAATGTATTATTGTTCATAGCATTACTTGTACAATGTATATTGAAATGTATATGTAACACATGTTGGGGGTGGTTTATGCTTGCATCTCACGAAGCTAATCCTCAACAGTGCTGACAAGGGAGTTCACTGAGGGGGGCATTTACTGTTTGAGCTGCAGCTTGAGCAGCCTCCTTCAGGCCATACAACTTTCCCGCAACCAGAACCACGCCATTAGTCCAGACGATGCAAGCCTCGTGTGCCCAGTGCTCCTTTGCCTCTGCCTCCAGCTGTATCCTCCGTAGCAGGACGTTGTCGCCGTCCCCGGGTCTCCTTTCGTAGCTCTGGAGCCGCTGTAGCTTTCGGTACTGCTCCCGAAAGCTAGGCCGTGGCGTGCCACTCCCCCACGGAAGCCCCTCTGCCCTCCTGGTCAGCCCGGACTGGAGCCCGCGGCTGCCCCAGCAGCTAAAGCCACTCACAGCCTCTCTCATTGGAGGGCTTCTTGGCACAGCGCTGTAGCTCATTTTCTCTCTGTCATCCGTGGACTCCAATTTGTGTCTGAGAGACAGAGTCTTCCTTGGTATGCTGTCCTCAGGGTAATATGGCCCACAGAGGTCCCCGAGCTCTCTGTAATTTGCTGGCTTTCCACACAGGCAACAAGTTAGACACCTGTCAGTTAGGTTTTTATTGACTAAGGGCCCCTGCAGCATGACTGAGGAGTTCGGTATTGCCTTGGCAACAGTAACCGAGTTCTTTATTTTGGCAGAGTTCTTTTTCATGGTTTGAAGAAGAAGCAGTTCTTCCTCAGGCCTGTTGACAATGGTACAAAGGGAAGCAAAGTTTCTTGAGCTGTCAATGTGAACGTATGGGCTGAAAAAGGGCCTGCTTTCATTTTTCTGAGTCTTATACAAGATGTATTTTAAAGTCATCTCTGGCTGATTCTCCTGCACCACTGGAGAGTTTTGCTCCATCTGCCTTGCCTTAGTTCTTCGTCCCATTTCTGTTGGTTTCCCTGGTTTTGAAGTCTTTTTATTCCTCCTTTTGGGCCCTGATTTTTTGATAATGTTTTGCTTTTTGCTGTTGTCTTTGCCCAGCACTTTTGCCAGGTTCTTCCTTGCAGGGGGTATCTTGCGTTTTCCCCTTTTGCATGCGCCGACTGCTGTGATTGCCTGCGAGCTGCCTGTCAGGTCCCCCGTGTAGTCGGGCACTACAGAGGCAGGGTGCGGTCCATGCCGCTCTGTGCTGGTCACACTCTCAGGGAGAATGGGGCCTTTCCTCCTTTTCCTCCTCTGCTTCAGGTGCATCTCATAGTTGTTCTTAATTGCTCGCTGTTTTGCTAGCCTAGGTGTGTTGACAGTGGGGCTGTTGGCTTCTGCCACTACTCTGGTTTCCGCCACTACCCCAGCGTCTCTTGCCATCCTGACTTCCTCCTCATTCTCGGTGGATATCCCTTTCCTCCTCCTGATAGTGGCTTTGGCACAGTCGGTATCCGGCATTGGAACAATGCGCCACATGTTGCTGTCCTCTGGCATCACCTCTGGGGGCTTTTCCATCTCCTTTGGCACTAGATCTTGCTGTGTCATCTTTGAGGTCACTTCCATAGGAGTGTTCTCAGCTTGAGAAAACGGAACATGTTTTTTCGACCCCGGGGATGTGATTTTTTGTACCATTGCCTCATACTTTAGACCTCTGCCTTTCCTTGGTGGTAGATACTTTGTTTTTGTCAGACACTGAGGAGGAGTAGAGTGGATCTCACCTGTACTGCTAACAATAGGTATGTCTTTTGTAAGGCAGCTGCTCGGAGATGCTTGAAGGTGCTCCACCTGCTTAAGCTTCTTCTTAGGGCCTTTCATGGTCATCAGTGTAGCTGGCAGATGAAGCTCCTTTGACTCAGGTGTGCCTGGTTTCATCCCTTTGTGTTTTTTTAATGGGATGCTTGAATGGAAGCTTGATTTTCTTTTGTTGAGGGATACAGTCTTCTCATCAGGGTAGGTAGTCAAGGTTCTGTAAGATTTCGGTGCACTGGCTTGGTTTTGCTTTGGGCTTAGGCAACCATCATCATTCAGCAACGTGTCTTTTGGTCTCTTAGGTTCCTTCATCTTCTTGGGAAGGTGGCACAGTATCTTTTTCTCTTTTCTCTTTTCTTTAAGTGGGTTCTCCTGCGCGGATTTCCGGGACCTAAGTACCATTGGCTTCTGGTCTTTTGTCAGGGGGGGTAACTGTGAAGCAGTGTCCTGGTTGTCATCCTGTTGACTGCTCCCCGTTAAGCTTCCCATGTAGCTTGCTTCATCCGTAGTCGTGTGCTCTGGGCCTTTTTGCCTCATCCACTTGATCTTAGTGACTAAGTCCTTGGGGAGACCAGGGGATTCCGAAGCTGTTCTCTCTGGGATCTTTGGTCCCAGTTGCCTTTTTAAGTGGTGGCAGTCTTTGGGAGCAGCCAAAGCAGTAACAGAACGGGTACACATCCTGGATGGGAAGTTTTCTGCAAACCGCTTGGGTGTTTGGCTGGAATTTGGCTGATCTGGGAAAAGCCCACTTTCGGTACATGGCAGAGTGTTTGTCTGGGGAGAGGCTGTAACCCCTTCTGCCTCCATTCCGGGGTGCCTTCTTATTCGGCCTCCTGCTTCTATCCGTCTTGTTGCCTGGCTTCTCCTTCCCCGTCCAAGTTTTCTGTTGAGTACCCTGATGTTTGCCAGAGGGGCCACTGGCTCAGACTTCGTGGAGGGCGTCACTGCACTTGGACTGCTTATTCCTGGCTCTATGTCTTCATCGCCTTTTTTCGGGGAAGGTGGGGTGTCGGCCCAGGAAGGCGCTGAGTGCAGGATGGACTTGCCGGGCAACTGGGGGGAGTCGGGCTCTAGCACCTCTGCATCGCGACGGTCAATGTGCTCCCTGGCTTGACTTGGAGGCGTGGCCCTTTCCACAAGGGCAGAGAAAGCTGTTTTTACGGAGTGTGAGGGGGACACAGAATCACGAGCGACTGACCTCCTTTCAGCTCTGGTGAGCACTGCGTCTTGCGTCGCGTTCTCTGTGTTCACTGGAGGTTTGTCTCCATGTTCCTCAGCCAGATGGCAGAAGTCTCCAGACTCCCGTGACCATATTGTATTATTAATGACCTCCTCAGAGGGTAGAAGAGTCTCCTTCTCCTTTCTCACTTCAGCGGGCTGATGGGAGAGGACAGAGGGCTGCGCTTCAAGAGCCTCCCGTGTCTCCTTCTCGACAGTTAAAAGCCTCTCTTCTAAAAGCTCACTCCTGGTGGTAAATTGCGGGAGCTCTGAGTTGTCCTCTTTCACGGTGAAATATTGATCTTGTACAAGGTCATCTCTCCAGAAGAATGACATTGTTTTTTCTGGCATGTCAGAATCGGTGGGCATCTCTGACCTGTACATTTCCGACTTCATCAATATTTCGCCATCATCTGTGTCTCCTTTGTGGGTTAGGTGGGAAACGCCGTCTGACTTTTCAGCAGAATCCTCTCTGGCTAGATAGTACTGGTTTGATTTGTTCTCCATGTCGTTGTGATATTTTTTTTCAGCCAGAGCTTTGCTTACAGTATGAAACAAAGCCTGACATTTGTCCTCCTCAGGCCATTTTTGCTCAGTCTTCTGTGCCTCCTGCACACTTGCTTGAGAGACCCCAGTCTTGTTGTTGTAGTCGGTGATGGCAGTTTCCTTCATCGCCCTGTTTTCATCAGTTTGCTTCTCTGACCAAGCTAACTCCTCAAAGTTCTCCTTTAGCGGGTCCTCTTGACCCTGCCTATCTGGTGGGGAATTCTGCCCCGCTTCCTGTGGGCTGGGAGTGACAGTGCTTTGAGGTGACTTCTCCGCTGTGTTTGTCAGTGAGGCGTTGACACTTTCTTGGGCTGGTGTGCTTTGCAGCCACGGGAGAGCATTTAGATTATCTCCGGTCTGGGCACTCTGCAAGCTGGGAATGCAGTCCTCTGGCTTGGACATGTCATTAGGTGATGTTAGCGAGCAGGAGGACACCAGGTCCTGGCTGAGCTGTGGGTTGGCATTTGCTTGTGCTGGGCTCCTGTTTTGACCACAGCAGTAATAGTTCCTCTCCATCTGATCCTCCGAGCTGCTGGAGTATCCTCCTTCTTGCATCTCGGTGTGGATCGACTGTGGAGTACTGAAAGTCTCTGGTACAGGGGTGCCCTGCTGTACATCTGAGCATGAACCATCCTCAAGGGATCGAAGCTGGCCCTTAAATTCATCACCCTTTTTGGTACCATTGCGTTTGCTGCCCTTTTTGTTAGCTATTAGGGCCTCTGAGAGCAGCAGCTGCTGAACGTTGTTAGAGATGTTCTCCACTTGAGATGTCAAGGCGTTGAGGCTCCACAGGCTTGGGTTGGACAGCAGTTTCTCTGAGAATCTGTCCTTCATGGAACTGGTATAGCTTGCCGTAGGATGGTTGATGCTGGGGGATGTGTGGGAGTGCGGGGGCATCAGAAGGCCCTGTTCTGGGAGATTTGCCGAGGTTGGGTTCCCTGTGTGGATTGGCTGCTGGTTGTACTGGAATGTCTCGGAGTTGACCATCAGAGGGGAAGGGGTGGAGCTATAGGAAGGAGACCTTCCCACTGACCGGGCTGGTGAGTGGCTGGAGCTGGGGCTACAGTTCTGGTAGTAATGCTCTGGTGACCTCACTGCCATATCTGAAAGGCAGTAGTTTTGCTGTTGCTGACTGAAGTGTTGGTATTTTGAAAGGCCATCCTGGCTGCCGGAGATGCCCTGAAGGGAAGCCTGCTGGTCGTACCCAGCTCTGGAAGCAGGTTGCTGATACGTGTAGCTGTTCTGGGATATGTAGGTACTTTGCTTCAGGCTATTGTTGCTTCCTACTGGCCGGTTGAACTGGGAGTTGGGAGGCATGGCGTAGCCTTTGTAACAGTGGGGGATGGAGCTGCATTTCTCCATGTAGGAAGATGTGGAGGTCGACAGGGACTGAGAGTGCTGAGGGAAATGCAGGTGCCCTTGGCTGTAGGCTAGAGGGGAGGGGGAGGTGTTCTGGGGCAGGTTCTGCTGATGGTGGCTGGTATATATAGGAGCTGAAGGCTGGGCAGCATGGGAGCACTGACTCTGGGAAATGGGCTGCACGTTCTGCTCGAGATACTGGGGGGTGGTTCCCCCTGGGCCCGTGGCGGCCTCCAGCCTGCCCACCATGTCCTGCTTGTACTGGGGCAGGTGAGTAGGGTCCTCCCACTTCTGCTGCAGGTGGCCCTCACTCAAATATTGGGCCAAGTAGGCGGCACCCAGACGGTTGCCAAAACCGGCAGGCAGGGGCTGGCCCGAAATCTTGCCCCCTTTGTACTGTTTCTTAGCCTGTGCGGGACTGGCACCGTAACCCTGGTAAGCCGTCTGGCCGTAGCAGTCTTTAGATCCTGGTCCTGCGGCCGCGGCGGCCGCGGCGGCCGGTGCCGAGAGGGACTGCGTCTCGTAGCCCTGTCTGGCCTGGCCGTGATGATGTCTGTAATTCTCAAGGCGTGATAATTCATGTGGTTCCTGCTGGTAGCAGGGTTGGTTGCCGTGGAAACCGCTCCGCTCCCTGAAGGACTGCATGACTCCAACAAGGGGCTGTAGAGGGGAGAAAAAAAACAGAAACAAAACAGAGCATGTGCTTTAGTGCCCTGCTTGCATTTAGCTTTTCATCTCGACTTGCTTTATCTGGGTGCAGTTAAATCGATACGCTTTGCCCTTTTCCGTGGTTTCGGCCAAGCTGGCTCTCCGCAAACTGCCAGACGCGCCAGTGCTTTCCTGCTCCATCTCACCCATCATCCTGCTCATTTTAATGCATCGGCCCTCAATATTACTGTTGTTGTTTTGAATATATTAAAGCATTGTTCCATTTAATGTCTCTTAAATCCCTTTCGTTAAATTAGAAATAGACCCGCGACGCAGATATTTGTGATGTTTTTCTGTAGCTATGCGTCGCCATCGTTAGCGCCAGGTTTCCACGTTAACGACGCATCAAGGTTAAAATCTCGACGGTATGTTTTCTGTGCACGGTGAAATAATGAGATGTGTCACGGCGGGGCTGACGTTTAAAGGCCTAATCTCGCACTTGATAACTTCTAGGTTGTATCTCTCCGCTCTTTTTGGGGGTGTCGTTCCCCTAAAACACAGGAGCACAATGCAGGAAGAGCAGCATATCTTAAGAAGCTTTGTCTGTCTCGTGAAATCTCAGCCATGCTCTGTGTGGGTGCGAGTATCGGTGGACCTGAGGCAGTCGATCCTCATATTTTCATTGTCCACCAAATAGTTTCATATAATTTATATTAAGCGAGTCTTACAGGAATAATCCATCTACTGTTATTTTCGCTGTGCACATGCTTTGTGTTCCTTCTGTAACATTCTTATGTATGAATTCTATATGTAAATGCATCCTGGCTGAATGAAACCTTATCGAGCAGTGAAGCTCTTCCATCGGGCGGTACCGAACCGCCGGTAAGCCGAGCCTCTGGCTGAGGCCGGGGGGTTCTGCTTGTTGTGGAAACTCTGACCCGTCACTGGTTCTGCTCCTTCCCGACCACAGCGACTTCGGTGTCGGCAAAGCTCGCCTGTGCTTAAGGGCGCGGGAGTCCCTCACCAAACAGAGCGCATCCCCTGACTCACACGGCACTGTTCTGCGGCACAATTAAGAACCGGCACCGGGCCACCTTCAGATTCCCATATAAATCCTCTTGTAACAGCCTTAACCAGGTCTTAATCCCATCCCCCCCCCCCCCCCCACCTGGTTTCAGCAGCGTATTGAAGCTGCTCCATTTTCGCAGTTTTAACTGTAAACACTGCTTATATCACACCATGTAGGTGTACACCAAACACAATCAGAACATTTCCTCTTAAAATTAGGCACGAAAAAAAGCCCTTCAAAATTTTGAAGTAGGTAATAGTAAGACTGCTGCTGGAAATGATTTATTTGTGTTCATTTAAAACAACTGTATATATGGGATGAGACCTGGGTTTGATATTTCATGATTAGCGGAGAGGGTGAAGGTCAGGACAGAGCCGGGTTTGGTTTGGCTTTCCTCTACAGATATGGTCCATAAAGCAGCCAGTGCACCACCGGGCACGTCAGGGTCAGAATCGGGAGGGGAGGACCGTTTGGCATGGGGGCTGTTACACATCTGGAAGCAGCAGTCAGACTTCATCTTTCCTTAGGTTAAATGTCTCTGCTTATAAGTTTTCGCGTTGTAGTATCCATCCCGTGCTGGGTGAGCTGTGGGGTGGGGAGGATTGGTGGGAAGATGTGGATGAGGTTCATTCTGAAGCACTGCAATGTCCTATTTGGCCTTTGCCAGCTGATGCTGCTGCACTGCTTTATGGGTTGGCACAAAGGATAGATCTCCAAACCGTCAAAGGAGCTGACAGTCAGAATGGTGGGGAATGGGAGCCGGTCGCAGAGAGGTAAGCGCATGCCAGGAGAAGGTAGACTCGCGGACAAATGGGTAGGTGCTTCAGCTTTGCATCTGCCTTGATCGAGATGCCAGCTCCAGCCTTTTGGCGACTAGTGCATGCAAAGCAATGACTGCGATGTAACGTAAACAGGCGCACACAAAGGGCTGCTGCTGATCCTCTGCAAAGGGTGTGCAGCTGAATAATAAGCTGCCTCCGTGTGTGTGTGTGTGTGTGTGTGTGTGTGTGGGGGGGGATTGTTCCACTGCACGGCGGCTAATCCCACACGCAGCGAACACCAGCCACCGTGTCCCCCGCCCCTCCCCCTCCATCTCATCATCGTCTTGCCAGCAGCTGAAGATGGGGCTTCTCTCCCCCCTCAATCATGGGTGGTGGTGGTGGGGGGGGGGGGGGGGCGTCGGGGTCAGGGCGCACACGCCCCTCCCCGTGTTTGTGCCGCGCTCCTTCATTATGCATGCCGGAGCAGCTGGTCGGGGGTGCGAGGCGCTCCTGGAAGAGAGTCTGTGCCGTCCTACCGTGCGCCGGCCGCGCCGAGGACAGTGCGCTCCGCCATTGTTCTCCTCGCTAAAGACCTTGACATTTGATAATGCGGCTTTTGACGTTTTCTCCCTCAGACGGCTGGGCTCCTGACAGCACCCCCCCCCCCTCCTTTTTTCCTGTTCCGCTATACATAAAATGTCACATTATTAACCCCAGAATAAGTGCCTTCATATTTAATTCGCTCAACTCTGATTCCTCACCTATGTTATTACTATGGAATAATAATAAAAAAAAACACGACAGCATGAAATCCTAATTAGATTGCTTCAACCTTTCCTGTCCCTCTTTTGTGTCTGAGAAGGAGTGCACTATTACAGGTAAATAAGCAAACGTTACACATCGTTGTTCCCCTGATTGTTTGCGAGCCATAGAAAAGGAGAGCCGGTATCTTTCTGGAATCTTCCGCCGGTGAGTATCTGAGAACAGTGACATTGGGAGGTTGAAGGTCGGTTCACGGTAATTGCTTGCAGCGGAGAGGAGCCAGGCTGGAAATCTGCAACACAAGACGGCCCTGACTGCAAGTGCATTTGGCCACGTCCCGCGTTTCTGCTCGGTCGTGCGAGTTGGACACGGATACTGTCTCTCACAGGAGGACGGTTCGCTGTCGCTCCCAAGGGGGGATGCAGACATGGACTGACACACACCCGCCCCGAGCTCCCCTCCTCCTTTCAGAATGCCGCTCAATGGTGCCCCCAACAGGCTGACTCATGCATGCGCATGCAGCCTGCCCTGCCCCTCAGAGCAACAGCTCCTCCTTAAATCCATTTCCAAAGGACCAAATGATGCCACACTTTTTTGAAAATCCACTCCTATAAAGGTCAGTCGTGGCATGCATTAAGTCAGAGCTGAACTGCTCGTGCCTGCAGGAGAGAGATGTCATAGTCCCTGTTGACATGCCGACCGCATCCTTCAGAGATGCATGGCTGCCAGCACGTTGATGATTACACGTGCCTTTAATTAAACCAGCGAATCGGTTACATCACGTCTATCGCTTTGAACGTTGGGGGTGCGGTTCCTGCGCTTGCTTGCAGTCGCCTGACCATGTGTGAGTCGTGCAGTATCGGCTTCGCAGGCTTCTGCTTTGTGTCCCAGCTGCTCGAAGGTTTAGGTGTGAAAGTATCGGCCGACTTGTAGATCGAGCAGGAAGAAAAACAACATGAGGGTAACATGGCTTTTTCAAATCAACGTTTCTGCTTTTAACAGCAGGAATTCTTCCGTGACATACTGAAAGGTCTTGTTTTTTGGACTAAAGCATTGTTTGACGGGTACATCTTACCCATATTGCCGCAATGGTTAATCATACATAGTGAAAACATCTATTTGGCAAAGAGATTTCCCAAATAGCGAGTGCGGGGCTTTAAGGTCCCCCGCCCTTGCCCTTTACGGGCGTGTCAGATGTGCCTTTTGTCCCCTCAGCCGGTAAACAGAAGCGCAGAGCCCTTTAAACCATTATCGTTACAGCTGGCTCTGTTGACATGGCGATGACGGGCGGAGCAAGCAGACTGCCGGAGCAGCCCTCCCCGCAGCGCCCGCCATTCTCATCCACTGCGGGGGGAGTCTGCGCGCCTGCACGCTCCGCTGCCGAGCGGTTTGCTCCGGGGGGAGCCGGGCCGGCCTCCAAACCGTCCTCCCCTCCCTTGCGGGCCCGGGGAGGTGGGGGTGCGCGTGCCGGTGTGACAGGAGGCTGGGCCACCGTCCCGTGCTTCACTGGAGCCTTTGATCCGGGTATCTGTGCCATGGTGGCCCGGCCGAGTTTATCGTGTGCCGTGTTACTTCCCTGCTCTCTGCATTTTATCTGCCCCCACCCCCTCCCCTATTGATCTTCTAAACTGAGAAAGAAATCTCAAACGCTGGTAAACCGGGGGGATTATTTTCTTTGAAACAGACTTCATCAATAACGCTGGCACAAAGGCGCGGTGACATTAGTAGTCTGAAATACTATATGCCTTGCTGCGTTCAATAAGGGCACAGTCATTTATTTCTCCCCGTGAGCCGGACTGGTTTGCACTTGTTCCTGCTCTGTGCCACTTCAGCTCGCCTAATTGATGATGCAGAGTGGTCGCAATGTCACTCATGCTGTCTCTCTCTCTCTCTCTCTCCCCTCCTCCTCTCAGTTTTTGTCCGGTCTCTGTCAGCGATGCTCCCAATCTCCCATTTCTTTTGTCTGACCTTTCGCCCCTGACCTCCAGCCCTCCGGCATGGGGGTCGCATGTGTCCGGGCAGCGCGTGTGCGTGAAGGGCGCGTCCGGACGCGAAAGAGCGACCTCAGCAGAATCCTCCTCGCCGCATGCCGGCGACCTCGGCCAGCTGGCTCAAGGCGAGACTGATGATTGGTTACGTCTGATAGCAGTCTGCCGGGATCCAACCTCCTGTCGCCACTCCTGTCCTCCACGAAGCTGAGTATCTCTCGAACGTTTACGAATTTGCGCAAACTGAGGCTTAGTGACGAGGGCGCAAAGTGCTCCTCGGTGCTTCTGCTTTGCTTTGTTTCTTCTCCTCGGAACGCAGTAAAGGGTCAGGAGCTTTACGGATGGCCACGAGAATGAGGGGAAATTAGGGATAAATAAAGGCTTGCAGGGAAGAAAAAGGCAGACTTAATTTGAGGGACCGGGAGCAGACAG